GAACAATTGGCTACACATAATTTTTCGTCTTGTTGTGCCACTGGGCAGGGCTACTCAATTATTTTTAACGAGGATCCGCATACAAAACTTCAATATTATTTGGGTCCGGTATTTCCAAAAATTATATTTCGGCATCCTTAAACGCGCACTTCCTCGGCCGGCTAATGATTATTAGCAAATCAAGATTGTTTATTATGATGTTATGGTTATTTGCATATATATTTAAAATTTTAGTAAAAGTCATTTTTTAAAAGAAACTTAAAAAGTGAGGCTAATGATCCAAAATAAAGAATTAGGTGCGGTCCGAATCCAATATTCGAAAGGTCCGGATTCGAACCGCGGTTCGCTAGTTGAGTAGCTCTGCCATGGAGGATTAGCCTTCATTAGAGGTGACTTTCGCTTTATTTTGTCTGGAATACGTTGAAGTATGATATATATTGTACCAGGCAATATTTTCTACAGGCCTTATTACCCTATGCTCTTCATCACCATATTCAACCTGAAACACGAAGTTTTAATTGTAGCCTAACCAGTGAAGCAGTACAATTTAGCTAGCAGAATTGCAGGCATTTGGTTGGCGTGAGATTATTCTGACAATTTTCTCTTTGCAACTAGGGTTGTGGAGTGTAGTCGTAACTGAAGAGAATCTCGTTCAATTCTGAGATAATCAAAATTGATCAAAAACTACGACATTGTGCATGCATCTTAATATTTGTCTCATGAAAATGCAGAGCCAACTTTTAAAATTCTGACTCCCTACTCCGAATAATTTCAAGAGTTTGAAAATGCAACTGCGGATCCATCTCTAATATTATATTAATAAAGGCAAGAGACAACACCATAAAAACTTTTGAATAAATTCATAATTATACGGCAAACTCTACAGATACACACTCATCTGCATGACTTAAAGGAGTTTGGGTCTGGTGACGACAGAAAGAGGTCGTTTTACTTAATGCGCCTTCCAGTTAGGCTTACGGCTATGGTTAAGGTTTATAAAAGTGTGCACACAAAAAACTGAACAACATATCCAGACCATAGGCATAGCGAAATGTCTTAAGCGTTCAATTTACGAACTGTGAATTTAACTCCTACTATGAACTGTGGCCTAAAATTTATCTGCATGCTTCGAGACTTGGAATCAATTCGAAATGACGTCCAGTCTCTTCAAATACGTCTCATCAAAACAAACATCTCTATGATATGGATTTGTAAACACATGCTGTAACCTTGTATAGAAGTTACACCACATAAAAGTTTTTAATTTGCCGAGTTGAATGTCTGTCGAAGTAACCGCTCTAATACAAGGGTAGTTTATATGTTTACAGGATTAAACATATAAACTTATATATATAAACATATATAATAAAAAATATTCGAAAAATACCTCAATATCGGTTGCACAGACTGTCTACACTAGCCATATTCTCCCGACATGGTTCATTTTTCGCTCGCAAAGCCTTCGCCGAACGTCGACGGGGCGACGCCGATTTTGCCCCGGTTGCTCATTGTATATCGTGTTCTCTCTTTTATCTTCCACTCGCCGCGTTTGTCTCGTTTGTTTTCTGTTTCTTTTACTAAATCATCGGGGCCGATCGGGGCTAGCCCCGAAATTATGACGACACAATGCCGACGTTTCTTACAACAACGTGTTGACATATTCACGCATTCCTTCTCGTTCGTTGGTTGCTTGAAGAGTTGATAGTTTCCTCGCCTTCGTTTTTGTCGCTTGTTTCGCTATTTGAATCAGTTAGAGACCTTTAGTCCATTTGCTTTCGATTTTCCACATTCCTTTTGAGCTCCTCACTTCTTTCCGGCTTCGCATTTCTTAGCCTTAGACCTCATAATGAATAAGGTTGATGCACTACTTCGCACTCCGTTTTCGCAGCTGCCGCTGGAACAAAAATTAGAGGTACAACGTCTTGGGCCTTATCAACCAAAAAATTGTTCACTGGAACAATCCCATGACGGAGGAAAGCGTCGGCGTACATTCTGCGCAGAAACTTGGTATAAAAAACACGAATGGTTGTGTTACAGCGAGGATAAAATTGCACTTTTTTGTTTTTATTGCCTACTTTTTGCTACCGTCCGTGACTCACGTTGGTGTAAATTTGGTTTTAGAGATCTTAAACATCTTTCCGAGCGTGCCAGGGATCATCAATCTTCTATGGAGCATCTGGACAATGCAGTAAAATACCGAACATTCGGAAATGTTAATATTGCAGCACAGTTGGATGAAGGACGCGCGGTTTCTATTTGTCGGCACAACCAAAACGTCTAGAAAAACCGCCATGTTCTCGGTCGATTGATAGATGTTTTGAAGTTCATTGGCTGTCCCTCCGTGGGCACGATGAACGGGCTGGCTCTTCTAATAGAGGGGTATTTTTGGATATGGTGGAATACACCGCATCCCTAGATACAAGATTGAGAGATCATCTTGATGCCGCAACTGCTTCGAAAGGGACATCTAAGGATATCCAAAATGATTTGCTCGACTCAATGTATAAAATTTATTTACAACATTTGGCTCTGGAAATTGAGAATTGCCAGTTCCTTTCGATTCAGTCTGACGAGACAACTGACATCACGTGCGTTTCCCAACTGGCTGTGATTTTTCGGTTTGTGAAAGATGGTAAACCTACCGAGAGATTTCACAGCTTTGTACCAATCGTTGATCGCACGGCTTGCGGGATATCGGCTGTACTGAAAGAAGTGTTACAGCCTTACAACGCGAAGTCAAAATTGATAGCTCAAACTTATGACGCGCGGCAGGTCGAAACATGGTGTTCAAGTTTATATAAAAGAAGATTTTCCTCATGCGCATTTTTTACATTGTTATGCACACCAATTTAACCTCGTTATCAAAATATGTGTCTTGATACCCCTCTCGTCCGTATATTTTTTGCAAATGTTTCGGGGTTTTCTTCATTTTTTTCCGTTTCGTCGAAGCGCTCTGACCTCCTTCGCATATGTAGCCGCCGTCTCCCAGCTTGTGCACCAACACGTTGGAACTTCTAATCACGCGTGGTGCAGGGCGTGTCCGAAATTAGGTCTGAGCTCATTGAGTGTTTCAATGGCATTCAGAGCTCTCCGGTTTGGGACGAACGCTCTGTGAGGGAGGCGGCAGGTATAAAGCGTCTGCTAGAAGATGGTGAGTTTTCATTTTTTCTCCACAATATTCTATCACGTGGATGTATTATACGGCGCATTGCAGTCAAGGCTAATGGATGGAGCGTCTGTGCAGTCGTGTATTTCAGACTTCTGCGATGCTGTATCTCGTATCCGGGAAACAATAAAATACGACGACACATAGAGTGCTTCTTTACGCCGCGGGCAAACAACGCAGCGTTTGATTTTGTCTGCAAAGAAATGCTGTGACATTCTGGTGAATCAAATAGGCGATCGTCTACGCACTGAACACCTTGCCGCGTTCTCTTTGATGAACCCCAAAAATTTTTCAAAATTTGCACGTCAATTTCCCATCCATTTGTTGGCTACTGTCTCCAAATTTTACCCCATGATAAACGTGGGTAAATTGGAAAATGAATTGCGATGTATATAAACCAATCAAACTTTTTTGAACATCACATCAACTTGCGCGCTCTATGGGTTCCTCATAGATAACACTCTAGTAACTACCTTTGCGGCGTCTGCAAAATTTCTGGACATCATTTTGACGACGCCTACTTCTTCCGCCGACGCAGAGCGAACATTCAGCACGCTGAAGCGTATTAAAACGTATCTCAGAAACACAATGAAGCAAGATAGATTAAATTCCTTGGCTGTTTTATCCATTCACAGAGACGTTATTTCTGGGATGCATGACTTTAATCAGCGCGTTATTGAGCATTTTGCTTCCAAGAAACCGCGGCGTGTTGCATATATGTTCAAGCAGTAGAAGTCTAGCAGCATATATATCTATGAGTGAGCGACGCATGTCCCTATTACCTTTACCTTGCATTACCTTTCCTTTCTTCATAGTAACGTTTTAAACCTTATTTTAGGTTTTGTCTGCTTCCCCGAAGTTTCTGTTAATATGTCATTGTATTTATCTGGGTAAATATTGCCTTTCCTTTTGAAAGAGGTTTCAAAATAAACTATGTCTATATTTATTAATCCCTTGACTTGGACCGGTTTTAAAGACACTTTCTTATCGTTAAAAATTGTCGCTTTTGCCGATTGGTTGTTACCGATGGAATGGTTTTTATACTCATAAAATGATGGGAAAACTTACAGCACTCATCCTGTCCCCTTAGATGGGGGTGACTTGGTCCCGCAGTAGCTTGCCCCGGTTGTCAAAATGACCACGCGCCGCCACTGCCCTTTCTTCCTTTTTCACAAGATGCCTACTTCCAGTCCGCGCTTTGGTGGAGTAATTTTTGTTTCACGCCGGGTTCTTCTTTGCCAATTCAAACAAAGCTACGAATGACTTAAACGAGATATATTTCTAGCCGGGGAAACATGCTACTCCAAATTCTTGAATCTTCCTACCGATATGCTCTAATGATATCTGTATATTAGTATTGTGGAATAAACAGAATTTGGATTTTTGCCCTGTGCTTCTACAGACTGGGTCTTATTTCAGTTTTATCCCGAAAAATAACTCTAGGGCTTATTTTCAGGGGAAGTCTTATATTTTCATTTATTAAAAACAAATAATAACAAAGTAGAGAATTACGAGATTTTCAAATATACAGAATATGAAAACCGATATTCATTTACTTATAAATAACACGTTTTTATTCATAATAGCTGCAAAACATGAATTATCAATCATTTAAAACATGTAGGAGAGATTTCTTTCTATCGACTAGGTCAAAAATAGATTACGCGCTATTCACTAGGTCTAAGTTTAAGGGGAAGACTTATATTAAAATCCTTTTTTGAAATTCAGGCTAGGTCCTACTTTCAGGGTAGGTCTCATGATAGCCTACACTGTGTCTCGTGATAGCAAATCAATAATACAGAAAACAACGCGACGGAAGCAGACGTAGGCTACTCTGCCAGACACATTTTATTTAACGATTGCTTCATATCTGTATAAAATTGGTATTTGGACGACAGATTTGCGATCTAGATTTGGCAAAATGCGTTGGTTCAGCAAGGTTGCTCCTATAACGAAAAGGCATGGGGTTATTTTACATTTACTAATATTGATACAAGTGTCTTCCTCTGAGAAAGACATCCTTTGTCCCCGAGGACAGTCGAGTGAGGAAATTAACTGGGATAAGGTTAACAATCTAATAAAGCTTGGTCGAAAATTTGCTGAGATAATAATGTAAATACCTAATGCATAACACATCGAGTCATAAGGAAACGTGGTAATGAATTTAGATAAAGAAACGCAAAGAAACAAAAACGAAGACATCCATAATTTCACCTTATGTAAACTTGCGGATCTAATCCGATAAAACAAAAAAAAAATACATTTTTCAATGAGCGCATTGATAATTGCATTGCTTATTTATTCTAAGAATAAATTTCAACTTTCATTCAGCTTTAAGGAATATGGAAGGATGTGATTGATATTCCGACTTCATTGAAGCCTGTCACATGCTGGACATACGAAGATCCCAGTCCGAACGAAATGGGATTCACAGTGAAAATTCATAAAAGTAATATCACCAGGTAATAACGAAATTTGTAACAATTGGTATAAAATCTAGAATGGCCGTACTATATACTGTACGATAATAAAAATTTCCGCTCGAATTATTTCCATTAAGGGCGATCATCAACATAAACAATTTAACAAATATGATGTATAAAATTTAAGTTCTTCATCAAATATTCAAACTCAGTATAAGAGTGTATTCTACTTTATAAGCCAGAATACCAAATTGTGCAAAAATTTGTGTATTTTCATTTATCATTCAAAAGAAACATCTTTGAAATACTTTATTAGCGTAAACGGTCTCTCGTTTAGTTTATTCGTATAGGAATTTATTATTTCGAATGTATATCAAATTTGAGCTAACATATTACATGAGGTTTATATATATTTATTCATATGTATCAGTGTATCGCATGAGCAGACATTTGTTCTGCAATACAAAGAGAAGCGTCCTGGAGTTTATACCGAAAACGACTGTAAGTTCATTCCTTCTATGCATTTTTTATGCCAGAAATTCTCTCTTAACACTATTTTTAATATGTATCATTAAACATTATTCCCTTATCACATTTTTAAGAGCAATATCAAAGTTTTTTATGGGCGACTAATAAAAATTGGTATATCTGATCATAAAATTTTAATTTTTGGCATGACGCCCCCCCCCCATTTGAATAGAACATTTCTACTGCGGATTCAATTTTCACTGGGTAAAGCAGAATATGTGAAAAATTAAAAATCATTTGAATAGGGTGTTTACTGAATGCCTATTTAATCTTATAGCTTATGTGCAACCGAAGTAGAGCCAATTAGAGTCACGAGAGCAAACTTTGATTCTTTTTGATTTCAGTAATCAAAGATACATCTGGTCTGGAAACTATTTTACTAACGGACGATGAAATTTTGATTTTAGTTGAATGCTACAATGAAGGTAACATTTTTCATGGAAATTACTGTACATGACTTGAAACTGGAAGCTGTCATTTATGCAATAACTGAAAAATAAAAATACTCTCCACTCCTATTTCTTATCGAAAATCAAACTTCAAATGCGTGATTTACAGCAATTCAAGTTATCATGCCAATATCATGCTAGGATGTATTCTAAGTCGATTTTAAATCGAATCTTTTTTGTGTTTAAGGATGGCATGCTTTCGTAAAGAGCCGGGATCCGCACGATATAAATATCGGATATCTCGATAGAATATCCACAATGTTGAGAAGCGTTGGACTGAGCTCTCCGATCATGACACTGAAGAATGGATGTTTTGAAAAAAGTGATATTTGATGAAACATATCTAATGAACGTTGTTGCTTTTGTTAAGTTATTCAGTAAATATTACAATGCTCAACACTAATAAACTCATTTAAGCAGACATTTCTGGTGAACTTGTTGGAGAAACAGTAGGTTATTTGAGTGGAGTTTGGTTTCCTTATTTTTTCTCGGCATTATTAGGATAAAAACGGCTTAATTAATTCAAGGGGGTACTCCAATTTTGAAATGGTTTTGATATTAGATAAAATCTTTTATTCGAATGTATTTCATTTTTGAAACCTTCAAGTGGGATATTTTAAACAAGAATAATTGATCAGACTAAAAATGAAATGTCACCCTCAAACCATTTAAAACCTTATAAATTTCGAAACACGCCTTAAAATTTAAAAACGAATTATAGTTTAAAACTGAATGTCAAGACCCCTGTGGATTTTGAGAACCCAGGCTTCGGACTACATTGTCTCATTGCTTACCTACAGGTGAATCCAGGGAATCTAGCCCTGCTGTTGCATCCTATGACCTAAAATTAACCTTCCAGACTTGAAGGAATTGATTCGAAATGACGTTTTTCCTTCCTCTGTCCCTTCAAAACAAACTGCGCCATAAAATGTAGTCGTTGCATTCGAAGTCTGTGTATCCTTGTAGATCAATTCGCCGAACTGAATTTCTTTACAAAAACAACGCAGATTTACAATTTCTGCTGCATTATGGGTTCAGCTCTCAGTATTTAGATTGGTTACACTTACAATGGTACCATTACTACCGTGTTTTTCCAAAATTAAGACAGGGTGTTATTTCAATTATATTTCGAAGGATAACACTAGGGCTTATTTTGGGGGAATATCATTTATTTTCATTTATCAAAAATAAAATTATAAAGTAGAGATTTACGAATTTTGATTTACAAAATATGAAGGCCGATAACCTTGTACTTATAAATAACACGTTTTTATTTAGAATAACTGATACCGGTATTACGATACTAATTAATGAAAGACGCGTATGAAATACGCTTATTCCGCTTGCTTCAAGAATCATTAGATGGAGGCTTTATTTCAACATTGCTGTGAATCGAGGATTGGATTTGAAAACCCAACATTTACATGGTTTTGTGACATGTTTTGCGGTTGCCGCATGCCTGACGACGGTGAAAAATGCATAAATGCGTGGCATGCGGAACTTAGTTTCACAGAAAATGTCAAAGAGAACCTCCTGAAGTAAACCACGAGGAAGATTCGAAATGGACTTGCGACGACTGTGAATCCACAGGGATACATACATACAGGATACTTTACGAAACATTTTCATGAAGTCGTCAAAAAATGAGCCAGAGGAAACGGATAAATAAGTTTCGATATATAAAGACTTCTCAATCGTTTTTATCAAATCTATGGAGAAAAGGTTGGGAATAATAATACACGAAATGGTTCACGCAGCTGGGGTTTTGATGCATGAAGGTGGAAGTGAACATGGACCTAAATTTCAAAAAAGAACCCGCCGTATGGTCAAACAATTAAAATATCATCAGAAGAAACTCCTTCCAGAGCTAAAAACTTCAAAGATATAATCAAAGAATTAAAATATGTTTTGACTATAAGTGATTAGAAAAAAATATTAATAAATAACAGTTCAAATCTCTTTCCTTTATGTTATGTGTGTGGTATAATTAAACATAATATCATTTTCCACTGCTGTTGTTTTTATTTCGCATAAACATCGAGGTTAAGAACGATATAATTGCATTCAATTCAGGATGAAGGAAAGTTGATATCATCATGTGAATTAATCGCACATATTTATGGGAACACTCATAACTTTTTTCTGAAATGCATAGCAGATGTATTAGTAATTTCTTATTCAAAGCGTTGTTGAATGGGATGTATGGAATACCCCATAAAATTGGGGCTACATATCACCGGTCCGAGTCCCAGCAAATTCGATTGCAGATTCCATAAATAATGCTAAATCCTGACTGTGCGTAATGCGCTGCTGCTAATACGGCCTCACTGTGCCTGATGCGCTGCTCTTAATGCGACCACGTATTGTGTCCAATGCGCTGCTCCTAATACGTCCTCACTGTGCTCAATGCGCTGCTCTTAATGCGGCCTCACTGTGCCCAATGCGCTGCTCTCAATGCGACCACGTATTGTGTCCAATGCGCTGCTCCTGATGCGGCCTCACTGTGCCCAATGCGCTGCTCCTAGTGCGATGCTCGCAACGGGCAAATTACAGTAACGTATCATCAGCCGAGTTCCAGTAAATTCGAGTACCAATTCAAGTCGAATTACTGTTGCTACTTTTAAAAGTCGTGTCTAGCTTGTCATTATAGATTCCATAAACAATGATAAAATGGATGGATGAATTGTCAATCCTGACTGTGCGCAATGCGCTGCTCCTAATGCCACCACGCATTGTGCCCAATGCGCTGCTCCTAATGCGATCTCGCATTGTGCCCAATGCGCTGCGCCTAATGCGGCTTCACTGTGCCCAATGCGCTGCTCCTAATACGATCTCGCATTGTGCCCAATGCGCTGCGCCTAATGCGGCTTCACTGTGCTCAATGCGCTGCTCCTAATGCGGCCTCACTGTGCGTAATGCGCTGCTCCTAATGCGCTGCGCGCAATGAGACTTTTAAGCTACCACCACTAATGCATACTGAAAGACCACTCACTTCACGCAAAGGTCTTGTGATCATTGACCAGACAATGTGACGTGAACGGAGTCCTCAAAATATTTACTTTGTTATACCGGCAGTTTGTCATCTTCAAGGAAAATTAAAAATTCTCTATTTCTCCAACGAGCAAAACATAATATCTATTATATGGGCAATATATTATATGGACATAGGTGCGCGGCGTCTGAATTATTAGAATATTCGGTGTTATTTTTCGGTTTTTCGAATATTACGGTATATATGTTCCAGTTCGTGTCTGGAGTTTAGTTTACTGGAGTTTAGTTACCAGTTTACTTACTCCTAAATCCAACTTAAGCATCTTTAACTATAGGTAAGCTCTGATAGCTATGGATGAAGCGTGGGGAGCTAATGAATTATCGCATGTCCTAGACGAGGTTCCTTGTGAACTGGCCGCGGTATCATTCGGTGGCACTTGCTTGGATAGTATTGGTCAAGTTCTAACCCCAACAATCGTTCAAGATCCACCGACCCTGAATTGGACGACAGAAGAAAACCAGTTTTATTCAGTTTTCATGACAGATCCTGACGCTCCAAGTCGAGATGAGCCTAAGTTCCGAGAATGGTATCATTGGGGTGTAATCAATATACCCGGAAACGACGTCAGCAAAGGGGAAGAAATTGCAGCTTATGTTGGTGCGGGCCCACCAAAAGGAACGGGTTTGTAATTACTTCATGGCTATTTACATCTACTGTATTGGATTAATTTATTCAATACCGGTAATGCAGTACCGGTAATAGTGTAATATGATTGTTGACATGCATGAGTAACTGAAACTGAAGCTTGATGCTAAACAATATGCCTATCTTAATTTATCAAATTTCTGAATGCGGAAATGCCCAAATACTGAAATACAAACTTCAGTAATTAGTCTATTCATACTTCAGTACTTTTAGCAGAAAATAGTCTAGGCCCACTTATCAGTTTCGTTATTGTCATGTCTGGACCAGGTGTTTCATGCTAGGCCAGGGTTCCTGAAACTTGGCTCAGCTAGGCATGTAATAATTTGTATCGTGTCATAAAATTAAAATAAAGGCTTTCTGTGATACGTAAGATGAGATTTTATTCTTTGTGTGCATAGGAAAACATCGTTATGTCATTCTCGTTTTCAAACAATCTGGTAAAGTTAATTATACCGGTGATAAACTTGGCATGACTATGGATGGACGAGCAGGTCAAAAAATAGAAGATATTGTCAAAAAACACAATCTAGGAAAGATTCTCGCTGGAGCATGCTTTCAAGCTGAATGGGATGATTATGTACCAGAACTTTACAAAAAGTTTAAGTGACGAGTGGATATAAATCGATTGCTCAGCACTGGGTTTCCCAAACCTTCCGTTCATCGACATCCTTTGGACATTTTAGATTATGATCATTTTTTGAATATTTATTCAATGACCTCCAAACCTTATGTAATAGTTCAGTGTGACTTTATATTTTATAACTTGATAAAAGTTATCAGAAACGTTTTTGTTAGACAAGCAGGGATCTCTCCAATTTAAAAATTTATCATCAAGTTTGAAATTTTTCATCTGTCTGTACTAACTTTTTTGAATGGAGTGGTGCTGTTATTTTCTCTTAATTATTTGCCAAATTACAACTCTTCCACCCTAATTTCACAATATTCCTAATTTAATTTGAAGTCATATAATTAATGAATAATCCATTACGATTATGGTTTCTAATTTCATTTTGTCCATTTTTAGAATCTGATATATATATATATATCTATATATTTAATTATTATAACACATCTTTGCTTGTTGCTGCACGCTTGGAACAAAAGACTCAATAAATATGTTCCGGTCAAAAAGTCAGTTTGAGAAAATGCTAGGTAGGTTGCTTTTATATCTGATTCATGAAAAACTTAATAATTAAGCTCTAAAGCCGAAGCCATTGTGATTCCGACGATTCGCCAACCCTGTTCACAAGTAAAAGGAACTCAAACCAGAAGCTACAAACATCTATTACTCTAACTAAATATCATGGCCATTCAGGAAGATAATGGGATCAATTTTCTGTTTTCAGAGAAAGCAACTAGCAATCTCCTACTTGAGCCAGATTTTGATGCCATGTTGCAGTTGTGTGACATGATTCGAGGAGGAGATATAAAAGCAAGAGAGGCCGTAGCTCACATGAAAGCCAGGATAAGAGAAGAAAAGAATCCAAATGTGCAATACTTTGCATTGAGTGTGAGTTGACTTTGAGTTTTAAAGTTTTAATAGATAAAAAAGGATGGGTTTCGGTAGTAAAAGGGTACCGTTTTTTTTTTGAGAAGCTGCCCGGTCTTTAGTCCACTCATGGGCGTTTATATAATATCAAGATTAAACCCTTTCGGTGCTTTAATTATAAATTTATATCAACCTTTCTTAGCTAAGTCCCGCTGCCTAAAGTACCGGTATGCTAAATAAGCATTTCACAACAAAAACCTGATAAGAATTCTCCTTCCAAATAGCTGTTCAACAGGAGCCACTCAAAGGCAATATGCAATTGTCATATAGCAGAACGGGCAGTTACTTGGTCCGCATCTCATTTTTCCATTTTGTCTTTTTTCCAGTTAACAGCCCTGTAGGCTATCTGGAAAAACCTTAGTTTGATGTCTCTCTTACTATGTTGATGAATTTCTTGAAATCCATTGTTCCAGGTTCTGGATACAGCAATGAAAAATTGTGGAGAAGGAGTTCATGAAGAAGTTATTACGCAAACATTTCTAGAAGAAATGAAAGATATGGCCAAGGTAAATAAAGAATATTTTACTGATTCTTTTTCACAGTTTTGAATATCACAGTCCTATGCACGATTATTGTTCCACCTGACATTGATTTAAATATAACATAGATGATTACTTTAATATCATAGTTACTTGAACGTTGATTTTTGAAAGAGTGTGCATGTGCCATGCCCGAACAAGTTTGAAATAGTGACAAAATGTTGATTTTGATTAGGTATTATACAATTTTTATCTTCTGATTGTCTTTCTAAAAATTTAGCTGTATTTTATTGACGAGTTTTAGTGTAGAATATCATTAAAATAGAGATATATAAGTATAACCAAGTATTGCCTTTAGCATTTTGGGATCATGAACAATTCTGACTACGGTACTTTACAAATTGTAGTGCAATTTAGCGGTACCTAAAGTTTTCAAAATTTATTTTTCGGTTTCCGTAAGAAAAAAATATATTTTGTATTGCTTTCAAATTGGTATTAATTTTTCTTTTCGATCTGAACTACTGTTTCATTGCTATTTTGCCCTTTTTATAGTCTGCTTCGGCTGAAAGAGTGAAAACAAAAATATTGGAAATGGTTCAATCATGGGGATTAGCTTTCAAAGAAAGAACAGAATATAGAATTGCCACCAACCTGTATAATATCATGAAAACAGAAGGTATTATTAAAAAAAAAAAATTGCAGTGGAGGTTTCAATAAAATTGAACTTAATTGGAAAATACTTTTTTTGCAAATTTAAACTAGAAGATTTGCTTCACGCCGTCCCGAAAAATTGTCAATGCCCCCTTGTGGGTCATATCCCACCGTTTGAGAATCACTTGTCTAGAATATCAGACAATGTCAATTCCAACAAATTAATATTTACTAACTCTCTTCTACAATATAATTTATACGTCTTTGAAACATTGCTCAAGAACCAATCTTCTTGTTTTTCAAGTGATGCCAATGCCTTGAGCAAATTTCTGTGGAACGAAAAAAATTAAATTTTAAATGAAATTATCATTTTTAAGATTTCTTGTAAAAGTTTTTTATTGTTACTTTCTAGGTTACGAATTTCCACCTCCTACCAACACAACTGATATGTTCAAATCTGAAACTGTAAGTTACTCGCTCCTTTCTTCTAATTTAAGCTTTATTACAATACAAGAGTAAATTAAATATTAACAATCATTAATAATGATATACCTGTATTATTCGAGTCTGTGGATGATCCAAGGAAAAACAGAATTTTATTTATTTCATTTAGAGCATGAAAAAGAACATAAATCATCCCAGATTACTCAAATTTTTGGGTTCTGTTTTTGGGTCACTCTGAATTTTATGGCATGTTTTACACCTCATATGTACACTTCTTTTCAGGCCCCAGTTTGGAAAGATGGCGATGAATGTTCTAAATGCAAAAGTGAATTTGGTCTCGTACAACGCAAGGTATTCAATACTGCTATACTGAGAACTGTTCAATTCTGTAAATTATTAATGCATGCTCTGGTATGCATAATGTAAGCAAACATATGGTGGGACTCAGTAACACATGTATTTACGGTATATAATAAACTAATAAATCTCTGTTGAATTTTCTGGGATTTTCTGATTTGGTTAAATTTTTTCTATATTTATGTAATCAATGGATTTTTTCATGAGTGTGAGGATAATTTTTTACGATATATCTCAAAAAAAAAAATTTTTCATTTTTTTGGTTGAATATAAATTGCTCTTTTAGATATTTTGGTTTGTAAAACTGCTTGTAAAAATTCAATTCATATTTTAGTTTCCCAAATATTTGTCAATACAATCATGTGGCAATTTCCTGACATTTTTTAGTATATTGTATATAATGTAATTATCAGTTACAGACTTTTGATTGATCTACAAAATATTTTTTCTAGCATCATTGCAGAGCATGTGGTGGTATATTCTGCAACCGCTGTACGAGCAAACAATCCATCGTACCAAAATTTGGAATCGAGAAAGAAGTTCGAGTTTGTGATAAATGCTACGATGAGATTAACACGTAATTTACTTTGTATTTTTGTTTTTGCAGTATCGGATTTGGTTTTGCTGATGTTTATTGTATCATACTACATGAAACTGCTTTGCGAATGAAACATGTGAATATTACTTTGTAATAAGGAAATTCCAGTTTATTTATTGATAGGTCATTTTTCGTATTTTGACGACAACATTATCAGGATTGGGGAAATGAACCGTTTAAAAAAAATGACTCCAAGTCTCAAATTGGAAAAAAGGAAAAAACAAATTTTGACCACAAAAATGATATTTAATTATTTGTTGAAAATGATCAGTTAAATTTAATGCTTTTATAGTTACAGACGGAGATTTTTTGTTTGATGACCATCATTAGAATTCTGAAATTTCGAAAATTTCTACTTTGACTCTGGGTAGTTTGAAAGTCTGTTCCTAACTCCAATATCATAAAAACATTCCATGCTCTGACTCCATAGCCATAATTATTAACTATCAAGATGTATAGTTTTACACATTGATCGAAGGATGTAAACCGGCGAGAGACAAATAAGAGGGGATGGATGTTTTTCATGCCTTGCGAAGATCTCAGTAATTAATATATACAGCGCTCATGACTTTCACTTCGAACAAGACTCTATGAAAGCTGCCACAAGCTACTTTTCTACATAGGACTGGAAACTTTTCAGTTTGACAATCTTGAACCTGAGATATGTAAACACCACCACACTGCCAACATAGTTGAGTGTAATGATACACCACTAGGCCATCCAGCCCACTTAGTATTTAAGATTTATTAAATCAGATTTGCCAATATGCTAGTACCTGTAAAGGTTTTTTATTCTAGATAGTATTCATGTTTCTACACTTTCAATTTCATTTTTAGGAAATCATCAGCATCTACTTCAGATTCGGGTGGATTGCCTCAGGAATATCTCAACAGCAGTTTGGCTAAAGAGAGCCAGGTTAGAAATCATGCTTTCAGTATTTGACCGAGAAGTAGTGCATGTTTAGCAGTCACAAAGTTGTTTCTAATATGTACATAATGTAGTGCAACACTTGTAATATATGAATTCCTGCTAAATTGGTGAAATTTGTTAACTTCGTATATTGGGTAAATCCTGATTTCTTTTCATTGTTTTGAAAATTTTTTATTTGAAAAAATCAGATGGTTTGAATTTTGGCTCGATGATCAGGCACATTATGGAATGAGTTAGTAACAAGCTTGCCACTTCTATCCAGCGACTCACAGGGCTCAATCTTGTATGGAAGTCGTAGAGACTTTTCTATCTTTTGGGATAAATATCCTGTTCTAGAATGATTCGAACAAATATTGTACATGCGTTCACCTTTTGAATCCAGTGAGGGAGCGATAGTTTTTATGAACTTTTTTGTACCATTCCAGATACCAGTGAAAAGAAGTGAACAGGAATTGAAAGAAGAAGAAGAACTGCAGATTGCGCTCGCTATGTCATTGAACGAACAAGAAAACCAATCAAAATCTCAAACAAAAGATATGCCTGTTTATGCTTCTGTCAATAAAACCAATGCAATACAACCCGAAGTTAAAGTTTCGGCCAGCGTAAGTTGGTTTTGTTCAATGCTGTGTATATTTCTTTTATAAACAAATATTTGTTGATATTACAATTAGAGCCATGTAGTAAGGGAAAATGTAGTATTGGGTCTGAGTTGAAAAAACGGTACTGCCGTAATGTGTGTACCAGGTTAGGGTTAGGGCTTAATTTTATTTCGATTACCTTTATTTCAGTTCTTTAACGAGTTCAGGAACTGTCTGTGTTAGCCAAGTAAGTTTTCCCCGCAGTAGACGAACAAAATTAGTTACCTCCATATTGGTACACACATTTCTGGAACGCCGAAAAAACTTGGATTCGTACTCAGAATTGACAATAATTTTGACTTGGACTCAAACTTCAGATGAAATCATACTTTGATTGAAAAATTCTGGCATTAGCAATCCTTCTTCAATGAATTGGTAGTTACTGTAGAAAAATTGGACTCAGATGTACTCAATGATGCTCAATTTTAATTGAAAATTAACAAATAAGTGGCAAAAGAGTAGATGATGCTCAACTAATGTCAGATTCACAATATCAATGTCGGATTTGTGCTTTTGATTAGATTTTTTACAATTGTTTCTTTATATTTTTTTTACCCCTAAAATACATAGAAATTTACCATGAGTAGCGAATTTACCCCAGGGGTTAAGAAATGCTGACCTAAATTATCACAAGGAAAAGTCCCACAACTCTGAGTCTGGCCGTCTGGGATATTAAAATTTGAAAATACTTTGACTTTGGCTTTACAGCACCTGATTATAATAATTCCATTCGGGACTTGTGCTCTTTGTGTTTTTTTGTAAGTGTATTCGTATGCACAGACTGCTGGAGATACTGTAGAAAGAATCAAAACAACTATACTTTGTGGTTCAAATTCTCATTACAGAATAAAAGGTGTTCCCGTATTGTGTGTACCAGGTTAGAGTTAGGCCATAATTTTAGTCCAATTTTCCTAATTTTAGTTCTATTACGAGTTCGAGGACTGTCTGTGTTAGCCAAGTGAATATACCACCTGCCCATAGGTTTCAGTTCCTTTTCACACAACTTATGTAAAGTAGGCGAACAAAATTAGTTACCTCTTGGTACACACACTTCTGGAGGGCCGAATAAAGTTTGTAAATAAACCACTTAATATGGATAGCTGTTCATTGTTTATTAGATAATAATCTGTATTAAGTAGGTAGTTCTTTCCAAAATATGTATGACATTAACTATATATATCCATTTTTAGCAAAAAAAATAGGCCATCAATCATAGGCCAAGAAAAAATTGGAGCCTCTATTGGAAAAAATTGGAGCCTCTAGTTGGAGCCATCCTGTCATATGCTTAACACTTTTTTTTCAAATTCGCTCCATTTTTTACATGCTTGACAAATCTCTCCTATTTATTGATAGCGATAAATCATCAGTCATGTGACGTCACATGAGAGAAGCTGTAGTTTAGACAACACAATAAAAAACCAATAAACCGTGACTAAGTGCACTTCAGGGCAAAGCTACCAGGCAAACATATAACACAGCAGATACCTATTGTGGTCTTGTATGAGGAACATATAGTATATTTTTGTAGTACATTGTTGTATTACCTAGTACTTTAAGGATTGGCTATGCTTATTTTATAATTGGGCAACGCTTGAATCTTATTCTGTGGTGCCTTTCAAAGTCAGTTCTTTTTGTTCTCAATAGAAAAGCTTTTGTATTGAAATAGATTGTATTCTGAGCCTACATATATCATTAGCTAAATTGTTTGTGACAAGGATATTCTATAATTATAAATGTCTACATCTATACTTTATATGCAGGTATTTATAAATTATAACATTTTTTGTTTAAATGTTTTGTTGTTGAATGATTAATAATTGTTGATGGTATGTTTAATAGAAAATGTATTAGTCTATTGTAGTATGTATTAATAGTATTGTATTAGTCAGAATGGAAAAATAATAAGTTTCCAAATAGTTTTTGTTTTGAAAAATTTGAACAAAAAGACAATCAAGTATTTATATTAATCTCATAAAGCCAGATCATGATAAGATTTCTTATAAATTTTAAATTATTCTTTATTACAAGGCAGGTTTAGGAAGTTTCTTTGTGGATTTTTTTACTTTTAATTAACTAATTTGTTTTTTATAACCATCATTCAAGCATTATTTAATTAATGAGTTCAACTGAGCTGGTAAGGGAGAGGTTATTAGGCAATTATGATGTTAATAAGTATAATATGAGTTTTGTAAGGTTTATCTTTTAATTGAAACTGATCATTACTTCTGTGCTTTTTAGAAATTTATAACAGTTTTTAAGATGTCGTGTTTCCACTTTACCATATTTTCATGTGATTTCAAACTGCTTACATGTTGTCGACCATGGTCTTCAAATATAATCCAAATATAATCTTGCTCCTGTTTTACTAGCTTGTCACATACATTTTCTTGGTCTTTAAACCAATGTCCATCATTTGTTGATAATTTTGTTTTTATATTTTTCATATTGAACTTTATTAATATTATTATTATATATACAGGACTCTGATTTGGATCCTGAATTGGCAAGATACTTGAACAGGAATTACTGGGAAAAGAAGAAAGACACTCAGGAAAAACAGGTAATTCCTATAATACATTGCTTGTAATTTTTCATATTAATAAGTGCTAATGTAGATGTATTCTTACCATTATTGGGATTGCTTAAAAAAAGACTGAATGCATTTTGATTTGGAAAAACAAGATATGTCTATATTTTCCAAGCAAACCAATATGGATTTGTCCACCATATGTACAAAGAAGGCTTTGTTTTAGGTACTAACAATTCTAGAAGTTTCTATCATAGCAAGATTCTACTTATAGCACATATGATAAGCCCAGTCTCATTGACATCGAAATTAATAAAAAAAAATGACATTGGTATCAACATATCTTGATAAACGATAATTAACTTGAGCATTCATTCATTATTCAATATATATATATATATACTTTGAAATTTGAAGGTAGTTTTCATTTCCTTAATTATATTTTATGAAAGGAGCCAAAAGCTGAAACAAAGAAAACGTCGAAGAGTTCTGCTCCACCTGCTGAGGTTCAGCCTGAACCTGTTGTTGCGGAGAATGCAAATGAACCAAGAGAACCACCAAAAGCTGAAGAGGTAAAATTTCCATTCATCCTTGATTACAAATTATTCAAAATCTATTTGGAGTTCGCTCAGTTGTGTTCCAAACTCGTTTTATCTTTATGGAATAATCTGAAAATAAATAGGACATGTAAAAACTAGAACATTATATGAGAATGAGATGGGGAGGCTTTATTTTCTGTCCAGAACAGGGGTTCGCCCGCTAGTGCTCCGCCAGTACAGTTTGGATTCCACCAGCTTCCATTCAAATTCCAGAATATAATCAAATATCTATTATGTTTGTCATTGTTATTATACCTGCTACACCTTAAAGATCAATTTTGTTTTGCCATTTGTGTATTTATCTTAGGTTTTAAGCGTCTTTTAACTCTTTAACTTATTTAACTTCAGTTAAAATGAATTCTATGTCTACCAATTTATCTTTTGTAATCATATTCATTTCTAGCTTGCAACCAATAATAATATCTTATAAATCACAACAGAATTTACAAAATGGAGAGATTGAAGACAATGAAGAATTCATGCACGGTCTTCGTACAAGTGTCGAAATATTTATGAACAGAATGAGATCCGATCAAATGAGAAATAGGTCGATCGCAAACGACTCATCAGTGCAAAGCTTGTTCCAGAGCATCAACTCAATGCATCCCACTTTGCTACAGTTTATGAATGACTTGGAAGAGAAAAGATGTAAGATTTGTTGTGACCTTGTCAATATTATGGATATTTGTAACAAATCAAATATATATACTGGTCCCGGTATTTGCCCCTTGCTGACGCTCCACTCTCCGGCTCGCAAATATCATTTCGCTACTAATTTTGGCCTCCTGTCAATTAACTTTCGAAACCACTACTCTAAAGCAATAGACTCACCGTAACTGTGATGACATAGCGATTTTTATATTTGTGACCCTGTTTTATTTTAGTGCAATATGAAGCACTCCAAGACAAACTCACTCAGATTAGAGATGCTCGGGCAGCCCTCGATGCTCTAAGAGAGGAACATAAAGAAAAAGTGAGAAGAGCGGCTGAAGAAGCAGAACGTGTAAGACAAATTCAAATGGCGCAAAAATTGGAAATAATGAGACAGAAAAAACAGGTATGTTAAAGAAATATGATTAAACTGGCTTAATGTGACTATACCGGCATTGCATGCTCACACTCCGAAGAGAGTTTAACAGACTGGTCAGATTATCAAGAATCAACCAAATAAATTTCTGTCTTCACCAGCCATAATAGCGCTCTACCTATGCTTGTATGTTAATTGTTACAGTTCAGCGTGAAAATATACCACGCCTCCTGTTGGCTGCTATGCTCTCCTGATTGTTTTGGCACTCTTTGAGTCTGTATTTCAAACAACTCCTTTTCACCAAGCGCGACTGTTGCTGTTAATCAGGCCTACACAACTCAAATTACCACGAGGGCCGCAAGCATAAAACTGAAGGCCCGGCGGGCCGCAAACTTTGAGACATACATATTTCACAAGATGAACTACAGTTGTTAAACAGTTAAATTTAGTAAAACACTTTCATTACTGAAGAGCTAAAAATATGAAGAATTTTATTTTTTTAAGTATAAACAAGTATTTTTGCATATGAGATGGCAAATATGTATTTAGTGGTTCATCTACCTTGAAAATCCACCCTTCATTTTCAATATTTCCTTTTTATTAAAATTAGGTATTGCCTGTTGCAGTATAAACTGACTGCAGGAAAATATTTTACTCAGGTTCAGTTATGTAAAATCGTCCCAAATATATATATGACAATTTATTTAGTCATATCTACCATTATTGGATATTCCCGTTGTAGGCTAGACAAACAATCCGTTTAGTAGCAATATAGATCTTCCTCTGTTGTACTTTTGTGACTGTAAAATTACATTTTTCTACAAAATCTGCTCCAATTAATTTGAAATTTTCGAGGGCGAAATTGGCGAGGGCTTGAGCGACGTATTTTAGGGGTCGCGAAGGGCACACCAATTTCACACACAGTTTGATATTTATTGAAACTAGTGCAAAACATAAATCTCACGATTTATAATATGATCGGAGTAGCGGCGCGCTTGCATAACAATGCCGGCTTTGATTGTTAGACCTGAGAAGTGGCATGTTTCCAAATCATCCGTATGTTGTGCAGGCCTGCTGTTAATGATCGTTTATGGCTTATGAAGGCTGGCTTCAAGATTTTTTCGGGCGAATATTTCCTTTCATAAACTGTTTCATTGTTTACTTAATGTTTGCATTGAATAACAGTCTAAATTTATTTATCAAGCCCCTGGATCAAAAAGCGTTATCCTGATCTAAAGGCTACTTTGCCATGGGTTTCAAGACACATAAATTTGCTTATTGGGATGGTTTGAAAATATCGTTTTTAGAGCGATTTTTAAAAGAGAAGATATTGCTTCTTCAGTCTTGTGGGAGTTTCTCATCTGTATTTTGTTCAGGAATACTTGGCATATCAAAGACAAATCGCATTACAAAGAATGCAGGAGCAGGAGGCAGCTCGTCATGCCAGATTAGAAAAACAAAAGCAATTTATAATGCAACGTGCAATGCAACCTGCCATGTTGGTGCAAGGATACAATGTACAGGTTGGTAGATAATTTAAAGTTTAGTTATGAACTTATGATGTAAATTTGCGAATTTAGTTTAAATATTCCTCGTTTTATCAATTGGAATGGTGCGTTATCGATTTTCTGATAACTTTTCATATAAATTTTTAGGTAAAATGTAGCTTTTGGAAAAACTTTGACTGTTGTAGGTTTTATAAAGTTGTTGTTACATTTGTAAAGTCTGTAAATAAGACCGTTTCATATCCTAATGTTGACATGAAAAATTCAGAGTAGTAAACAAAATAACAGTGAATACGGACTACTAAAAGAATTACCAAATGAGTCATATTTAAGGATTAATATTGAAAACATACTTCCAACAATGTGTATTACTTACTGTTTCTGTGTTTAAACGCATGATATATTTCATACTGCCCTACTAGTAGTCATAGGGCAGAGATAGTTTGACTTATCTCCAATATTTTATTATTCTATCTTTTTATTATAAATATCAAGTTGTAAATATTGTTTTCAGTATATGCCTCCTCAACCTAACATAGGAGAAACAGCACCTGAAATGCAGCAAGCACAAGGTAAGTTTTCTTGTACTCACTTAGAACGATAGTCAACTTTTGCTTCAAACCTGGAGTAACAGCTGGAGTCATTTTTAGAATCGCTTGGAATTTGCAGTTTGGTTAAAAATTTTCTCGAATCCACAGCCCTGTTATCATTAAGTCTTGGGAATTTTCCCAGCTTATGCTTGGAAAATGCAAGGTCAATTGCTGCTGTTTTCTGAACAAGTCTCTTTGAATCATTTTATAATTTTTATGATGTATCTCCTGACTCAATCCAAAAAAAATATAATTTAATAAACAGGCATGCAACCGGCTGCATATCCACCTTACGGACCCGGGCCAGGCTACCAACAACAGCCTGCTACTATGGCACAACCAGTTGTCACTCAGTCACCATATACTCAACAGCAAATGGGAATGGTATGTAACAAAGTCCATTCTAAGACTTGGTGTGTTTTTTTGGATTACAACAATAAAATAATAATTAGAATTACATTTGAATCAAGAAAATATAAGAATACCATTTGGATAATGTGTTTAAATTTAATACATAATTATTAATTATTAGATATACCGGTAATTTAAGTTATATACCTAAGCCATACTTCAACGAAGTTAGAAACTTTAAATATGGGGTATTCGTCAAGTCCCGGTTACAATTTTGTTATAAAGTCCGTTAGTACTCAATATATCTTAACCAGGTTTGTTTTATCACTTCATTTAATACACCTTTATGGGCCAACAAATTCCATTTGAAATTTTAAAACTCCATAAACATTTTGGGATATTTCTTGAAGAATGATCTTCGTTGTTGTTCACAATTACCCAATTTGATAACAGGCACCTCCACCCGGACAACCCCAGTTTCACCAACCACAAATGCAACAACATTCCGGACAATATCAACCAATGGGAGCTGGTTATCAACAAGTATGAAAGTCCTAAAATTTGAACTATTCCTAGATATTTAGTAGTAACTTATTTTTTCTCTTTATTTTTAGCCAAATCATTTTATCATCCATAAATGCTAATAATTTTTACAGGGTGTACCAGACCAAGTAACAGCTGCTCAAATTCAAGGTAATGTTAACTGAATTTCCTCAATTCCAAGTGGTAATAATAATTTTTGAGGGGGTGGGAAGGGTACAGTAATTAAAACTGAAAATAATTGTTAGATTTGATATTACCTGCCTTATTTTGGATATTTACAACGCCGTTTTTTGAATAAAACATACTTTACCATTACTATCTGTTATTTGAAGTGTTTATGTTAGCTAGTTATTTTTGAGGAGGGCACACAAGACATGACAGATTCTAAAAAGGGGGAGTTCGGCTTAAAAAGTTCAATGAGAACCACTCGTTTAATTTCATCATAGATGTTGGCTAAACTTTTTAAATATCTGCAAACCTAGTAGTAATATGGAGCCTCAAAATTTGAAGAAATAATAGCATTCTGAAATCATTTTGTTTGTTAGTCACAGTAAAAAACAAATAATAAAACGATCCATATCTAAACATCACATTCAAAAACTCAACTATTTGTTCAGGTGTATTGCCAGGTCAAGAATCCTTCAACATGGCTGGTATGGTATCTGCTCTACCACAGCAAGGCAATCCTAACATCCAGGGACAGCAACAAGTTGTTGCCACGGCCCCACCTCCTACACCGCAAGCGACGCCTACCCCACAACAAATGACCCAAACCCATGTGACACAGCCTCATATGATGCAGATGCAAGGTCAGCCCCAACAAATGCAAGGACAACAGTATTACCAGCCACCCCAGGTGGGTCAGGTCAGCTCAATAAAAAAAATTTTTTTTTAAATGTTATTTGACGAGTTGCCACTTCTGCCCTTTATAAGTTAGAAATATGGTTTAATGCCACATGGATTACAGTATTATTTTAAAATTTGTATAATCAAATAGCGGTCTTTCATGCAGGGGATAGCTCAAATCTCTGTGATAATTATCACAGAGTATCAACTTCACAGACTGTATCATGTATTAACATTATTTTAGGTGTGCTATGCCAGTATAAAATATGGCGATGCTCAGCAGCAGATATTCCTAATAATTCCAGGAATTGCCAGTAGAATCATTGTACAATACCAATATCCTACATGAGAATATAGAAACTTGACTTGCGTTTCTAGGGTACAAAATACACAGTGGTGCCCACAACATTTTAAAGCAAAATGATATCCCTAAAACATACGTTAATACAATTTTGATCTTCATTTGACACAGGACCAACTGCCACCAAATCAGCAACTGACTCAGCAGCAAGCACAAAATCTACTCATATCATTTGATTAAGGACGTGCGACTTTTCACAACCTCCTGATGCAATAAAGAATGTGATATATTCGAAGCACTGGATTTATTTATTTACCAATCTTTCATAATCGTCGACCTGATTAAAAAACATTCACACTATGTGGAAAAATGAATATCTCCCTCTCATTGCTAGTCTTATATGGGGGGGGGGGGAGGGGGGTGCAACAGGCCGCCAAGCTATTTAGTGGGCCCTTATAAATAAAATTCGGACAAAGACAGTTGGTTAAAATACTTTTTTTTGTAGCTGCGTTTGGCTGGTTGAAAATACATGAATCATTTTTTTCTATTGTCGCTGTGTTTAGCCAGTGCCCAGTGCATTTATTTATTAATGAAAGGGTAAGCGATATATATCCACTTTTTTCGCAGTGCTCTCTGGTTGCCTCCTTAATTCTTATGTACACAAAAAATATCAACTGACAAAAAAATGTGGCATACTTCAGTCTTACGCCAGGTATTATTTACTTGGTCTTTGAATGATGATTCATTCCTTTCCAAACCTGGCACCAGAGAGGAAACATCCTGTGCAATAACCACCCACCCCGCTTGTATTCATGTTCACTATCATAATATTCTCGTATATTTGTGCTTTATTAACCAGCCTGGTGAAAAAAATAAAAATAAATTTAACGAAGTCTAAAGCTTGTGGTCTTGTTTAGGATATTTCCATCGCAGATTCGAATGTCTTCATGTCAAAACCTAAGATCCTGGATGCAGCTTTAAACTTGTAAACGCGAGGTTCCTGGAAAAATATTCAACAAATCCAAAAAATGAATTAATAAACGGGGATGGTTGTAATGCATGGCGAACAATGTGTCTGGACAGGTTGAGAAAAAAACAAACCAGTTCAAATTTAACTAAGCTTTGCTTTGAGTAAGAGTTCTATTCTAGACTGCACAAGTTAAATATTAACTGTGCCAGAGGCGGCCAAAGTTTGACTGTACAATCTGCTTTACCAGGAATTAAATTACTCCGTCAGAACATACCTAATTTCATTACTAACTGCTATTACATTGACAAAGCGAGAAAACTTACAGAGTGGACCTTTCAAAACCGGCTATGATTAATTTTTCAGTGACTCGAGTTTATTTACTATCTGTAATATTAAACAGAAATAAATACCTTGACTGTTGGTGTGATGTGAGCCTTCGTAACATGTTTCTTTAAAGTTTGTTTATGAGCATATGCTTTATGACAATCTTTTATAGGGCATACAAATTCTTTGACACCTTCATGAAAAATCTGTTGAAATAATGAAAATATACATGTCACTGGTAAACTATGTCTGTGACAGGCATTCTCAATAAATGATAAAAACTTCCGGACACCTCGGGTCAAATTTATTATTTAATGCAATCATAATTTAGATTCAGACTACAGCGGTTGAATTTTGTAAGCAATAATCGAAGTTAAAATATACCCTGAGAGCGTAGAGTTGGGAAACATTCTCAACAGACAAAGTGTTTTTTTATCTCAGCATTTTTGTCTACCAATTACCCAATGTCTGAAGTTGTTTTTCAATTGGCTCACTAATTTTGTTCACCTACTATACATCAAGGAATTCTATGGGCAGGGGCTATATTCACTTGGCTAATACAAACATTCCCCGAACTCGTAAAAAATGGGGAAAATCTGAATAAAAATATGGCCTAACCTTGTACACATACTACTCAGAGCTGTTAAACCCACCGATTCCACATCCCATAGTGCAAGCTATGATAAAAAAAAATAGCCTATATTCAAACAATGAATATACTGTAGGAATTCTAGCTTTAGCTATTACCTATGTAATATTGGAAAATATTACCTTGAAATGCTTAGTCATGGCATGCTTTTTTGTAAAGTTTCTATCACAACCACTGCACTGATAAACTTGACGATTTTTCCCATGTGTTTTCTCATGAGACAACAATCTGAAAAGAAGTTATAATAATTGCAATGATGAGGTGAATATGCGCATTCGATAGTAATTCTTAATAGCTCCAGATTAATCAGTCAAAATACATAAATTGATTCGTTACAGTATCTCCCAACTTATTTAACTAATCACTCTATCACAATCCTGCATCATTTAATTTTGTTAGAAATTTAATTGCCTATGTTTCACAACTACACATCAACACATGCCTATATTTCTCGAAGAAAACTTTATCACAGTCTTTGCACTTGAACTCTTTCCTGTGTTGCCGTGCAACGTGGGTGAGCAGTAACGTCCAATTGGATAACACAGCATCACAGTTTTTGCATGGATACCCGTTATGAATTTTTTCGTGTCGGTTTTTGTGATTCTGCGTCAAAAATCGTTTGTCACATTGTTTACATTGAAAAGGTAATATATTCGTGTGAACGTATGAATGTTGTGTTAAAAGGTGATGCTTTTCAAATGATGAGCTACATCCTGGCTCCGTGCAACGGTATTCCTTTTTTGTTCTGTAAAAATAGTAAATGTATAAACTTGGACTGTGATTATTAAAAAAAAGCTATGGGTCGGGAACCAAGAAATTCTATGCCAACCATTCTACTACGGTAATTGGCCGGCCCTCGATCTTTGCAAATAACCGATGATATGCCACATATAATTTTGGATTCGAAAAATTTACAAACAATGCAAAGATATTAATGTTTTTCAACTATCGTGTTTCTCAAATAGCAGGGGCTGGTTATCCAGATAGGGGTGAAGATTTATTTCGTAAAAATAAACCTACACTTTGTTGTTGTTGTTAATTTCTGCTTGCATTTTTGCAAAAGTTTCTTTTGACAAACTTTCAGGATGGCTTGCGAGTATATGCTTGTCAAGAAATGATCGACGAAAGAATGATTTTCCACATATGTCAACTGGACACATCACCTAAAATTGAAATACCAAAGTCATGAAAAAAACTGTTGATTTGGCTAAACCAGTGGTTCTCCATGAGCTTTGAGTTCATGTGGTAAAAACTGAATAGTAAAATTAAAATACTGATTCCTCGTCAATTTATTTTTTCGAAACCATGATAAGATGCAGCATTTTGATTGTAGTTTCGTACAATTTTTTCATATGTCGTTTATAATCTCACCCGACCATGTCATAGTGACGTAATAAATCCCGCCTAAATATACAGATGGTCGTCCGAAACGCGCAAACGAATAAGCAAAGTTTTCTCGTCGTAGCGATCACAACATGGAAGAGATCGCCATGGCAGATGCCATTTCAGACTATACTTTAGCAAGCTTATGACATGATTGTGATGTCGTAGTCAGGTGGGGGTTATGTTTGCCCACTAGTAGTACTAGTCTAGTGGTACCACACTAGACCTGTATTGTCACTGCTGATTGGTTGTATTTCACTATTGTGGGATTTGTATTGTAAATGCTTATGTGAAACGAAAAAACTACTTTGAATCCTGAAAAACTCTGAGCATTAGAAAAATTGTTGAAAAATTCATATTTCACCTTGGTTTTTCGCTTTTCATGATTTTTCATATGGCGCTTTAGAATTTCTTCATCAGCATACACTTTGTCGCATATTGAACATTTGCTTGACCACTAAAAAATTCAGAACAAATTTTTTATTATACATTTTTGAAAATTTACTTCCCGTCCATGTGAAAAGAATATTCAACTTCCTATTAATACTTATTATATACCAAATATAGCCTAGTTAAAAAGATCAAATAGTGTGGCTTACCCACTTTGTGGCCACGACCTATTTGCGACTATCAACTTCATCGAATAAATTAATGCCGAAAAAAATAACCAACCGCGACGATATTTCTCACGCGTTATCGTCCATCGTCCCCTTATCCCTCGTAACTCTGCAAAATTACACTAAAATGTGGCCACAAACAAAAAAGTTACGACCGAAAACACGACCGAAGAAAAAAAACGGACCATTTTTCCATGTCGCCAACTACCCATTGTTCCTTTGAAAATCCACACAAATATAAGAGATAAAAAAAATGAAACTTGGCAGGTGGGTAGAGTTGTGTTTCTTTTAACCATCTCTAAAGTTTCGCGTTTCTACATTTGAAGGAGAGGGGATAGGAGGGTGCGCATTTCCAATACGTCGATAATATCTTTGTCCACCAATTTGCGACCACCGTGTTTTAGTCTGTTTGATTGCTGTGATGAGGTGTTTGTTTATAATTTGACAAGTTTTGTTCGAAATAACCGTGTTCTTAAAATATATGACGATCAGAAATGCAATTAGAAGCCCATTTTTTTCACGCATGGCTGCGTATGCCCGAGTCTCGACGCAGCAGAAACGATGTTCAAGGCTTGAAATCCGTGGTAACACACTGGTCATTCGGTCTCAAATTCGAGTTTTAGCGTGTAGAATAAATGCCAATGAATCTACCGTGAAACAAATTAACAGGTTAGAAATATTGGTTTTTGTTTTATAGCTCACCCTACAGCCCTATACTGCTATAAAACTAATCATCGCTTCAATGCCATACACTTTTGCTCTTGTAATTCAACCGATTTATGTTACTCAAATTTTTAGGCCTAAAGCAGTAAAGGTTTGTGTAACTTTATAACTCCATAGCTGACCTGTGATTTGTCCACATGATTTCTAGCATAATGAAGTCTCAGGTGTCTGTTCTTTTCGAATTCCTTTTCGCAAATTTCGCACTGCACCATGTTTTCAGTTTCGAAGCCTACGACTCGGTATAAAGCTTATATTTCCGCCGTAAAAGAAGCAACTTTCTAGGGCAGAACATGTCCAGAAATCCCCAGTAAGAAAACACGTGTCGTCCATGTTCTTATTGCGTATGACGTCTCAATACTCATTATCTTTATGTATCTTTAAATTAAATGCACAAGTGCGTAAAAAACTGCGACGCTCGCTATCACTCTGTTGCGCCTTTTTTCTTATTTTTATATTCTATCTATCTTTCTTTATCTCATCGGAACAGGCTCACGAAAAAAAATTTGTCTAGCTAAGACCTTTTGTCTTGGTTATATCACTCGGGGATGGTTTCTCATTGTTTGTTTTAGATTTTGGGGCATTTAATAAGGTGTTTAGAGAGTAATTCGGTGTTTATTAGAGTGTCTTTGCGATTTACAGAATTTTATAGTAACGTTTTGTGTATTAAAATCAGGTCTTTTCATTTCAAGTTTCATATTTAATTCAAAAAATGTCGGAATCTGTCGTTGACTCTAGTTTACCTGCCGTGGCTTCCGCATCTGTAGAAAACGGCGGCGCTTCTTCCACATCGGAAGAAATACCAAAAAATGCATCATCAGCCGGGACGAATGGTACAAAATCCGAGGATTCTGCAAAAGCAGCACCATCAAACACACCTTCCTCAGACGGATCTTTAAAGAAGAACAAAAACGAACGAGAACGCCGTGCACGTGACATGGCATCAGCGTCAAAGTTATGGCTTTCAAAATCTTCTGGTGGAATGTCAACTAGTGCTAAACGGCTGCAAAAAGAGCTTGCTGATATTACTTTGGATCCCCCTCCTAATTGTAGTGCGGGTCCAAAAGGCGACAATTTGTATGAATGGGTCTCTACCATTCTAGGGCCCCCAGGATCTGTATATGAAGGGGGTGTATTTTTCCTTGACATCAATTTTACTACCGAATATCCTTTTAAACCTCCGAAGGTGATATTCAGAACACGGATTTATCACTGCAATATTAATAGCCAGGGAGTTATATGCTTGGATATATTGAAAGATAATTGGAGTCCGGCGCTCACTGTTTCAAAAGTTCTCCTGTCCATTTGCTCGCTACTCACAGACTGTAATCCTGCCGATCCACTTGTTGCCAGTATTGCGACACAATTTTTGACCGATAAAGATGAACACGATCGCATATCGAAACTGTGGACCAAAAAATATGCGACATAAACTTGAACATCCTTGTATTGTTGAAATTTTGAACATTCTCCTTTTTCATACCTTGTTACGTGCTATATCTAAAATCATTTTTTGATTACCCCTATGAAATTTTCTAATTCATTGGGCATTTACATACTTGTTAAAATGCTGCTTTGTGTAAATGAAATTTAATTTACCAATTCGATTATTGTTCTGCCTATGGGTGATATAAGGTTTTGTCAGATCATACCTTGAATGGAGAATATTAATATTCAAATTCTGTCTGCTTTTTTTCAACAAATGCATTATTAATTACCTTGTTTTAATAGTCTATCTCCTAGCAGCTGCCATTTATTTGAGAAAAGCTGAAGAAATTGACTGAATAACGACAAAGGCGCATAACTTTAGATTTGATTTTTATGGATAAAATTCTTTATTAAGATTTGATGTCCACTTCGTTCCTTGAATTGCTTCTCAATCTATATTTGGTAATCATTGTGTGTTGTTAATTTCACCTGTTTTATTAAACAATCAATATATTTCCAGTCATTTAGACACTTATTTAATTCCCATGCTAACTTTAGATAAATTATCTGTAAGTGAACCCTAAAATGAAAATGAGTGTAACATTGCTGCCACAATGATTTGTCAAACATAAAAAAAAAACTATTATATTTTTGTTGTTTATAGACATTGTGTCCCTATTGATTTTTAAATCATTTATTAATCTACTTTCGATATCAGTCTGCTAAATTCCCGACTTAACTATTTACTTTGACTTCTTACATTGTTAATAATACAGCAATAAGTACAAAAAGCCACTTGTCGTTACGGGTTTATAATCTGGTGAATGTGATACTTGAGTTTATCAAGAGTCTTTCATTGCTTATCTTACCACTTGTGAGATTGGTAATTTTACCTATACTGATCTCGTGTAATTCAGCAATATACGGTATATATAGTAAAAAGGCCAGGCAGAAGATGGGATTCTGTTGATCTAAATCCTATTATTTTAGAGTCTAAAATTGTAATAGTGCAATGTTTTGGACTTCTAACCAGGAATGTCCCATTTATTATTTTATGATAGGCGAAAAATTAAATAACTTCTGACAGAATAAAATAGAGAATACTAATTAAAACAATGTGTATCTCAATTAATTTAATCACTACAAATTTACAAATGTCTTGAATAATTTACTGGACAGATCCATATCATTATAATTATATTCGATATTTAAAAATTTAGAATGTATTCGGAATACTATATTATTCCGTTTTGGCCATTCCTGCTTTTAACCAATAGTATAACCTAGCCACTTTTTTAAAAAAATTACTTCTGTGGGCTAATTAAAGTATTTCATAGTCATTAAAAAGTGTTGATTGGTATACTATTCAAGTGAATATAGTTTTGACATTTTAGAATTCTAGCTTGCAATTGATTATGGTACTTATAGTCATAATTTTAAGGTTCTGTGATGTAGACCAAGGTTGAATTAGTAAAATTTCAATTTGTCCTTCTATTTTTCACCCCACGCACGGTTAAATAATGAATTAGGCAGGCAAGGCTGATAGGAAAGATTCAGGCCCTTTTGAAGATATTAGTTTTTACATAATGTGAATGTATGTGAATAAGCGCTTTATAAAAAAAATTAAATCCAACAAAACGATATTGTAACTGGAGAAAATGCAAATTTCAAAATTCTTCACACATCTTAGTTATTACTGGTAGATCATTTTTCATTACGTTATTTTCAATTGGATCATCCAATGTTCATGGATTATGTAATTTCATATATTTTTAATTGGTAATCCTAACAAAGTACTATATGAATAATTTCGGTGTTAGGTAAGCATAATTTGAATACTATGTCATGTTACATAAAGCAAGCGTTTCAGGTTGGCCGCTTTCATAGAATGTATTATTAATATTTTCTTTTTAATTAGATGGAATTTCATATTGTTATTTCTATCAATTGAATTGGTGTAATGGAATATTTTTTACTCTGTGTAGTCCATCTTTTGAGGTATATTTCAATTTAGATTTTCCCATGAAATCCTTCACCATTTTGACTTATGAAATCACTTGTTCCATGGTTGCAAAGAAAAGCGACGTTTGATAACAACGACACTTCCATCGATTTAGAATAATATACAATATCTACCATAAAGATCAGTCAAATAGTTTATTTGTAATTTATGCATATAGAAGAATGTTTATGAAATGAGACTTAAAATAATCTCCGTTTTTCACAGTAAATGGTGTTGCTGTTACATAATATTCTTAATTATGTTTCATAAGCATTCAATGTACGACAGAATAAAATTCAAATTAATTTTTAAACTCCTTAATAAAAGTGAAGAAATGTTTTTGATTCATTTTTGGATTGCCTTCTGTTATTTTCTTTACTAAGAGTCTGTTGAAAGCATTTTATATTCAAATACGGTTGTTTGAATAAATATTTTATTAGCCATTTATTACACGGCACCCTTCTTGGTCATTGATGTCATTCTTTATGTATTTAGTAGACATGTTGGATACAATCACTTCAGATATTTAATTGCAGAATTCAAGACTGACTCGTTGAAGAGTAGTAAAATAGCATGTCATTTTACTGTATTTGTAGCTACATAGGTTTTTCTTAATAGCCATCTACAATACAAACTTTGCCAAAAGTGAAATCAACTTTAAAAAATAGGAAATATTGAACATTTTGCCTGTGTTTAATTCTCTAAAAAAAACTTCATCGATTGTAAATTGCTTCCTGAGAGAATTTTCCATTTAATTAATCAATAAGTTGTCAATTTGTCTTATGTATTTAGGACTAGCAGTTAAGTGTATTTTTACACACACAAATAAAATGGCTAGATTATTCAACTTCGTCTTACTATCATAAGCTGTAATATCTCAAGGAAAGTCATACAATTATATATTTAAGTCATTGATTGTGTACTTCCGACTTTGCGAGTACTTACGGTAAATTCCAATGAAAAAAAGTCAAGTACATATACCTTACATACTTTTTTAGCATAAATAATTTCAGTCATTGTTTTGAATCATGATCAATGAAATTGATTTTTGCGAAACACTAATATATATAACGTGTCAGGTAGTCTGTGAAATACATTTTGTGCCGTTCTTATACATGTTCAATCTGTGGTAATGTTATGCCCTAAGAGTAGTTATTGATGATGACATACTTCACCGCAAACCAACTTAAAAAAAAAAGTACTTATATAATGAAAAATTGAGTTAATCCAGAGTTATGGAGCAAAATTTGAGTACAATATTCGATGAATAATGAAATTTGAGAAATAATAATGTTTCATAATGGTTTTTTATACTCGCTAAGTATTCAGGTAATGCAAATTAAATTTTAATATAAAATTTGTAGGAAACCCATACTTACAAAAATATTTTGGTGAAATATTGTTCATAACTTGAATTGCAGAGTTGAATTTTTGTTAAGTGTGTGACCAGGTATTACCAAAACCCTGTGCCATGCTGTTGTTGCTTATTATACTTTATATGATACATCAAATGTTTGCTTATGACTCAAAATAGATTTGAATTTTTTACTGAAATATTTGTGTGAAAATGACACATTGTTGCTTTGTATCATGTTATAGTGGTTTATATCGCTCTTTAATTACCTAAACAACAAGGTATGATCTGATAAAACAATTTTATGCTTGATCCCTGATGTTGGCTTAACTTATATAATGCAATATCTTAAAATCTGACCACAAAATGTTATTTTTAGACTATTGTTGTGTTGCAATATAAACATGCCCTAAGCAAAACAGATTCGGTATCGTTTATTAAAATATTCTGAATTGCTCATGGACTATTTTCAATTATATAATTCATTCTGACTAGTACATTTTTTCTAGTAGAAACAATGAATAATTGACATCTCTGATCGCCAGCTTTTGGTTTTAGCAATGTATTTACCATATTGAATTCTCAAAGTGAATCTGCATTCCTTTTTACTCTTGGTGTTTTTTCTATCTACGCGCAAGTATCTATGTAGTTATCGGTGTGTTTTTTGCCTTCTCCATGTTATTGTTCTTGTATTTTAAATTTCTTATTTTATGATATTTTGTGGGTTGTACTTGATGACTATCATATTTCTGGATGTTTTCTTATGAATCCTTCGCTTGTTTGTGTCAACACATCAAGGCTATGTAAGGATGACAGGTCTGGCATTGGGGAGATGGAAATTTTCAACTAACAGTTAACTTCATCTGTTGTGTGCGTAGATACAAATCAGGGCTCCTGTGTAAAGGAGAAACGCACGGTATTCTTGTGACTTGCACCGTTTTGTTGAATTTCGATTCATATCGGCCACCAGTTCTATCGTTTTCTGCCCATTTAGGAGGAAGTTGAGTTTTTACCGACGGGGCGCGAATTCTGTAAGTTGTTCGCTAGTAACTAGGTGCTTAAAAGGAAAATTGTAAGATATTTGGTTCATCCACGACGCACATGCTTATTAAACAACATTGAAAACAGTTCATATATAGTTTCTATTGTGCATGCAAGTGTACGTTATCTTACAGGCACATTTCATAGCCGTGTCGAACCGGAAGTTATTAAATCTACTAATGCACCCGCGGGGAAACGAGAATTTGAATTCCTATGCTTGTATAATCTGATCTGCAGTTGGTTGTGATTTGATTCGGAGGAATGGCAAGGCAAGTTCTTGCCGGTATTTTTAGGGAGATCGAACCACATTATCGCTGTCGACCACTGGGGCCATTGTTCATTTTCTGTATCTTGTATTTAAATAGTTTCCCTAAATGCCACCGACAAAACAAACGGAATACCAGACGAATATACAAGCGAACATATTTTTAAAATTTTGCAATGCTTGTTTCCCCTGCTGTAAAGAGCATTTATATCGTATTGCGTATTATATTTAATGATAAAAAAATTGAATTCCTCATGGAACAAAAAACAGCAATACACTACGACAATACAATACGACAAGTTTCCATGGTCAAATAATATTACCTTGAATACGAGAGAAAGGACACGATGAGATACTCTTTTTTTACGCTAAACTCAAACAAGCAGCAAAATAAGTACAGATTTCAAAATAATATACTGATACTGACAATTCGGACCACCTCAACAAACAGACAATTTAAAAAGATTTCGAAGTTGCTGTCTCGAAGCGTATTTATTTGTAGAACAATCAATCACTTGTAATTCTCTCGTGCATGATCCTCCCTCAAGGGAGTTGAAATTGGTCTTTGTACGACTAGGCAACGCACATTTGCTAACACGAGGCATTTTTTATTTGTGTATAACTTATTTTCTATCAAATGGGCAACAATAAACATCGGAATTGCTGTCCCACTGCGTTATCAAAATATTGGTAATTACCACATGAACTGAGTGGCCTCATCAATTGACGTGCAATTCATTCTCCCGTATATCAGAAAAAGCGTATGTAGCGAAAAATGACGACCATATACGGACGATCCTGATAGCTGTATTCCGTTTTACACTAGCATATATTTTGGATTTCAAAGGAAATTTCATGTACTAATGGTTATCTGTTTGAGTGAATATATTTTCCTCGTCGGTGTTGTAAATTTATTTCAATGTTTGTCGTAGAATACAGTTAAGAGTAGGAATGGATATATCAAGAGATTTATCATTTCGTCACCCAGAATGATTGATTCACTGACTCCTAAACTTTACACCCATGCTTGAATATATGTCTGAGCGGAATCAGTGTCTGAGCGGCCGCATGAATTTCAATTGGCGCATCATTTTTGACTTACTTCTGATGGGTCATTGTTACAGAAACAAGAGAGCTACGCCCAAATATATGGACACGTCCGTTTGCAGTACAGTACGGTTTACCGTACCGTCAGATCACAGTCTGCAAATATATTCACACCAAGCGAAGCAGTACAGTAGGACACAAAACGGCGTCCGATGTCCGCAGAACGTTCGGTGACGTCATAGCAAACAAAAACAAATCTCACAGAGCTAACAGAAATATTTGAAATAAATAAAAGTAATAGCCTTCTTGAGAAAAATTTCATCTTTAACCACTAAAAATTTCAAAGCAATTGGTCCAGTGATCAAAGAGAAAAGCGTTTTTTTAATATTTCCACTAGGTGTCCAAAAAGTGTCAAAGAACAACAAGAACAACATAACAACAAAACGATCGCTTTGTCCACTAAACGTGTCCAATAAATAAATAAATTAGAGGAAGAACATTTTTTTGGTGTGGACAGTGATAGCGATATCCAGTGATGGCGATAAGGCAATGAAAGATGAGACCCATACGAATCGACAAATACGCAGAAAAAAATCAGCAAAAATATGAAGGCAGGATAAGGTAAAGTATTACGGAATTACCGCCAAAAGAATGAAAAATCACACAGAAGGTCAACAGTGCGCAACTTTAAGAACACAGTCGAAGAGGAGTGAAAAAGAAATCACAGCCAAGATGAATAGTTTAGGCAGTGATTTATTCTAGAGAGAAGAAGGGAATGAAAAAAAGAATAAAACAGTGTTGAAGGGAAAATGCGTAGGCGGCAAGTACAGACAATATTACAGTCTTATTGGAAGTAAAAATGAGAAAATTGTAGGAAAAAAATATGTTTTGAATTTCACTTCTCTATTTTCCATGATTTGATTTTGTAACTTTAAAAATCACAATCAAAAATCCGATTGAACGCAGCGGATAGCGTTCCGAGTTGGTAAAATATGACTCCCTGAACACCACTGCGTTGCATCTTGAATGCTATTTTTGCGAATAGTCTGCATACTGTTTGGTTGGCAACTCTGCGATTGCGGCCACGTACCTGAGGTGTAATTGCTTTCTCAGATGTTTTTACGACATTGTCGAAGAACAGAAGGCATATGCAAGCACTTTTGTGAAAGGTTAGCGGGTCAGCATTTCATTATAGTATTACGGCGCGGCGCGGCGCGGCGCGGCGGTGTGGCTCAACGGGCTAAGCGTTAGGAATACGCTCGCCACCGCACCTCTAACTACTCTGCGTGGGTTCGCAGGTTCGAATCCCATGCAGGGATGGTTATGTGCGAGAGGATTGCTGGACTCCTCGCCGTCGTTGGGTGGTTCACGTAACCGCTAGTCGGTTACGGCTTCCTCCACCACCAAGTCCATGCTTCCGAAAACAAACAATACAGTAAAACTAATCCCATACCCGACTTGGAATGGTAACCGGACGAGAGGCCGTGGTTCGCCATATGGATAAGCCGTCTTATCGGCTTTCCTCTCCCCCGGGATAAATATGTAAATTCTATCCTATCTATTCTATCCTATCTATCCTACGGCAGATGAGTGGGTTTTTCCATAATTCGACCTAATATTGAACGTATTAATCGCAGATTATTAATCATTTTGCCAAAAATATTCCGAAACTTATTTAAACTTGATTGATTGATTTATAGTTGCTGAACATCATGCATGAACTATATTTGTTGTAGCAGCATTACTGTATTAAGATTCCTGAAATATCCATGATCTGATTCTTTTTTTTTATTACTGTATTAATCTCTTCTATTCAAATTTAACTTATTTCTGTATTGTCTTTTTTTGTTTCTGTAATTAGATTTTTTTCTAGCTTGATTAAGGTACTAAGGCTTCTTCATTACTGACAAATAGATGCAACTAATTTTGCAAAAAAATGTTTAAATTAATTGATAATCTATTGCATGTTTTTGTATTTGTTTCAATTCATCTGATTTTTTTTCATTCTTATAATCCCCTATTTTTACTATCTCATTTTTAGGCATCTATCAATCTGCTGTGTTTGACGTGAATGCAAAATAATTTCTAAATGAGTGAGTTCACACTTACCAACTTCACTGAACGTTTATTTATTCTAATTCTTCTATTTTATGTTGTAAACCAGTCTTCTTTATTTGTTGTATAATTGTAGAGTATGTGCTTCAAATGCATGCTTTTTGATTCTCTTTGCCAGGAGTGGCCAACACGTCAATCGCCACGTCTCGAGTAGTCGATCGCAGCGCCTAATGTGTGTTTTAAAACAGAAAGAATACAGTACTGTACATGCGCCAAATACGATATACACATACGGTGTTTGAGTCCGGGCAAGCCCGATAGAGGATATATTACCTGACAAATCGAAGTTCCGGCGCTGCCAACATTTAGAAATTAACGTGCCGAATACCGCGTGTCTTGCCTAAGAAACGATCCTACAATGACTTCTGCAGTTATGCAAAAGTTATTGTCTCACTCCAAGAGTAGTGTGGAAAAGTATATTTGCAACGGTAGCAGTGGCCCATTTTTCTCTAATTCAAAACGAGCAAAGAATCGAACAATCGGACATTTAAATTAAATAGTGAAGTTTGAGCAGTCGTGTAACATTTATGGTTTGAGAATATTTATTTTTCGCTGTTTAGATACGGTAATACATGTCTACCTAGCAAGGTTTTTTGAGGAATTTCCAACACTTAACGACTAAAAATTAGTCAGGCCTTAGATCTAAATTGTATGCTTCGATAAATCTTAAATTAAATGATGAAAATGTACTCCAGGTCCAATAACATAATCAAATTTATAAATTAAATGTATCATAACAATACAAATTTTTTTGGCGATTTCTTAAATGCACCCACAGAGTTGAGCTTATTGGCAGCGAAGGAATTTTCCGTATGCGTGTGTACAGTTATTTGCATATCGGGTACTCATTCGTTTTTGTGTATGACCTTATTACTGATCTATTTCAAAGATTTCAGTCGATCGCGATCGAAAGCAGTTTGGCCACCCCTTCTCTATGACATTAAAATTGTATTCTTATAGTAGAAGCGGTAATATAATCGCATAAAAAAAAATTAGCGATTTTCAACACACAAAATCACTGCGCCTTTGCTCACTTTAACACGAACAAGCTCTTGTAAAAGCATACCCTGATATATGAGCAGCAGCTATTTTTGGATGGACAAGAATATTTCCAAAACCTGATATCTGTAACTTGTAACGCCAATGTAGTTAAGTCCAGGACCCCAATAGACCAGTGGTAGCCGGCCTTCTCAGCGTCAAGGATCTTTTTAGCCTGAAGGAGCCTGAACCTCTTTCTAAAACGTTAATTCTTATTCACAATTGGCACTATCACACAACGCTAAACGGCGATTTAAACTTGCTATTGAATGACTACATAAATAATTCTGTTCTTTCATATGAAAATGATCTTGTGTTATGCTGTAGCATAGTTTATGGAGTTGCAATTGATTTATCCTCATCTGCAAGTTGGTTCATAATGCTGAATGGCCAGTATTTATGTTTTGTCGTTCACTTTTTCCCCTATGCATGAAAGAACCCTCTGAATCACGGACCCCTGAAATCTATTTGTGGACCCCAAAGGGTCACTAATTTGTTATGAAATCAATCCATTCTTAGACAATATCTTAATATTAATTTGTGGAGCCAAACAAATGCTATTATTCTATTTGCAACAGATGGATAATGTGGATGAAAGATAAAGATCACAATTTATCATTGCATGGTGTTACATCTCATATTCTTAATCCAAAATCTTCGTCAGGAAAGACATGCGGATCAAATTGCCTTAGTTTTTTCATAACCAGCATAAAGACTCTGCTACTCATTTCTTTTTATTATGTTTTTTCTATTGGACTTACGTTCTATAATAGATGGCTTTTCAAGGTGAGTGGAAATTGTGTTCACTTTTTTCTTGTATCTATTAGCCTCTGGGTGAGGTGGTGTCCATGGGATGTGAACCAAAGACATCTATGAACTCGAAACAAACAAAAGTTTGATAGCAAAAGCTTTGTCATTTGTAAGCCTTCTTTATTTGTCTGTTGATAATGCTCAGTCACCCTGATATAGTAATACTTGCCAAACTCACCACTCCACGGCCCTGTATACAACTCATTATAAAAATGAAAAAAGTATTCTTTCAAATACATAAACATGTGTATGAACATGGCCGCTTCGAGGTTATAAAATTGTTATTACTGCATTTGAGTTTCTTAAGATTTCAATGACAGTTGTTGTGTTGTGTATATTTCGATGGTTGATTATCATAAACACTTTTTCGGAAAAATTATAAAATTCTTATTCTTTGAAATATTTTCTGTTCAGGATTTTCACTATCCACTTATTACTACGAGTACTCATTTCTTGACTGCTTTCGTACTCTGCGGTTTTTCGCGTTTAATCATGTCATATTGCAAACGAGATGTGCCAACATTATCGTGGGATGTTTATGCTAAAAGGGTATTTTTAACTGGTACGTTCTTTTTATGTATATTCATATTTTGTCTGGGTTCGTCAGAGCTTACTTGGGACTTGAACTTAGAAATATGCTGGGATTTGACCTAAATCTTTGATGACTCGCAACTTTATTTAGAGACTTCTATTCAACACTATGGATGTTTCCCAGTGCATCGATTTTCTTGTTTATTTTCATAAAAAAAGAACCAAATAGGTAAAAGTCAACGATGATGTAACAATTATAATTTTTCCAACCGATAATTCAAGCATTATTGTGAACATTGGCTCATATTTGCGGTTTTGCATATTATTTGTCAGTTTCCAAAAATTAGTTGTAAATAAAGTATTTTGATTGTCATTATGTCTTTCGATTAGCTTTAGTTTAGTTGCAATAATCAAAAATTAGTCCCGGCAAAGCTGTGATAGATTTGGCTAAAATTAGCTTTAGTATTTATTTTAGTAGCTGTGGTTGTATATTTTATTAAAAGTACGGTAATAGTTGAATCCATTTGTAAGGTCAACTCTCCAAAACACTCAAAACTTGAGATTGTAAAGTATATGGATAACTTTTCTTGGGTCAAAGGTCGGGTAAACATCTAAAGTTAGTTAGTTGGGCTTCTTCGATTCGTGTCAACTCAGGGAATCTGTACTGTTTGTTACAATTCTTATGTTGATCTTGCAGATTATACATTTTGGATTACTAAGCAATTATGCTTTTTTAATTACAGTGTGACTAGTTGATGTTTGCCAAGGACTTGACCATATACGGTATAAATACTTCGTCCTTCAAAGTTGTTCACCTGTTGTCTGTTGCGAAATCATTATTGTATGCTGAATTCCATCGACAAAATTGAAAAGTCAAATTGTTTTTCATGATCCTACTTGCTGGGAAATGCAAATGATCGCGTCTTTAATAAACTTTTTTCAAAATTGTATTTTTTTTCAGGCCTAGCCAGTGCACTTGATATAGGATTGTCAAATTGGAGTTTTGTATTTATCACTGTTTCTTTGTAAGTATCAACTTATTATTATTAACCTGGTGGAAACACTACAATTGTCTTACTTATTATCAGTCATTGTGAATATTTTGTCTTCTTAATTCTAGGAATGATTTAGAATAGCATATAAGCCCAACCCCTAAAACTGTGAATAAAAAAAAAATTGGCATATGAGCCGACCCTGTAAATTGTAACACGTTCGTCATATGTACCTATCACAGCAAATGGTTGCACGCTCTTATCGCGAGGACTTAGCATGGGTCGATTGTAGCTGTTGGAATTAAGTTAGCACAATGTCATTTCATTTGGGTGCTGCGATCAGAGTTGCGTACGTATAAGCTGACCCTTTAGTGCGATTAGAATTATGCACGTATAAGCCGAATTTTTAGTTTAATCAGAGTTATGCACATATAAGCCTACCCCTTAGTTTGGCACCTCTTTTTCGAGTTTTAAACTTGTGCTTATATGTGAGGCTATACGAATCAAAAAATTTATAATTCAGAGCAATCAAAGTATTATCAAATATTTTCATATATTATCCATTGAAATCATCCTTATTCATCACTGTGAATACAAATTATACACATTGTTTCGTTACAACATCAATCTAGCGTAGTTATTACTATAGTTATATGGTCTAAGAATAGTGAATAAATATAAATATAGTGTTTAATCGGGTGTGATACGCTTCACCGAAAAGTACAAGTTTAGAACCGACTCTTCAACATTGCTTCCGTGCAAAAAACTATTTGCTCAGTTAATCATTGTGTCGTTTAACTATATTCTCAATATCAAATACTCAGCTCAAAGTACAAAGCAATATTTAATCTCTCTGCAAATAAGAATTGAATAGGTGTAACGTTATATTACAAATGTGTATGTAATTTTAGATTTAGAATTTGGATTTAAAAATTATACTCTTCAATCTATATATTGGTTTCATGCAGGTCACTGGTTTAGATATATAAATAAATAGAATTTTGTTATCAAGATGTGCATACACTCCAATTCAACTCTATTAAATTTTGTTTGGACTATTTTCACTCTGAACAAGGCTCTGCATAAGTAGTTACTACAATAAGAAGGACATAAATATCTCCGGTTTGGCATTGCCTGCCCAATTTATTATAAATCCTGTCCTGGATGAGCTGGGGGGTATGGGATTTGAACGAAAATTTTATCCTCCGATGCCATCGTAGTTAAGTTTAACACTTTTAACCACAAGACCATCGTGTCAACGAATGTTGGTTAACAAGCGAATCGTAAATAAAAATGACCAAATTTAAAGTGTTGAAGGGTGGACTTATTTTAGCATTTTAAACATGTCATTGAAAAATACATGCTGGGAGATACTGTAAACAAAAATCGTCAAACTTTGGTACTGGTATATTTCTATGAATGCCATCTGATATACAGCTGATGTGCTGAATGAATACCAATATCAAAATTTCATTTAGTTTTCACTTTATTTCAGATATACTATGGTGAAATCTTCTGCCGTTATATTTATATTAGCATTTGCAATTTTGTTGAAATTAGAAAAAGCGGTAAGTAATTAAATTATGATCTGTTATAAAACCGGATATTCCAATTATAGGGAGTGTAATGTTCCATTTGTGGTTTGACAATAAAACTGATGAATGTTACAGTTATGTTTTTAAATTCAAATTTTTTTGATCACATATTTTGTTAGTCATCAAATTCATCTATGGAATGTTCCGGCCATATCATATATGCTTTGGTTTTATCTATTTCAATGTTGTTATTAAACGCATCCGAGCATGACTTTATGAGGCTAAAGTGCCATTTCCAGATCGACTCTCTCGATCCCATTTATATTTTCCGAATTGTGTTCATACAACATAATATTCTGAAAATTTGGCATCATCTGCTTCTGAGCTCTACAATTATGTTATTGCTGACATGAAGACTTATTAGTCTTGCTGTTAGACAAATGTGGCTTCTCGTCAATTGCAGCCAAAATAAATTTATTTATTTTCGATTTCTTTATAATTTTCTGTTTAATTGTGTTTAACAATGTTTCATACCTGACGAAATAAAAATCTGAAAATTTTTTAATACATAATAGATAAAAATCTTTTTAAGGAGACAGTAGTCTTGAATAATTGAGATCACTATTTATCAGTTTAATTCAGATTGTAGGGGGAAATCAAGATATATTAATGAATTATAAATTCAATATATGTCAATTATTTCATAAAAAGCAAGCAAATCAGAAGTTCCTATCTAATATCTATTTGATCATCTTCTATATATACTTTATAAAAATTTTAATTAAGCTAAGAAGTTATAAAATACTCCTACAAGGGTATGTCAGTTTGGTCAAAAAGTTGACTGTCATCAATTTTGTTCATTTGATTGTCTTTCCCAAAGGGTTTATTGTTTTACTAATATCCTTTGCTTCCATTGTTTTATTGTTATACAAATTTATGCACACTCAATTATAAGCTATTCATGGATTGTTCCAAAACCTAAAGTGAGAGTTGAACATACCATCGGCTTATCAAGATATAACAACAAACGGGAACAGAATTTTCATGCATTATGCTGTAAATAATAGATACAAACTTTCATTTAAAGGTCACTAAGTGGAAAATGAAAAATTTCAAAATTTGTTAAACAAGGTCGGGAACAATCAATGTAAATAATCTTTTGAAAATATTATTTTATCTATTTCAGCGATGGAGCCTTATTTTTGTTGTTATTCTCATCGCTACGGGACTTTTTCTTTTTGTTTACGAGTCAACTCAATTTAATTTGGAAGGATTTATACTAGTTCTAATTGCTGCTTTTATCGGTGGTTTACGATGGACGTTGAGTCAAATTTTAACACAGAAACAGGAATTGGGTAAGTTTGAGTGAGTTTTAGAATAATTAAACATTTTCATTCAGTTATTTTTAACTGGAAATCTGGGTACTCCCGAAGTATGTGTACCAGCTTAGGGTTAGTCCATAATTTTATTCCAATTTTCCTTATTTTGGTTCTATTATGAGTTCGGGGTCTTTCAGTGTTAGCCAAGTGAATATACCTCCTGCCCATAGGGTCGGTCCCTTTACACAACTTGATGTAAAGTAGGCGAACAAAATTAGTTACCTCCATATTGGTACACACACTTCTGGAGCGCCGAAATATAGATGCAATAACTAGTCTTGACTCAACTAACCCAAGTTTTGGTATTTTTGTGACTTATATTTATCTATTTCATTGTTGTTTATGAGATCTAATATGACTCTATTCGAGACTTGAGCGACAAAAAATTACCTAGTTCTCAGACTTACGGACTTGTCCCCAACACTTTACCATACTATTGATTATCCTATGAGATCTCAAAGTCAAAACCATGTATTTCCTGATTCACTACTTCCAATAATACATCCACCAAGAACTAGTGACTAAAAGAACAAAGAAGAGCAGAATTTTTACAGACAAACTTTGTGTCATGACTCATGATATAGTAGATGATTGCCTTTCATCTTTCTGCTGCTTAAGATAAATTTTTTCATAGCGGATGTTTAATTTAGTGTACGACTGTTTATTACAGTTTAAAAATTCATTTCAGAGTTAAATTACTAGTCAGCTGTATATGTATGTTTTCCAGGTTTAAAAAATCCAATCAACCTGATGTGGCATTTACAACCAACTATGTTTATTGGTTTGTTTCCCCTCGCTGTTGGTTTAGAAGGTAAGAGTAGTATTTGGTCTTTATTCGCTAGGATGTTAAAGTTCAATTAACTGATTCTAACTGTCTGCATATCCAACTCCCGACTCGAGCCTTTAGAATTTCAACACTCTATTTTGGGAATTTGAAAATTCGACTCCAAATCCAGTGAAAACAATCTAAAAACTCTGACCCAAGCATTCACAAATTTGCACTATACTTTTTTGCTGATTCATTTTTTCAATGAATTTTTATGATAAATCAATTAAAATATTCTGAACATAAATTGTTTAAACAAGTGCATTCCAAGGTATGGTCATGGAACATGTCTTCAGTTAAGAGCTAGCTTTTATCTTATTTTTTCAGGATTATCATTTTTCACTTCTGAAAAGATTTTTGCGGCAGACGTAATACTGAATCAAACACCTATTTTGCTAAAGATTTTACTCGGTGGTATTGTCGCGTTCTTTTTGGGATTTTCAGAGTATTTATTACTCAGTAATACCTCATCACTCACATTGTCCATTTGCGGAATTTTTAAGGTGAAATGTCAAGTTTTTTTTTGTCATTGTTACTTTGTTCTGTCTGTTTGATTGGTTCTGTATGCTTTAATATAGAATATTTAAACTAGACTATTTATGAGTATATCTTCATCATGTTTTTATCCTGTTTCAGGGATGACCAAAATCGAATAAGTTATAACACAGTAATAATATGTTAAATTATCGATATAGGTATATATCTTTTTTTCTTTGAGATATTTTTCCCTGGTGTATAGTAAAACCGACTATTTTTGACCATTGAAAAGTTAGTGTCAAAAAATGTTCACTTATCAATTTGTGCAGTGTTCATTAATCATCATCTATCTTTGTGTCGGTAGACCTGTGTGACTGCACAAATTAATATATATATATGGAGAGAGAGTGATTCAATGTACGATTTGGGAAATTTTTTAATTTATTTTACTATTACTACAGGAAATTTGCACGTTGTTACTAGCATCACGATATAACGGTGATCGGTTGACAACGATGAATTGGATTGGTTTTGCAGTCTGTATATGTGGTATAATATTGCACGTCTTTCTCAAAAACAGAGCAGAATCTAAACCAGGTAAGACACAACGATAGCTAAACTGAAAAATCTACCATTAGAATATAACGTAGATTATTTTTGAATATGGACTATTAGATCAATTTTAAATTTGGTCATAGTCAAAGATGTAAATGATTTATTTGGTTTTCCTCCTTTTTCTCTGGTTAGCCAATAAGACGGCTTAAAGATTCGGTTACCAGTCAACAGTGTGTATGGAAACAGTTAACCAGTAACTTGTTTCAGATGCATGGACTTAGACCAGTAGTATGTGCACCACCCCCATGGTGGCGAGGAGAACAGCCATTCGCTTGCACATAGTTATCCCACATGGGATTCGAACCTGCGAACCCACACAGGATAATTAGAGGTGTGATGGCACCTAAAGCTCGGCATGGTGTGCCAATGGCCAGGCCATCATTAATTTTGATTTGATTCATCTTGGACATTCCTCAGTAAGATCCATCTATTTTGAACCTGGTGCGTAAATTACAAAAAAAAAAAAAATAGTGAAATGTCATCCTATTCCTAACGGAAATGTTTATTTTGGTCATAAGCATAGGCTTATTTCCGATATTTAAACTTTGAAATTGATTGTTTCGATGATTCTTGATTATAAGGTTCTCGTAAAGCATTGCAACAAAGAGTGTTGGACCCAACTATGTTGGCGTTGCAAGCCAAAAGTTTCCGGATCAAAACTTGTGCCCAGGGTGGTGGGGGTCAGGAAAAGAGCATTTTTCTATGTCATACATAAAGGCCTGAACCACTAGCTGTTGCGGCCTATCTTGGCAATTAGAAATTTCCGAACCCCCCCTTTTGAAAATTCCTGGCTATGGCCTGCCTGTGTCCACCACTTCATCCAAGGTGCAAATAATAAAGGCGGGCAATGCTAAAATTTAAAAATTCCCGCCCTCCGAAAAATAGAAATAGAAGCTCCTTTCATATGTAATATTAGATACTTGAGTACTCCCGAAGTATGTGACCAAGATGGCGGACACCAGATTGTAGTATATGTACCAGGTTGGGGTTAGGCCATAATTTATCTAATTATCTATATTTTATTTCTATTATGAGTTCGGGAGCCAAGTGACTCCTGTAGTATTTGTACCTGAAATTATGGCCTAACCATAACCTGGTACAATTACTACGTTCCTGTGTCCGCTATCTTGGTTCACATACTACGGGAGCACCGATGCTTGTACAGAGCCCTAAACAGCAAACGCAAAACAATTAACGATCACTTTTTTTATAGAAGAGACTTCTGAAAACATTACCATGAACCTTCTTGGAGGCGATCTCGCATCTACTGCAGAAGAAAGTTCAGAAGATGAAATTTTTGATGCCAGGAACAGATGATGATGGTTTAATCATTGGTTGCCACCATCAGATTAATTATTATTATGCTCTTTCATTGTGGGATTCTATGTTTGTTGTATTGTCAGACCAGTGTCTTGTTTATGTAATACCGACACCAGTTGATGGAATGGTATATTGTTTTTTCACTTTTATGTGATGTCAGAATCAAATTGAAATAATTTCTGGAATATTGTATTTCCTCTGTGCCGTAACTGCACTATGTTTTAATCTTTCACATACAAAATCAATGTGACGTTTATCGTCACCCTGTCGAGTATGGGATTATATCAGCTATTTTCCCAGTATGCAGCACTGAGAAGATTTTTGGTAACATAATGGGCTTCTTGGGCGAAATTTTTTTCCCATACTGATGCTTGGTCAGACAGAGTATTTCTGTAGTTGTCGCTTTACCATTGGTCCAAGAGAGATGTTTCTGCTAAGAATAATTAATTGTCGCCATCACATATAACAAAATTATGAATTTCTGGTTAGCTCTCTTTGTATGCTCATTATATATGAATCTTCCCTTCGGCCAGTGTAAGAGGATTATAGGTGCAAAAATTACGCCTCAAAATAGTATGCCGAAGTAACTACATTCACCATATTTCAACTTTATTTTTTACAAATACTATTTAATTGAGACTTTTGTTGTAGTCAACATGTTATATGATTAGCTTTAAATAGTATCAGTTCACTTATTTGTTTCTTGACCTTTCAATCGTCATTCTAGAGCAAAACATTGTGTTTTTTTAGTTTTTATTAAATAACACACCATTTGCTTTGCAGGCATCACTGGTCTTCAAAAGATTAATCATTTCCCAGTTTTGGGAAAAAATTTTCTCATTTTTGGGGTTATTTTATGTTCTGTTAAATCCACTTTGGTCTTAGAGATGTTTGGATGAGTTCCCGTCACAGATTTTTAGCAACAAAAGAGTGTAACAACAGTTAATGTAAGAGTGAACTTTTGGCATCTGGCATACTTCTCATTCCACAAAATTATTTTGGATTCAAGCTTCCTTAAAAAACGGACACAATTACATGTATTCCTTACTTTTAAATATGTTCGGGTAGGACCAGGTCATTCATTGGTGGGCTATAAAATAGTATTGTGGAGGCAAGGGTCACCATTTATCAAAAAGTATCATTGACTCGACTAAGCAATTTACATTAAATTTGAAGTGCCTCTAATTATTGACTCAAAATTTATCAAATAGTTTTCAGTAGTTCAGTCAACTAAATGGAATGACATTGACCTGTCAGCAACTAACTATCTGTGAGACTACTCTCATTGATTGACTTCACTCGGATGACCTGTGACATTGGGGGTCGAAGGGGCTACTATCCAGCGCGCTACTGTAAACCTCCATATATATGTCTGGGCTTTGTGAGTTCTTAAAAAAGAGGCTTCAGGAATGTATGTTTTGATAATTGAAAATAATATTTTACCTTAGTAATATAAACTCTTCAAGGTTGTGATATTTGTTGCAGATTATTTAAACATTTTTATAAAAACTATATTTATGAATTGTTGGAACCCTAACATTATTATTGTATTAACATTCGGAAGAAAATTGAATCACCAGATATTCAATTGCTTTGTAATATTGCAAACATAATCGCCTATAGTTTTGCGGATTTGCTAATGAAATGCTTGTTAACCAATAAGTTACTTGAGGAAAAAATTGTCCTTTAATTTTTGCAAATCTTAAAATTAATCTTATATAAGTGATCGGTTCGTACTTTAATTATCTGTTCTTACCTAGCAGTGTTAAAAACAACCCGAATGTGTCTGCATTTAGAAAAAAAGTCTACAAATATCAATGTATCTTTTTTGAATGTGACTCTACCCCTTTTCTTCTAGTTTATGTTATAACATTTGTTGTTGGCGCGATATGGTAGTGGTATTTATTTTCATGTGTTCAAAGCTTTTTTGAACCTTTAGTAAACTTGTTAAATGATATATAAAAATGTAATACTAGTTGGTGCAATTAATTACTTCTGATTTTGCCAAATATATTAGCTAGCAAAAAATGAAAAACTGCCTATTTTTTGTGTTATTCTGGCTCTAGATTTGGGATTAAGTATAGAATGTAACATTACAGTCTTGAGATATGGGTTTTGTCCCTGATCCTGGAAGAATTGTTGTCCTTGTAAAATGGTTGATCAACGTTTCCCGACTATTACTGATATTCTTCAAGTTTTTGTTATTACTGTAGTGTAGGGTGTCCATGAACTCTTAAAAATTGCGAAGGGAATTTATCGATATATTGTTTTGGCCCTTTGGTTGTATTTAAAATGGTTGTATTTAAAAATGAAGTAAAAATAATTAATTACTGATTAAATAACATTTGATGGGCTTACTCCCAACTCTGGAAGCAGCAGGACTAAATTATGACAATCCATTGGTACACAATTAAAGTAGTGTTGGAGGAATCATTAATTTTATTCCACTTGTGACTCAAAAGAACAGCGATTCTAATTTAGAAATTTGCTAAGACCCTGATTTGACAATTCAAACTTCTTCTGGGTTCAAAGACTACCCAGCACTGACATTTCCATTTTAAAAGTCGTTCATTGCAAATAGACAGAATTCTTGTTTATTTATTTGATCAACAACATGTGATTGTGATGTGAATTTTCTTACAAATTGACTAAAACGCTAAGTGTTACATTTGATATGAATATATCAACAACCAATAATAAATCTGTTGTGGCATAGTACAACAACATTCCTATTAAATTTTAAATTCAAAAAAATAACTAAGCTTACAGAATCACCCACACTCTAGTTCGGTTGGAAATATTCTGTAGAAGAGCAATATAAATGAATGGTATTGTCAAGTTAGACTGGTATGATTCTGCAAATAGGATACCTGACAGAATTATCACAATACGGTTAGATAATGATCATTCTGCCAAAAGGATTCAAGTGTGGTACTATGCTCCACCAGACACTGAATTAATCTACACAGAAAAAAAATCCCAACCATCACATTACACTTCTATAAAAGCATTTAGGTTATAATAAAAACATTGGTCAGTGTAGGATTAAAGCTTAGCAGTTTTTGTTACAACAAATAAGAAATCTATACATGGAAGAAAAACAAGTAATATTAGCAGTTAACAAGTAACAGAAAAATATTTAGAAAATGCAATGAGATATACACAAATAACTGTTTGTATGCAGTGTTCTAGCAGAAAACGCACTATTCACCAGCCATCTAAAATGTAAGCAATCAAATTGCTTTTGTAATTATATTCTACTTCTAGTACAAATACCCTCTTATAGACTTGAATCCATAAATTGAACATTCATTATCATAAAAATTAGTCTGTGTGAGCTACTTCAAACAGAGCTAATCTAATATTAAGGAAATAAGCATGTTTTGAATGGAGTCGAAATGTTGAATTCCCTATCGTCAGAATTTGATATTTTCAATGGTGATAATTACATCGAAATTTTACCGTTTGTACCAGCCTACAAAAGCACGTTTGCATACACCAGAGTTTCTGTTACTGTTAAAATTAGATTTTTATGAGTTTTGAGCAATATGGATTTTAGCAGCTTCCACAGCCTTGATATCAACATAGAAAAAATATAGGGCAATTCTTCGTTGACTACATTGAATTCAAAATTATTGTCAACCAGGATTATGGTATAAAATATCCTAGTATATAATCAACATATCAATGCCAACACTGAAAAAACTCAGCGCTTATCATGGGACAAACCTGGTCAAATATAGGAGCACAGCAAAATAATTCATTATATTGTAATCTTATACAATGTCGTTAAAGTGAAATACAAACAAGTAACAATGAAAAGATCGTTTGCAGATTATACATTAGATTAGTTTTTGTTATGAAGAACATGAGCATCAAGGTTGGTTGGCCAAAGGTTGGCCAAAGAAAACTGGTCGATTGTTATATGCTTCAACTTATATTACAAAAGTATGCAATGTCATGGAAAATAGCTTATATAAATATTCTCTTGCTATTTTGAATAATCATGCAGGCACGAAATCTAGCTAACAGTTTTCATTGCTAAGGAGTGAATATGTAAAATACAAGTCGGCAGTGAAATTTTTATAATGTCTCACGACCATGTTATAAACAAAATGCGTTGAATATTATGATCGTCCATTTCTTTACTCTATTTCTTAGCATCGCAGACACATTTCAATTATTTTCTTCGCCTGAAATAAAATTGGAGTTTAAGTTCATTCAAACAACACAACAAGATCCCCCATAAATTTTAAAAGAGGCTGTATGGCGCAAGCACCAAACTCAGGTTGAGAGTCAAAACAAAAGAACTTTTTTTTTTTTATCATACATAGCAATTTTTTGTAGCTTGAAATGCATTTTAGACTGCTGACTCTTGAAAACCAACATTTCTGTCCGCTAGCTGTAACAGTCGAACTTGGCAATCAGATATTTTAGAACCCCCCCTTTGAAAATTCCTAGCTACACCCTGATCTATACAAAGCCTTGTTTGTAGCAATAGTATGAAGCAGTTATTGAATATGTATTCGACTTACTTGGGATGATTGTATATAACAGGTCCTGCTCCAGATCCCATTCTATTTTCAATGGCAGTTGAACACTGAAAACAAGACATTTTTTAATTTTTCATTTGTGTTATTACGCAACAGATTACTCACAGGTTTATACTTATGAACAATTGAATGGTCATACAAAAATAAACATCAGTTAAAATTTTTGGGCGCATTTTTAAGTATTTCTGCAGCATTTAAAACTGTTGCAATTTCAAAAACAATTTTGAGTTATTGATTTATATGATGATGAAATAATCACATATATACGTCAACTTGTTTGAAATGATCATCATGAAATTTCGAGTGTTGCCCTTCATAATCTTTGGTTAATTCCATTAGAATTAAACAATGAAATAATTCTTGAGGACCAACCATAAGAGAAATCATAACTAATATAATTGCAATCAAACATAATATCATACAATGCTAGCTTATTATATTGGAAATAGTTTTTTAGAAATTTCAAAATTATTTTGGTGTTTTTTTCCATACATTAACCATCATACATTAAAATTTTATGTGAATAGTCAAAATAGATGAAAGCGGTAAAATAGAAAACTTACTCTCGTTTCAACATCAGTCCAACTAGACTGATCATCAGATGAGTTTCCATCCTCACCATCTGATTTTCGTTTCCTAAACAAAAACAGTTTTCTTCTTTAAATATACCGAAAAAAGAAGGACGTTTTCAAATGATACCATTACCATTTTGCGATCTGACATTAAGACAAATAATCAATGACAATAATTACTAATAAGAGATGTATGATATGAATCAAATAATATTAAATTTTTGCTTTTCGTAAAATGTAAAACAATTTTATTTAAATCAACATTAGCAGCGAGTAGTGTCTCACAGTCACAAAAACTTTTGGCGCTCCAGAAGTGTGTGTACCAGTATAGGGGTAACTAATTTTGTTCGCCTACTTTAAATCAAGTTGTGTAAAGAGACTGAAACTTATGGACAGGGGGTATATTCACTTAGCTAACACAGACAGTCCCCGAACTCGTAATAGAACTAAAATAAGGAAAATCAGAATCAAATTATGCCCTGACCCTAACCTGGTACCATATACTACGGGAGTACCAAACTTTTCCCCTATTTTCCTTAAATTTAAAAAATAAAAAGGAAATGAATTCTTTGTTCATCCTAATTTTTCAGCACTGTTAAATTGAATTCATTGAATTAATAATATACATCGACTTCGGCACGGCCTCTCGAACATATTATAATATAGAATATATTTCATATTTGAAAATAATATTTCAGGGTGAAGCAATAAAACCACCGATGAAGGGGTGGGCAAATTATGGCCCACGGGCCCACCGATGTGTTTCATTCGGCCCACTTGTGTCTGCTAAAATTTAGGCTATAGTTTTTATGGATATAAATTCACGTTGAAAATAACATCATGATAATCCTGATCGTTACATACTGCTTCCTATTATTCTATAAAAAATAGCTCCCAAATAATATGGGCAATTTAGTAGACATTGTTATAACCTTGCAGATGAATCTTTTTTGTTGTTTTTTTGTGGATCTCGTTGTTTTAGAGTCTCAATATCAACAAATTGCACTTGCTGTCCCCCGGAACGAGTCTGAATTACTTCGCCCTAAAAAATAAGCAGAAACAATTTGAGAGAAATGATATAATCTTAAACTAACTTGGTAAACAATCTTTTTTTGTTTGAAATATATAAGCAATCAATATCATTAAGGTACCATAGCCAAAAATCCTGCCTTATAATTAATTTTGATTATAATAATAATATAAACTGTTTGCTTTTACATAAAAATCATCAATTTAAGGGGAGAAACAGCATAAGAATATCTAAATTTTTTAGCAATTTAATTTGTTTTTATATCAAAAATGGTATAAATTATTTTCGCAACACAACAAAGCTAGGAAATATAGAGCACAATTGGTCATCAGCAAAATATATTAAAAACACAATTCACCTTGATCAGTTGAGTTTCGATTTCCCCCTGTTTATCTTCTTTTTGATGAGTCAGCAAATATTTGTCAGCATTTTTGATATCTTTAGGTGAAGGTATGTGAACTATTTTTCCTGGTTTAATGCATGGTTGCATGATAGTACCTGAAATGGTTCAGAAACAAATTGAGGATGTGCATGTTTTGAAGCACATAAGTCACATAATAAATGTGTGTGCTTGGTAAATGGTAAATCACATATGGGATGAGTATTTTATAAATCAAGTCACATGAAGGATGTGTGAGTTTTATGAACCACACACGTCACACAAAGATGTGTGTATGTATTAAATCAGATACCAACAAGTCACATAAAGAATGTGTGTATTTAATGAAACACATAAAGACATTAGTATCATTATTCTTTAAATTAATTTGCGATAAATTGAGAAATGGTACCATATAGTAGCTAATTATAAAACAATTATTTAATCACACATTATTTTCAACAAATATTTTCACACAAAAATGACCAAAGCAAAGATGCGATTAGATAAGGCGAAACCAGAAAACAGAACCCATAAATTTCCTGATTTCTCCTGATGTTGCATAACCTGAACCCTAACCTGGTACACAACCTGAGTTCAGGTTGTGCGCCATCTTGGTGCGCATACTACAGGAAGTCTGGTCACAGAGATGACCAAAATGAATCAAGTAATCTGTTAGACTGTTACAATTAAAAGTATTAGGCTATTAGACATATTTACCAATAATTTGAAATATACAAATAAGACAAGAGGTTATTGTGAATAATAATGATTAATACATTCTATAAACTTTCCCTTTTTCAGGAATAATTAATTAGGAAGTCCCATACTATCCTAAATTCCAAAAGAAAGAATTTAGTTGTAAAAAAGAAGACTAGGTTACAGATAAAAGCTTCTATAAATATTAATAATAGACTAATGATCAAATTTTACAATAGACACAAAAATAATGCAATGTTAGAAAAATTTCAGCCACATGATACGTAAACAACTGAGACTTGAGAAAACAGCCTTCTTGTAACTTCTACTGTACTGACAATTTTAAATCAAATGGTATATTGATAGCTAAGAAAAGTGTCTGCTCAACAAAAGTCACCTTAATATGATATTTACAACAATTTTTAAGACAATCTGTAAGTTCACTGTGTTGAATATAGATTATACAAGTCTTTGTGTGCAATTGATAGGCTATACTACTACTATAACTACATATGCGAATTACGCTGATTATATGATTAGATCACATCACACCTAACCTGTATTAGTCTGTAGATATTTGCCTGAAACAGACAAACATTCATAATATTAACATAACTCACAAAGCCAGATAAAAAGACCCAATTTGGTTCAAAAAATTTATCCTGAATAACAACCAGATTTCCCCAGACAACAATGTCTTAGCCGGAGTAACAGATAAAAGTTTTCCTTTATTTTATTTAGTTAAAATTTCTAAGGAAGCATTTTTTACCTTTGTCACAGTTCAATGCTAAGATGTGAAGAATTTTAGACTTTTAAATCAAGCAGTTACTCAGTTCTAAATAGCCTATTGCTACTGTAAATAATGAAAAAAAAACATATTTTGATATAATTGGTATTACAAAATATAAAGCAGTTGAAGAATAAAAGAATGTCACCAAAGTAAAATAAATAAATTTTGGAACATGTTGTACCTGTATTCAATGTAGATGAAGGTTGATGGGCTAACCAGTTGTTATTTCCAAAAGATTTTCCTCGAGTATGCTTTTGTGCAACTGGGAGAGCGGGCTGAAAAAAATAGAATACAGTAAAAACATTAATCGAAAAAAAAAAAAATTTTTTTGTAAAATTGATTTGGACTTCAGGGAAATCAGCAATGTGATAGCTAACATGTCGAAACAATTAGCGCCATACCAACAAATTTTCCTTTTATTTAATTCCAGTGGTCATCTATGCTCAGACATAAATCTCCACAATTATAAAAGACTTCAAGTGACCTTGATTTGAGCAGATGCAATTGGTAAAATTTCCGAACTGCTGGTCATCAGTGTAAAATATTGTATTTTCAAAATTGCTCATTTCGAACTCAAATAGGTGTGATCGACTTGTGGTTAAATCATAGAACCTAAATATATTGGTGTCACAGGTTAGAGATTTCAGGCTGAAATGTCACGCCCCACCCCTATCATGGCATAACAGATTGGGTACACAGTGCTGAACCGGCACAACTCAGGTCCTAATCAAAATATTCGCCTCTCACTTATCAGGGGTTGCTTGTACAAAGCCTTGTTATGAGAGAAAGCATGAAAACGACTAAGAAAAAAAAATAATAAGTTATTGAGTTAGGAGCTAAGTATACTAACGATGGACGTATGGTAAATAGCTACTAAACAATAACTAGAAGCATTTAACATTTTTAAACAAATTACCGAACTATGCATTAACTCATTAACATAGCATATTAGCATCCAACAACTATTTCTATATAGAACATACTCCGCTTATGAATTATTGTAAATAGTAATTTTTCTGCCTTGATAACTCACAATCTAAGGACAACACGATCTACTGTAACACTGAACATAAAAATACCCTCATTCTCAATCTATCTTCATCTGACTTATTGACAAAACGACATCCAAGAAGATACGGATTCTCTTGTTCCAGAAGTAAACTATCAAAATCAGAATCGCTATGTGCAGCGTCACCACAAGAATGACGACCACATGATCTGCTGTGTCTCAACTTTTCTGGCGTTGAAATATGTCGCCAACCATCGCCACCTTCTTCTAATTGATCACCGCGATTGGTTTTATATTCTTTTCTTGGAGATTCTGAATTACTTGACTGTTGAGATAAAATAAATCTATAGACAAATGTGATTTCACATGAAATTTATGTGTTTTCCAATCCATTTTCACATATCAAAATTTGTACACTTTTTCATGCAATTATTAAATATAGGTGAAAAACAATAATCTCTGAAACAAAGACTCTGACCTTAATCTAATTTGTTATTTTTTCCACCACATAGTCACTTCTCTGACAAACTACTACTCAATATCACGCATAAAGAAATCAATAAAAAATCGAGAGTACCAAGTTTTCTTCACATTTGAATATGCTTTGTTTCAGCAAATATATATCATTTATAACCACATTTACTCGCACATTTTTCGATTTACTGTATATATGCTCAAAATGAAACTAATGTTCGGATAATCCAAAATTGGTCTAGATTTTAGGAATTTTTTCATTGAAGAATTTGGCATCCTATTGTTAGACACAAAATACCTTGTTAAATTCCGCCGTTATAAGAAAATGAAAAATCAAACAATTTCCATCTAAATTCTGAACTACACTGCATTTCTGAGCTAAAATTGAATGAACTTCCATTTGTTGTACATTGCTTAATTTGAGTAAATATATCAAAATTCAAAAATATTATTTGAGACTGTGATCAGAACAATAAATTATTCTATTTATCCCTGCTCGCACTATTCAGAGGTTCTATAATTTCATAAACACAAAAATTTGCAGTCCTTTCCTTTAAGAGCATCTGACTAAACACTGACCATTATTTATCAAACGGCATTACTTACATCACTGACTATGCTTGAAGAAACAGATTTTTTCGGAGGTCTGCTGGTCTTTCGGAGATCCTGATCAGAAGTTGATATTCTGCGACTCTTGTTCAAAGGTGTTTTATTATTGCTGGCTCCTGCGAGAAGGTTATCTGCGGAACGTGAACGTCTTTTATGAGCTAGTTTTTGGCTTCGACTAGATCCACTGGATTCCTGTAATCGAAAAATAATCTGGAATAAGGCAAAATCCTATTTTTCTTCAAATGATCAAAAAAACACAAAGTTTGTTAAAAAATGATATCAATGGTTTAATTCATTTATGGAATATTATACAAATGTTAAATGAGCCAACATGGTAATTTGAATATAAATTCCTCTTCAACACAGAAGAGATTAGAGATAGAGCTTGTGAATCAGAGGTGCCCACCCCCCGTAACCAAGTGGTTAAAAATCTTCAGACTACCAGTTCAGGTCACATGCGCATACCACACCCAACATAATAACTACCGGTAGTCCCATCTAGAATTATATATTTCAAAGAATGCTCACCTAGAGTTTGGTTCAGAGTAGATTTATAAAAAATAACCATATAGTAGAGCAGTGGTTCCCAAACATCGGCACGCAGGCCAATTACAGCGCGCGTAACAAATTAATATGGCCCGACGAACTTCAATGAAATATTTTAACACTTTTCTTTTGTTTTTTTAACCTTCTTGCGTTCTAGATACTGCCATTATTACCAGTTTAAGCCTGTGCTTATTCTTATTATTTAATTATGCCGGTATCTTAAATATACGTCCCGGTGTTGGGATTACATTCAGGTCGCACCCTTGCGCCTCCTCTCCCGCAAATATGCTTCGGCTTCTAATTTTGGCCCCCGGTCAATCAACTTTGGGAACCACCATAGTTAGACAAACCATTAAATCTCACCGATGTTGCAAGCGATGAAGTAGACATTGGAGCTTTCCTCGTCATAGAACGTCCTTCTCTACCTTCCGCAATAATACTTTTCAATTGTCGTAATCTCTCCTCCTTGACCCACATCTTCTCTTGCATTTCAGTTTGTACATTTCGAACTCTTCTTTCCTGAAAAATCATTTAAAAATAAAATAAATAATAAGATACCACGGATAGTTCGAAGCTGGTGTTGAGTCGAACTTTTGTACAACCCAGTATTGGGAGGGAAAATTTTTCTTAATCAGGGTAGGGCTGGGCATTTTGAATCGAATACTAAATTAATCGAATCGGTTCAGATTCAAATTTCAAATCGCTGTCAACTTGATTTTTAGTCTGCCAAAGGATGAGGTAAATGAATTCCTAATTTTTTTTTAAGCCATGTTTTTTAAATGAAATTCGGGAATGTGGCTCCTTTTTTCTATTGATGAGTCATCGTTTTTTTTCCTATTCCACGAACTGACTGAGTGATGAATTCTATGTATTAATTATTTTATGTGTCTGGATGATCCATTATACAATATAAAAAAGTTTCAGATTCTATTCGAAAAAATAAATGATCAAATTGTGAAATCATCATGTATTTGAAAATAACCATCCTCTAACAGGAGTTGGAATCAAATTTGATTGTAAATTCTTCCTGATTCCACAGCCCTGGTTTGATGTGTCGTTACGTTCGTAAATCGACTATAGCCATACATGCCGACTAGTTATACTTACAACTTGTTTCTCATACTGTGACTTTTGATTGGCGATTGCCCCTCTCATCCGACTTTCTAATTTTCTATTGTCAAGTTGACTTTCCTTTAGTTGAAGGTTAGTTTCTGCCAACTGTAATGAAGGCATTAAAATTACAAAGAAAATTCATAATACATTCAGGCTGCAAGTCAACTCATGTTTAAAAACTTACATGTTCATTCAGCGTTTTCTTGTCGTGTTCAAAAACTTGTGTCGTCTTCATGAGTACTTGATTCTAGAAAGAAAATTGAACAATTTTTTTTCAATATTTGGCTTTTTTTATGTGGCGTCTTTCGGTAGGAAGTAGTACAGTTTGGAGGAACCAGAATCTCTCCAGTAAAGCATCACATATCGTTTGATATCAGAAAGGGCTTGCAATGCCCTGTTCAGAGCGCAAGGTGCATATGCATATAAGGGCGCTCCAGAGATATATGTACCAATATGGAGGTAACTAATTTTGTTCGCCTACTTTACATATATTCAATATATATTCAGCTAACACAGACAGTCCCCGCCCGAACTCGTAATAGAACTAAAATAAGTAAATCGGAATAAAATAATGGCCTAACCCTAACCTGGTACACACACTACAGGAGTACCCAAATAAGAGTTATATAAAAAAAGAATGCAGAATGAATAAATTCGATAATTTAATTTTGACAAAATAATTTCCTCATCAGGATATATCCAGAAATTTTTGTGAAAGCAATACTAAGCTAAAATACCTTTGCTTCAAGTTTTTTAATTTGTTTTTCCATTCTTGAAACATCTTTTGTTTTTTCACTCAACGCGTTATGACATTCTTCTAATTTATTCTGTAACGCTGTATCGTGTTCCGTATTGTTAACAACATTCATCCTTAGTTGGGTTTCTGAATAAAAAAACAAACAACAATAAGTTGGGCAGAATCGTATTATTTTAGTGAATGTGATATGGACGCATCAATAAATATGATTATAAATAACCATTCGCAACTTAGAACCAGGCTGTGGGGTATAAGTATAATATTATATATCAATATTCCCAAATTGGATTCTGTTTGGTATAACGTCATATTTCTGCTAATTTTACTTGAATTTGAAAAGATTATAGATTCGGGTTAAAAAAAAGTACAAAAAATGCAGAAAGTTGGAAATAACAGGTTATCTCCTTAATTACCCATTTTAGTAATTGACTTCAAAACTTCTTCTTTTCTATGAATTCTCGCCTCCAGAAACGACATCAAATCTATCATAAAGATTGAAGACATCAAAAGTCGAAACAATAACTACTTTAATACAATATTTCTAACAGGGCAAAAGCGTAGAGCCAGCAAGTAGCGACCTTTTATTAAAAACAGACAAAGATCTTTACAAGTGAGGAGTTGATGGGTGAGGGTAACATGATACTTGCTATGACCTACCGGTGAAAGCTTTAAGATTTAGGTGTGTTGGCATCACAACTTATATATCTTAAAAAGAATATTGTCTTTATATGATGCTTTTCGTATCAAACCAAGCCCTTTAAAAGCATCCGCTGAATATCCAACAATGTCTAAGGAGCTACTATTTGCCCACCTCAAATCAAATGTATTGGGAATAGTAAATTATTTTTTTGGTCATCTCGGTCAGCAACAAAACATTGCTCACCTGGAATGGTATTTTCATCAGCAAGGTCAACAACTCCCAAGTTTGGAAACGGTGGTCCGAGGCTAAAATCGGGGGCTATCCAGAGAGGGGTAGTCTCTGGCTCTGTAAAAAAGAAAAAGATGTTTCTTCGGATCAAAAACAATGACAACAAATAGAAAAGCATGATTTTAAAAAACCTGTGATATCCGTAGTGTCGCTTGACTGTGAAGTTACTGAAAGGTTGCGTCGACATTTCTTTTTTCCACGTTGATATAATGCATTGCCTGGATAGAATAAAAAGAGGCTAAAAAACACACTGTTTTGAAGTACAGATACAATTCAAGTTACAATTTCAAAATTTGGCATTACATCGCTCCCAATATAACTTAACCAAATTTTTTCAATTTTTTTTTTCAACATTCATTCAAGTTTTTTCACTTCATTTATTATTCCTTCATATGCCCACCATTAATTGCATGAAGCACATAAAAAGTTCTTTTAGCAAATTTAATACAGGACTTTATGAACATTGTGCACGATTAAGAAATTGCTATGTCATTAACTAATATTAATAAAAAAATAATTCGGATTCAGATATAACTTCACTGAACAAATGTAACAAAATTTTGTTAGTTTTGTTGTAAGTTCATATTGATTAAATGAATAAAATTGATTTAAATTATTCCATATATTACTCCAGCAGTGTAAGCTCTGTTGTCAGAGCTGAGGCCACAGAATATCTAGCCCTCTAGTTCCAAGATTCATAGTAACCTGCAAGTTCATTGTTTAATTTCCTAGCAGCCGTCATCTCTCTTCGTCTTTCTTCCTCTGCCTTTTTCTTCGCTTCTTCAGCTTTCTTTCTGATACTTTCTCTGTCGAGGTGGAATTCCTCTGCTCGAACGACTTCAACTTGTTGAGCCATTTCAGCGAACTGCATAACATGCTGTATAGAAAGAAAATACCATAATTGTATTCAGTGGTCCAGGCAGGGGGGGTTTCGGGAATGAAGTGTTCAAGGAGTGTCTGATAGTTAAAAACATTACTATGACTCCTCCTGTGACTTCTACGCTGGTTAAATCCTATTGTCAAACAAGCCATATAAAAAAGCTATCCACACCGAAGCATGATTTATATCAAACTAATCACAATTCAAAAAATTCACGTTTATCAGTACCTCTGTCAAGTTAATTTGAAATTTTTAAATATGATTGAAATCTCAAATTTGAGATGGAACATGAAATGATTCATTACATTTTCAAATACATTAACAGCCATGATAAAATTTTATTTAAAAAAAAAACCTAAAACTTACCACATTCTCATCGTATTCCCTAATGTTTGGGTTTACACAGACAACCATTTTGACTTGTCCTCTTCCTTCAAAATACATTTTGAACAAATGTGTGACTTTAGAATTTCTGTATATCACCATTTCTTGACCATTAGTTCTCTGATTTTCCCTAAGCTGCTCAAGACATCTGAATTTACAAAAACAATGAAGATATAATTGGAAGATAATTTTAAGTATGTTGCAAAGTAGCAATCTATTTCTTAAAAATAATTCTCGTCTGCCCATGTTCAAAACTTGACACAAAAAGTATGATTAGAAGATAATTTTGATCGTGTTTCCAAATATCGACTCATTTATTCCTAAAAAATACACCTTATCTGCCCAAGTTTGAAACTTGACAAAAAAAATCAGGGCTGTTTAAAACTGAACAACAAGACAAAAGTACTATAAAGCTATAAGACTACAAGAACATTCAGTCACGATATGGTCGCTAAAAACAAGCTTACACATCACATTGCATATTTTACTTCTCGTGTCATAATTTAAAGCAAATAAAGTGGATTTTTTTAATGCTTGTGATTTGTATTACAGAAAATAAATGTGTCCGGTGTTGGGAAGGTTTGGGAACCTCATTCTCTATGCCAGGGGTTCCCAGACTTTATTGGCCGCGGGCCAAAATTAGAATCATAGGAATGTTCGCGGGCCGGATGAGTCTAGCGCCCAAAAGTGCGCGACTGTTTAGCTGGGGTTCAGTGGATTTACCGCCGTTGCCAAAAAATGTCTGTTTACGAAGTCTAGTTTTCGTAACGCAAACAAAATCTGTTAAACACTATTTTACCTGAGCTCGGTGAGCCATTTTGAATCGTTACACGGGCCGCATTTGGCCCGCGGGCCACGGTTGGGGAACCCCTGCTCTATGCCAATCGAATACAAGGCCCGCATAATTATGGCTAGAGGATTTCAATAAATAAAATTTCAACATTTGATCATTCGAGATTCTATTCTATATTACCAAACTACTCAGATAAGCACATCTTTATTTCCATTACATAAAGATAAAAAATGCAGAATATTATAAAACACAAAATTGATTAATTACCTTCTCAAAGTCATCAGAGAACTATTAATATTTCCAGCCTCTCTCAATCTCTCTCCTCCAGCACCAGTACGAGCAAGTCGTTCACTTCCTGCTAGATCGACCAATGATAATTGGCTGACGCATATCAAACTTTTGTCCTGAAGATTTGTATTCAATAAAGAATTATTGATGGTTCAACAGAATTAAGTAGTAACTTATTAGATAAGGTTGCAGTAAAGAAAAAAGTGAGTCAAAAAAGAAGAAGCAGCGAAATGGCTATATTGTTTTAGTACTGAATGATTTGTATCTGTGTGTTTAGAGCTGACATGGGAAAACTACAGCCCACGGGCCAAATCCGGCCTGTTGGGTAATTCAATCTGGGCCACCTGATGCTGACACAACCAAACTGAAACAAATCTTGATGTTTAGCTAAAAAAATAGCTCAAGGAATTTGTTGAGATTTCGAATTAGTTTTGGCATGGAACTATTGTTTTCAACTTTTGTTTTTGTAACACTGGGAATATTGTTTGTAAATGTAACTTTTCATGTCACACTTACATGGTCCGCCAGTCAAGGTGGGCAAAATTTTTGTCCCCTGGTCCAAAAACCTTGCCCACCCCTGGTATAGAGTCATAATTGAACTGGAAAGCTTTGCATTTAAGGTAGAAATACGATAAACTACAATAAATTACACAAACGCTTTTGATAAGATGTTTCTGGCATTGAATGAATGCAACAATTTTAAGCTAAAATTTCAGATTAAAAACAAGCTTGGTTATTTTCGATGTTACCAGACATATTATTACGCTTCTATTGAAAGAAGTACCTGGTATAATTTACCATCTCTAAAGCTGAGTAATACAAATTCAAAAAGTACCTGTAACAGATCTTCTCCGAGAGGATCTAATGGTGCTTGAACAAGTCTTATGTTAAAAATACTGTGAGAACGACTTGACTCCGCATTAAGTTGCGTGTGTGCGATTCGTCGCCTTTCTTGACCTGCAAAAAATTGTTAAAAGTATAACGGTAACTGGAATTGTTGAAACAAAATTTGCGGCCGCAGTTCCGCATCTAACAGTGGCTGCCTGTGCAGTGTGCAGAGCCTTCTTCGAAGTAAATGGTGTATAAATATATTCTATAGAACAAATCATCTCAGAGTAACATGAAAAAAACAAGTATACATTCAGTAACTAAAATAGTACACGTCTGTTTCAACACAGGAAAATGGCTGTATATTCTTTTTACCTCTTTTAAAAACACTGAAAGCTTCTTCTGTTGTTGTTATTTCAACTTCTGTTACTCCATAAACGAACATATTGTGCTTTTTGTCTTCTCGGAGTCTTTTGGATTGCGGAGGTCTGAGTAAACATTGAGCAATAATTGGTACTAATCAAATATAAAAAGAATCCAAATTGTATACAAAAAATGATCAAAAGGGAATCAATCACTTACTTTGGTCTACTGAACGGATCATATTGTATATCTTCCAATAAATCATAAACATAATCATTATATATTTCAACATAGGAAATGAAAACAGCATATCTCATGTCTGAATTCACATGTTCTGATCTGCAATAATCTATCTCGTATCGAACGTCGGGACGATTTCTGCTCCTAAAACAGAAAAAAAAGATTTTAAAGAATTAGGCTTGAATGAAATTCATGAAAAGTTTGGTTTGAAAAGACAAGGTCACGCGCACTCACTCATAAGAGATTGCCCTCTGAGTAAATTTAAGGTATGGTTTTGTTACAATAAAAAATTAAAAAGTGACGTTAGGTTGACCAATAAAATGCCAAGCGCTACTAAGACTATAAAGAATAATAGTGATGAGAGACTTAAGTAGTTCCTGCCATTTTGCCTGGAGGGTGCACTGACTGTCAGCTCACAGCCAGCTGGATTGGGTGACTGAAACCTTTTTTGAAGGGACAAGAGTAATCAATGTTATATTTCATGAAGTATAAAATTGGCATATGCTACAAACTTTCTGCCAACTCCACCAATATGAATTAAAATATTCAATAATAAAATATAAACTTTGTGAATAATCCATAACCCTAAAGCAGGGGTGCACAATTTTTTGCTATTGGCGGCCACATTGCCATTATTTCTATTCAATACGCCCTCCAGAGAATTGATGAGCGCGCCCAAGGCACACAAATTTTTTGGCTTCCATGACGTCATAACCGTGTATTTGACACATGCCATGTGGAGTCTGCCCAATTATGTAGGACTATTAGAATATTAGCATTTTAAACAGATTTTTCTTTTCGGTAGACCTATTCTTGAGCAGATATATTGCAGCAAGTTGCTTAATGGTTGCACAATTTTGAAAAAAATTGAAAGTCTGGGAGGGGGGGGGGGGGGGCGGTCGCCCCCATTTTCTTGTCCCCGAAAGTATAATAAAATGTCAAATATTTTAATGAATTTATTCTATAAAAGTTTGCAAAGCATTGTAGCAATTTAATCTTGGTCTCCCTTGGTCTTGCATGTGGGCAGATAAACTTGCAAAGTCAGGTAACTGGCTGGATACCATCAGCCTTAGTACAAACTCCAGATTGACGTCTAAAAATCTGGTTCGGTACTCATTCTTCAGGTACTCCAAGCTGCGAATGCCTTGCTAGGCTAGCTTGCTATGCTGCCGAAACGTGTGATCAATCTGAACCGTGAAAGGAAATCCCCAACAGCAAATATACCATCCAGATTGTGACGTCTTGACTTTTGTGCAGTGCTCCTGTTTGCTCCAATATACGCCAGCATAGCCGCCAAATCCTATATTTTAAATTTCTTTTTTGTTTTTTGTCAATAGGATTTTGTATGTGGATGCCGCATTATTTTTTCACGACGGCCGCAGGTTGTGCACCGTTGCCCTAAAGCAGTGGTTCTCAACCTTTTACTGACCGCGTACCACTTTTGTGTTTTTTACCATTGCCGCGTACCACCAACAAAATCGCTTTTGTGGCGGGGAACAATGGCACAAGAAACGCTCTATGGTAGTATTTATGTGGCACTACATCCATTTTTGAGAGCTTCGTGCAAAGTTTCAACGTATAAATTATATGCAGTAACAACGTAATAATTGCGTGCAAAATCACGAGAGAATTTGCGTCGTCTACCGTCAGAGCTGAAAGGCTTCAATCATCGCCACCAGCGCATTGAATTATCGCAAAACTCAAGAGACAAATACACTTTGGTCGGCGCTATAGCCGCTATTCGGAACTTTCTAACCCAGTCTTCAAATTATTTGGCCTCAAAAGTCAAGGTTATGCCAATCAACGAACACATACGTCAGGTAATAATAGTAACATCCTTGTGATGTATCTATCAGGGTATCTCGACACGCATCGACCATCCCTCCGAAGTCCGAACGCTCCCTTCGTTGCCGATTTCTCAATGAAGATGCATTGTGGACGTAACACGTTTCTGCCATATTTTAGCCACCTCAAAAGTCGGCTGTTGCAATAATTCAAAGCTTCTCGCGTACCACTCGAAAAGCCCCCACGTACCACTAGTGGTACGTGTACCACAGGTTGAGAACCACTGCCCTAAAGCATGCATCTTCAATGTATATACATAAACATTGAAAAAAGTCATCATCATAATTACTACAATTAGTGACAACTGTGACATTTGAGAATTTAATTGCACAGAATAAATTTGATTATACACTTGTATTTTGAGAAAAAAAAACTGACTGAGTCAGGGTTACTTTTTTGTGACTTACTTATTTGGTGTTTTCATGGGTGTTGTTGTCCTTGGTAAAATTTCTCTTTCTTGTTTTTCCAGCATTGCATCGGCTTCAGATTGTACGGAGAAACCATTCATGTTATCAGGGATGAACGACTGAAAAAAAAGGGGTTCAAGTTCAAGTTTATGAAAATGATGCAAAGTATATTTTTAAGTATGATTGGCAGATATTCATTGCTTCAAATGGCAAGCTCTAGCGAAGCTTTTTCAAATTATCCCTAAAATCTGAAATTTCTCAAATTTAACAAACTTGGCCTACATTTAATTTGTTCGCCCCTTCACAGTGCATAATCTTTATTTATTTGTGTAAGATGATAGACAACACATCAAATAAAATATTTTTTCTACAAATCAAAGTTATATATTGAATTTGGCTTTTGACTAAACAAACATTATCATTTTTGTAATTTTCTGATCCAGTTTTGAAAGCAATTCAAATAAAAAATGAATGCAAGCAAACCAGTTGCAAGCAATCCAGTTTTGAAAGCAATTCAAATAAAAAATAAATGCAAATTACATATTTTGTTGCAAGCACTCCCTCCAATGAATTGAAGAGCATGTCCAAGCTTCTTGGTAAAAAGCCAGGGTTATCGACTGTCCCTGTCATAGTGTATGTCTTTCCTGAGCTGGTAACTCCATATGTGAACAAAAGGCCTGAAACGGAAATAAATATTCACAAAAAATCTCTACTGCATGGTGTATACATAAATTTGAAAAAATTTAGTGGCCATTAATATAATAGTTTCACATACACGAACTACGGATTGTTTGAACCACATAACAAGGAGGCACGTATTCAGCGGAAGTGAAGTTATAGTCATCAATTTTGTTGATGTTGGAGTCAAAGTCAAAATCTCAGACTTTGATGATCAAAGTCAAAATGCCACTAAATATGCTATACTTAAAAGCCTTGTATGCATCTCCAAGAAGATTTGAACTTGCAACGCTCTAATGAAATGAAATCAGTTTTCAAAGGTAATAGGAGAGAGACATGTTTTAATTGATATAAAATATTCACCATTTTTCCCCTTTAGCATCCCATCAACCATTGGTTTGGCAACAACATTAAATACTCCATCTTGTCCTATGTTTTCACCAAAAATCCTTGAAAATTGGCATTCAATCTGTTGAAAATAAGACAAATAAAATTGGGACCTTCTGAAGTATGCGCACCAAAATGCCGCACAGCCTGAACTCAGGTCGTGTACCAGGTTAGGGTTCAGGTTATGCGACATCTTGGTGCGCATACTTCAGGAGTACCTAAAATTGAGTTATCTGGCGAAATTTCAGTTAACAGTTTCTATAAAACGTTCTTCGACACGGATCGAAATAATTAATAGCAAATGTTATCTACTAGAAAGTGTGTGGGAATAATACTCGGAACAAAAACATCAAATTATGAGAGTAATACGTACAGCTCTTCCATCAGTAGCTGACATCCGTAAAGCTTTATCATCTTTAATTTCAATACAACTTTCTTCTGCGTCAGCGGGAAGTGTTCGAACTCTGCAGCAGACCTTAAATAAAAAGACCGCAATTAAAAAAGATTGAATCAAATTAGAAATTGGCAGAGCTGGGCATAATGAATGTTAGTTTCTCTGGGGGGTCAAACTCGTTATGGAAAAAAGGTAGTCAGTGCTTAGAATCACGATTCCAGAAAGAGGCTGCAACTAAATTTTGCACTACATAATCAAAAAATTAAGAGGGCACTTCCAACAAATGCTACAGACGTTTCGATACTAACAATATTAGAAACTACCATAAATGATTTTGCAAGGTGAAGATGGATTCACTTGAGAAACTCCAATTTTTTAATGAAATAAAAATCCTTTTTTATTGGTACCACAATCACAATTTATGAGGCGATGATGCCATTCAGAATGCTAGAAAGCCAAATACAACAGGATTCTAGAACAGGAACCATATCTAACTATATCCATCAAACATATCAAGAACAAACACCTATAAAAGTCTTCATCAAAAACAAACGAAACCGACCTCAACTGGATCCATTTGACCTCCTGATCTAGGAGTTCCTCTCCTTGGAGTTTTTGCTGGTGTTCGTCTGAAATCAAATACAATGAATTACAATGATATTCTTGTAATAAATATTTATACTTATTTTTTATTTATGGTATTTGTGTAACAAAAAAAATGATTAATTCAAATAATTTAAAATTTAAACATGGTTAAGATACGCATACGAATGTCCAGTCATCAATTGAAGAAGCCCTTCAAATGCTAATTTGTATAAAATGAATTATAAATGTATTTCGACACTTACTGAGGTCTCATACTGTCTTCACACCAGCTTCAAGCACTCTCTGGAACTGTTGAAAAATGATTTTCAATAAAAAAATATCGGTCACTCAATATTCAGTATTTTTTTCAACTCTGATCTTTGGTAAATAAAGGTAATTACTGAATTATGTCCTATAGGGTTGCATAAAAAAGATAAAGAATTATATTGAGTCTACTTTCTCTACTTATCCTTATTATTGCTTACATGACGGAAATGAATTTTCATTTATATTTCTTTCAATGACCTGCAGATCTTGATTACATATTTCGATGCAACACCGAGAATGCCCGGAAGAAATCGAATACATTCAAAATTAGTTATACTCAATGTTCTAAAGATATGATTTTAGGTAAAATTCAGAATGCAGTACGGCATAGTTCACCGACAAATAAAGTGAATCATACAGAATTATAAATGGGATGAGAATCAAAACGACTGCAAGAAAATTTAGTGTTCAAAAAGAACGACTTTCCATTCTGGCTTTGAATCAGAGAAAAGGCGAACTTGCTTTAAAATCAAGACAACTAATACTGTAATAGGCTACCTAGAAAATAGGAAGATTAAATCTGACGTCATCTCATTACGAGAGTGAAATCGTAACATGATGACCCAGCTGTGGAGAATAGGGGAAATTGCCTACTATAACCTGATCGATCTTCGTATCGTTGCATATACAAAAAGATTACATAAGTGACAATAATACAGTACGGTACACTATACAAATCGCTAGAATGTCCCGTGATTTGGTTCAATAAAACACGAACACTCCATGTGTCTCACAAACGAGGGGCGCCTGGCACTACGGCAGATGCGTCATATCACGCCATGCTTGTTTCGATATTAATCTAAATTAATTGTGGCCGTCAGGCGACAAAAATTGCTGTTTTTGGTTTAAAACTCTCGAATGCCACGATAGAAAACTTTTTCTTAGATAAATCGGATTATTTTTTCCTGATGAATTCGATGACGTTTTTAGATTGAGTTTCTTTGTATTTTTTACGCAGAAATGAGACAATGTCTCTCGATCTGTTAAGTGTGCCTAGTGCAGTACCGTAAAAGCAGCAAACTTCGGATGATTTCACTATATTTTAATCAATAACTCTGCCGTTTGTTGTCCGATTCGCGTCAAACTTGAAATATATTACATTGATGTAATTCTCTGCATCTACATATAATTTTCTCGATGATCGGATCATTTTTTCTGTCTTAATTGTCTCATTTTCTGTGATCTGTAACGACGCAAATAAATATCTAACTTCGGATGGGTGTATCCCCTCCCTGCGTCACCGCAACTAGAGCGAAAAGTGCGTGCATGAGGACAAAACACGCTTTACGTCGTTGCGTAAATGCCAGATGTTCAATCCACGTCGCGAGCGACGATGATAATGTCGACCGTGGGATTTCCGGCGCGGCACTTTTAAGTTGATTTTATACTAAAATGTCTCGTTTTATTTTCTCTTATCGTAACATTAGATCCGAATATTCACCGGTCATAGTCGATTTAGTTATAGCCGATGATGTTTTGATAGCGTTTTTTACACTCCACAGTCACACCATGTATAGTCGCACAATATATATTATTGAGCATGCACATGACAGCACTCTTTAAAAAATTGACCTATTTAAATGTCGGCCGTGCATAAATCACGACAAAACACCGATTTGGCAATTGGCAACTTTATTAAAATTACTTTCGTTAAATTCACAAAACGGAACTCACTTGCAGCAATGATTGTTGTTATTTATCGCTGGTTATATATTTTTATATTTACGCAATATTTCTCGACTGCTCACAATTTTTCTATTTTGAACCATGTTGCCGTACCAAATGGAGAAATTTGAAATCGTCAAATCGAATGGATATGCTTTTCATTAATTGCCATTTTTAATAAATTCAATTGAATTACATCTCCAGCATTGGGCGCCATGAATTTACGATCCACAGAAAATGGTTGATGCGTATATTTTGCCGATATTGATCAATCGAACAAAACATCGTTGTTATTTTCAAATCTACGCCAACTCGTCGGCGCCCGAATGTCTGGCGTCAAACCTGTAACGGCGACGCAACGTCGTCCTCGAAGTGAGCGACGTTAGGGTGACGTCAAGTTCAACGTTTGCGTCAGATGCTATTATTGTGATAAAAAAAATTATTCAAATTTTAATTTTTTATCGGGTCTCATACGACATCTCGCGATCAGTCTAATTTTCTATATACATTGATAACGCCCTCTATCGAATGATGCTATTTTGACGAAGTTAGCATCAGTAGAAATCACGATTTGAGCCGCTCAAAAACGGAGTGTCAATTTTATGCTGAAACATGATTTTTTTAATCATAAAATAAATTAAACTGCGCAATTGAATATGATAACAGATTTAGATATATAATTCCTCGCTATAGAAACTGTCATAAGCACAATATGACGCAAATTAGTCGAGATAAGAACGATTAAAAATTTCATCCGAAGTTATAAACCATCCGAAGTTACCTGCTTTTACGGTAGTGCCCACGCAAAACAATAATATAAAAAATATGTTAATTGTGTATTGTGTCACATTTCACATTTCTGAAAAAAAAAAAATTTGCATATCAGTGACCTAAACATTCGCCAGTTGCATCTGAAGTTTCTACAATCAGACAATGTTTGTACACCAGTACACTGAAAGCCCACACTGCTGCACTAGCATAGGATAGGATAGGATAGGATTTTACATATTTATCCCGGGGGAGAGGAAAGTCGATAAGACGGCTTATCCATATGGCGAACCACGGCCTCTCGTCCGGTTACCATTCCAAGTCGGGTATGGGATTAGTTTTTACTGTATTGTTTGTTTTTCGGAAGCATGGACTTGGTGGTGGAGGAAGCCGTAACCGACCAGCGGGCACCGAGCATGCACTCGCCCCTTCGCGACTAACGTGATAAAACTCAAATAGTCTGTAAAACGTCTACAAAGCAAAATGCTTGCGCCCACAGAAGATAAGGCTTTTCGGATATCCCCGCCGAAACACTTCATTGACTTTAAAACGAATTCGCTGTAGCGAAATTTATATTATTTCGTCATAGAAAAAGATTAAAATATCAAGAGGGTTGGCGAATAAAAACGCGTAATTATTTAGTACACATTAGGTTGATTTGTTCACCTGGTTACTGTATATTAAATTTTCAAATTTTATTTATAGTAGATATATTACCTTTATAAGACAATAACATATTAGCTGAAAGTAAATATTTCTCTGTATGTAATGATCTCGGACAAGTAAACAAATTTTTAATTTGTTCACTGGTAGGTTGGTTGCTGTATATTAAATTTTCAACTTTCCTACGAAGTATATATATTCCCATGGACCTTTCCCCGAGCATCGACTTCTTTGTTTACTTCGTGACATTGGCCAATCAGCAAATTGTAAAAAGTGACGTAACAATGCTTCCTTTTCGCATCCTCTCAGACACTTTTCTCACTCAGACAGATTTTCAAGCGTGGTCGTAAACATTACCTCGTTTTCGCATTTTTGAACTCTATTCGTTAGTTTTCAGTTGTGTTTTGGAAACTTAAATGTAAATCAGATAATTCAATGGTCACCCTGTCTTCCTAGGAGTTTTAATTTAATTGCAGTAATGAAAATTAGTGTAGAAATAGCTGTGATAGACTAGGCTAAAATTCTTTAACGGTACCTTTAAAAAACAGGTTGTTGTATGCGATAAATCATAATTATGGTTTGAAACACATACCCCATTTCACAGGCGCCAACTCTCAAAAGCACTCTTCAAATAACCCCGAAAATTTTGCAATGGTAAAGTATAGGAAGAATTTTTCGGGGGTCAAAGGTCGGGGAGAGGTCCATTGTTCGACAATCATATATTAGTTGAAAGTAAATTTTCCTCTATATGTGATGACCTCGGACTGCTACGTACAACACATGTAGCGGCTCAAAACAGCATTGTAAATTTTTATTGAAATGTGTTCTCAGTTATCTACTCAGTAGAATCGTGATATAATGCTAAAGACCGTCGCCTAGGTATAACATCAAGCGTAATGTTGAAAATATCTCGCGTGGTATTGTAACAATTTTGTACGCGCCTAATATTTTGGTACAAATTGTGTTATTGAAATAAATAAATTTTGTTTACCCGACAGGTTGCTGTATATTGAATTTATAACTTTGTAGTGTATTCGCATTGTAAGACAATATTAAATATAAAGAGACTGATACCAGTTGGTATGTGAATATATATATATTTTATATATGTACAAAGTATATATGTATAAAAATATCATATAAATATGACAAACAATCATATCACAAATGTATAGGATTAAATGCCGAGTAAATACCTAAGATCTATTAAAATAAACAAAAAATAAATAGTTTACGTAGATCTAACTTTAAACATAACAGCTCTAATTAAAAGTACATATTTTGACAAATACAAGAATATATGTGGAACGCATATTAAGCATAATCAAATCGATAAATTTGAGTCAGAAATCATCATTTTTTTCAATATACTTCTATATTATTATATCATTATTGTTTAATGAAATTGCGTATAAAACAAAAATACGAGCAACGCAAAAACATGAATGAATAAAAAAGTTAGGAAAAAAGAAGAAATCGAGATTCATAAAAATGACGGCGTTAGCAATAAAGCAACCAGTAGTAAATGGCACTTTCAACTGTTATGAAATGTATTTTGAATGCAAACAGCCATTAGTCTATCCAAAGCATCCCATTGTTGCGTCGATCCTGCCACTGGGTGATGCCCCGAGGATTCAAGAGGAGCAACCACTGACCGTAGAAAAGGCGGTGGGAGATTCTTAACCACACAGCAACTCAGTGCACTTCGACTGATTTTCATATCCGGCAGACGACGCCAAACTCCGGTCGGAATTTCACGATTGGCAGGCAAGTTTTCGGGCCTCAGGTTCTGTAGTCTTAAAACATGCCTCAAACCATCCGCATTATCTTCATCGTTGTCGCCACTTCCATTACCCTCATACGAAGGGCTATCGTTGCCGTGCCGAGCCAATCGATTACTCGGACCAGGAACTTCAGCGTCACTTCCTCCAGCAATTACGTCATCCGAGTCGCCTTCATCGTCAAAGTATTCTACGTTGCAACAAGTGGAAACTCCATTGAATCCACCCATAACAGTAAGTTTTCCTCCGAGCACACACGCACCAAAGTTGGACCTGCCAATGTACATAAGTGAGTTTAAAATTAGTGGATCGAATCCGAGTTAATATATAAAATTGTTGATCAGTATAATGGTACCTGCCAGTTGACATATCGGGCCATGTCGTCCATAAGTTGAGTTGTGGATCGTAAGCTTCAACACTATTCAACCTGGAAGAATTTCCATCAAATCCACCCAGAGCAAGAACGCGATTCTTGTAGGCTATAACAGTGACCCCCGAACGAGGAATTCGCATCGGAATAATGCGTGACCACTGTTGAGATTCTGTGTCGAAATATTCAACAGAAAATACGCATTGGTGTCCAGTGAAACCTCCAGCAACGTATATCTTTCCAGATAATCCGCATACACCTGAAACAAACGGAGAATTATATTTCAAATGCCCCAATACAAACGTTCCCAAAGTTTAAACTCAATGAAATGCATTGTAATGAAAGTATTACTTTATTAACATTAAATTACCACAAGCAAAAGTTAATTCTATAGTGTTAGCATGTCAATACAATGCGTGTGCTTGTTTTTGCGCTCATACAAACTATATATATATAATAATTAACGACTGAAGGTTGACTGGCACGATATAGTCCGTCATGCTACTCTCTCATCGTTGATTTCAACAGATTTGTTCACTTTATCTCGACTTTTAAACGCAGACTGATAAGTTCCGACTACACATGCTTTAGTATATTTATATTGTTAAAAATGTGATTTACATTCTCTGATCAGATGTTACCTGCATCGCTCCTTCTTTCAGTCATATCGGGTAAACGAGTCCAGACATTAACATTCGGATCATATTTCTCCGCGGATTTTAATCTTAAATGTTCCCCTCCACCTTCGGATCCACCAACAGCGTAAATCAATTTATCAAGTTCAGCAACTCCAACGTAGCATCTCCTACAAGTGTGACATTATGATTTTAATAAGTTAAAACATACCGAATTTGCACATAATTACACCAAATGCACCATACGCTTGGGTATTAATAAATAATAAACAATTGAGGTAAATTTTTTATTCATATCACTGTATTTCCCAGTACAGTATACTTTCGTATATGCAGTGTTTAGTAGTAATCGCCAATACCCATATTATGGGCTCATATTATCGAGTACGGCGCGGTCACAAATATTGATCCTTTTCGTGCTCATGGAGCGCAAGTATACCTGTGATGCATTCCACACATTTTCTTCCATTTTCCTGATATGAGATTATAACGATCACAGGAATTGTATGTTAACTGACCATCAAATCCACCAACAACATATAACATTCCATCAAGATAACACACGCCGTGATATGCTCGGGGTTTCTATATAATTTAATAGTTAAGTTTTCAGTTGATTACATTGCTTTTACTAAATCAGTACAGTATTATATATGACAGCAGAGTTTTGCAGATTCTGCTCTAGTTTCTTTCACTATTACCTTCTGTGAAATGTACTTCAGTGGTGCTAAAATAGGTATAGTGAAAAAGATTCTGGCAATACCTTTCATAACAGCCAGTATTAGGTATATATTTTGCACATTAGTAAACATAAACGTGGTCAAAAAGGTGTAGTTCATTGGTATTTATTATAACAAAATATACTCTCTGATTGGGATGCATTTTTTCTGGAGCAATTCCCAAAAATGGCGTGCCTAAAAGCTGGTTTCTCAATTTCCCCGAATAACACGCAATCAGAAGTAGTCTACTTAACACTAAAGGTCGTCAAACGATTTGAGATATTGCAATCGAAAATATACTCTATAGTAGTTACTCTTTATACACATTAGGTATTTTGTGCCGTTAATTGTCATGTATATATAAAAAAAACAGTCATGCGTATGTATGCGTCCAACTGCGAGGCGACAGCTGTTACGGAACCTTAGTCGGATGGAAAATATGAATCACATCAGAAAGAAAGATTGCGTCTAACAATATAAACCACAGATTTTCGCGACGCTTACCTTTAAGAGCGTCGGAAACGCTATATTTGTATCACACCATGTTCTAGTCACGGGATCATACGCCTCGCTAGATGATGTAGGAGCGTTGCCGCTCCATCCGCCCACGACTAGAATAACTTCTCGCGGAAAACGAGGCCTCGAAGTGAGGCGCAGTATATCGCATTCTTGCGATGTTGGTGGAAATGATATGTCTGCATTAAATAACTTGGTGCCAACATCGGTAGCAAATTTTGTGAAAGCTGCTTTATTGTCTCCAAGATTTTCCTTCATCCTCGATAAAAGAATCTGCTTTTCTATGAGGGATCTGCGTTAAAAATACTAAGATAGGGCAAGAAACTAATACTTGACTATATAATATGATTAAAAAATTATGTCGAATATTTCGAGCTCCAAAGCAGAATCTTATATATATCATAGCATTCATAGATAAACAATTAGTAAAACAACATTTAAAAAACTTGACACAAGTTACCTCGATCGTGCAGATGATATTACGAGGTCGTGATTTCTCACAAAAGCTTCAATGAATTCCGCTTTCAACAAACCAAGTCTGACGGAGAACAGAAGATTGAAGAAATCCGTTTGGCGATGACGATTGATTGGACTACTAGCCCAGCTGCCAAAAACAACTTCAATAAATCAAAAGGGTGGGCTAGCCTTGGATGTTCAAAATTCAAACCACAAAAATTGGAGAAAAAAAAAATTTGGGGGAATTTTTTTAAGATACTACACAACTTCTGCAGGGTATGAATGAAAAATAGTGGAATATAAAATGACCATATGTGAGAACCAGCAGCTTATCTTGTGGATTATAGAATGTACTTGAAGATGACGGAATCAAAATTAAGATATATATGTAGGTACACACCCCATGTTTGAATAAATAGGGACATAAAATATTATTTACATGACACGATGCCGTTTACAAATGAATATATATATAATTGTGTTGTAGACATGAGAAATTTTGACTATCTAGCCCAGGGGTCACCAAACTACGGCTTGCGAGCCAGATCCGGCCCGTGGTGTCTTTTCATCTGGCCCGCAATAACATGAAAACAAGGTGCATTTTTACCAAGGGATGTATTCCCGAGCATCGACTTACTTGTTTATTTCGTAACATTGACCAATCAGCAAGATGCAAAACGTGACCTCACAATAGACCTTTTCGCATTCGCTCCGGATTTTCAGTTGTGGTTTCAAATGATATCTCGTTTTCGCGATTTTGAATGCTATTCGTTAGTTTTGATCGTGATTTAGAAATTTAAGTATGAATCAAGTAAGTCAATCACTATTTTTCTAAAGTTCTATACCGGAACGCAGCGTTTCTGCGAAGGATACACTCGTGGCGCGTGCCGTTGCTGTGTACGTTTCTCGTGCTAAAATAAACGTCGAACGTGAATTTTACGCTAATAGTACAAGTCACATTAACTTTTGTACTGCTTACATGCGAATATTCATGACAGCAATTGTTATCTTAACAGGTAACCTCATGTTGTTCTTGATCTATATTCTGCGATATAGAATTTAATATTCAAGACTTCAAAAATGTAGAATTTATATTGTTGAATAAATTGAATGGATTTTCTAACTTTGGGAAATTTATTGTATTGCATTGACAAAAATATTTGTCCGGCCCGTTTCAACAAAGTTTGAGTCATACCTGGTCTGCAGTCAAAAAAAAAAATTGGTGATCCCCGGTCTAACCTCAAAACGACACGAAGAGGCAGCTTCTCGTTTTTCACATTGAGTTCATCATTTTCAAGAATTTTCCGCAGACTATCGGCATCCAGTTCCATCAACGTCTTACCACTACAAGATTCTTGGAGGTTCGCGAGTGATTGGAAATTACTCAGAATAAACGAAAAGGCTTTCATCTCCAACTCTTTGCAATAGTAAATTCTAGATCAATAAAACACAAAGACTGGGTATTGTGGGTCACAGATAGAACATAAAAATGCAGGCCACGTTCATCGATTTAAAAAGTGATAGTTCGTTGTACCTATTTTTCATTTATTTCAATATATATATATATATATATATTTGAAGATCTATTGACTATTCATTCAACTCTAACGAAAAAGCATTGCTGATTTTTACTAAAGTACATGTAACCAACAATCACCTGGCGAATTCCCAAAATTCCAAACAATTTTTGGGCTTCATTTTTTGCGTGAGATACTGGGCGCATATTTTCATCATTTCGTCAACGCCGAAGTGGTTTCCAACAATGAGCAACTCCTTTGCTTCGCTTATAGAATTTAACTTTATCTGTAACAACAAATATGAACTATTTGAGCAGATACCAGGCAAAAACTAAATATATATAGACAAACTAGAGATTGGCTCTCACACTTCTTGTATAAGCAAATTGAATAACACATTTCATCATGGTAGCGTTTACTCCGGGAATCCGTATTTCCTTCTGACTACTGCTTTTCCAGCGTCCGCTGAATAATGATCTGTAAAAAATGCCGAAAGACATTTGACTGTATTAGTGTTTCAATCAAATGAAACGCACGATTTTTCATTTCGCTTCAAGAAAATGAATACTGCAATGAATATTTCCTTTTTTATCATATTATAACGTAAGAAAATGGAAAGATTGCTGCGAAATAAATAAGTAAAAGCTTTCAGTACCTGAAGTAATGACCACACGTGCACAGAACAATCCTGTGCGCTGAAAACTTTTGCTGGTCGTCTGTGACAAGAGTGACATCATAGAAAAGCCCCTTCTCTCTCAAGTCGTTGAATGTTTGCCACGCCTCGTAAGACATTCTCCAATTGTAAATATCATCCTTCTTTTCTGTTATTCGTTTAGTTTCTGTATTTGAAAAAGATAAACAAGTAGATTCACCTCATCTTACCAGTTTTCAATAATCAGAACATATTCACTCTTTATCTCTAACTTAAATCCCGAAAAAAGGATAGTGCAGACAAATAAGCTCAGAAATTAGGTACCATTAGGTACAACGCGTACCATTCACTATTTGTGAATAATAAACTCAAATATAATAATGCTCGCGAGGCTACCCTATGTCTCTAACAGACGAATTCCTGCAGCTATTACTATAAGCCATTCATATAAAATTTGATTTTTAACCACAATTTAGATTTAACGATTAATCTTTGTCGGTCGCAATGTACTTAAAAAAACTTACTGTGAATTCCTATTGATTACCTGATTGTGGAGCATCACCGGAAGCTTTTGATGACATTTTCAATTTTGTAATTAGGCAGAGTTATTTTCACACATGATTTTCACAAAAGCTTGAATAAAAATTCTGGAATAGATTCTCTATTTTCCGGGTAGTCACGCAGGATAAACAAATACATAAATCACATGTTTGGTCATTGTGACGTAATCAATTATCAACATTGTGATCTGAGAGAAAGCGGCTACCTCTTACATGCCGAAACGTTAAGGAAAAAACATGATATGATTTGCATATTTATCTCGGGAAGAGAAAAGATTGTCCTTTTTCGGAATAAATATGAATAATCGTTGCTACCTCTCAAATGTGTCCGATTCCCCCTATTCACAAAAATTGTAATATCGTACCAATAAAATAAAGACAATTGCGGCGTTTTTCTTGTGTTGCGCATCTGGCATCTGCACGGCAAGTATTTGGTAATTCGAAATATTAGAAACGTTATATTAGAATATTAGAAACTGTAAATATTACACCAAGTTTGCTATCAGTCAGTCCGTTATGATAAGAACAGATTCGACGTGAAATACCGACAATGAGGTTTTTATTACTTAGTATGAGGACGCTCTGGACTGGTTCCTTCGCTTGTTGTTGGTAATGTTATGACTAAAATCAGGTTTTATTTCAGTAGTTGGTCGCATACCTGTCACCGCGTTGTTGTCGTTTTTATTGTATTCTGAGTCTGAAAGCGTGTTGGGCGTCTGAAAGTGAAACAATATGAGTGAGCAGTGTTACTTAGTATACGAGTAAATTAGTATTTAATGCAAAGTGCAAACTAATATTATTTCAAATTCTAATATTTAGACTCAAAATTTGCACAAATCCTTATATATTTTTAAATTAAATATTCAGAAATAATGAAAAAATCATTAATTGTTTTTCAATGGCCACATGTATTATATTGAAATTTTCGAATAAAGTATATTAAATTTGATAGGATAGAATGCTAGATAGATAGTATATTTAAATTTCCCAAACATCAAGAATCTGTTGTATTGAATATAATTATTTGCAAAGCATTCCATTATTTTCTTCATTTTAGACATGAAGACATACCTGAATGCAAGTACACATAATGCAGTCGTGCGAGAAAACCTATTTTTTTTATCCATAATATGATTTCTAACTGTAATGTTTTGTTCTGAAACAGTAATATTTGAAAACAAGATGTTTAGACTTGCTTCAAGTTTATGCAGAACATTGCAATGTCAATTGAGGCTGGCTTCTACCAGCAGTGGAATATCGACTACTTGCAGTGGAAAATCCATGTTAAAAATTCTTTTTCCTACAAAGAAGTTATTATTACAAACTTCCCAAGATTTTGCTGTGCAATGTAAAAGACGGACACTACATGTTTCAAGATTGAGATTTTCAATTAATAATAAATATTATCATACAAATCGTGGTTCAAATGTTGATGTTGTATTATACATTGCTTCTGGAATAATATTCATGATCGGTGTTTCATATGCAAGTGTTCCCCTATACAGAATGTTCTGTCAGGCAACAGGAATTGGCGGAGATCCTAACATCGGCCACAAAACTGAAAATGTGAGCACAATGAAACCGATTCGAGAAAGACCAATCACAGTAACATTCAACGCAGATAGACATGCAGCAATGCAATGGAACTTTAAGCCTTCGCAGCATAGAGTGACAGTTGTTCCAGGAGAAACTGCTTTGGCATTTTATACGGCTAAAAATCCCACTGATACACCCATTGTAGGGGTTGCAACATATAATGTGCTTCCTTTTCAAGCCGGACCCTATTTTAATAAAATTCAATGTTTTTGCTTTGAAGAACAATGGTTAAATCCACATGAAGAAGTGGACATGCCTGTATTTTTTTATATCGACCCTGAATTCGATAATGATCCGCAGTTAGCTAGGGTTAATGATATTGTATTATCTTATACATTTTTCAAAGCCGAGGAAGGGCAAATTCTACCTATGCCTGGCTTTATGAACGCTCGTTTCAAAGGGGCTCAGCCAGCACCGGCTGTAACACAATAATTAGATAAAACTGGAAAATAGAAATCACAGCTTTGCAATGGCAATTAAAAGGTTTTTGACGACTTCGAGTTTTTGTTTTAAAAAATTATTTGCAAAAAAAAAAATCAAATTTCTTGTAAATTTCTATCTGTTGTGATAATTTGCTTCTGAAATCTTGTATTATGAATTTTATGGATTATTTTTTTGTTTAAATTTTTTCTTACATAGATTTTGTCATAATTTTGCGTGAACTTGAATGTATAAATTAGTAACTAGAAATTTATGGCATATCAACCGAAATATGAATAAGTATAAAGATATGATGACATTTTATTCATTAGTGGGAAGATTAAAGGTGAGAGATTTTAAAATCAAATTGCAAAACATTTTCATTAACGCCATATTTGTTTCAAAATCCTTTTCTCCGCGTCATTTCGAATATTTAAAATAGACGCATGGTGAATCAAAATAAATAGTTCACTTCCTGAAAAAAAATTTTATGAAATAGATTTGCCAGCTTGTATTTACACATTTTGAAATTGTTCCCCATGAAAAAGATTGTAATTATCTTACGTCCGAAGTTATTTATATTAATATTGTCTGCCAACCATGTTGTTTATCCCTCTTCAAATCAATTTGTGAATAGAAATTTATTATCTGGTTTGGCTTTCTTCTTTAGCATTCAAGTTGTCTGACATAAAATGTTGTGTTGCTTCAATTAGTTCTCAAATATCTCCCACACGAACGTTTTTTTTTTTTTTTTTAGAAAATCAAGCGGTCAGGCTGGGTGAGAAAGGGAGTGGAAGATCCTGAAACAATAAGTGGACACATGTATAGGTAAGTTAGGCACAACTTAACGGAACGACGGCAGGTAACAATTTCAGCTAGAGGGGCATCGGGATAAACTAGGTATTCGCCCCATTTTCTCAGGAATTTTTTGTTTTTAAAAGCGGGCGCAGTTTGACATGCTGAATTTTCAAACGCCTGTAGTCGAAATTTCATACTTTCGATGGAAATAATAAAAGTCCAAATTTTCATTGAGAAACTAAGAAAGAATCAAATTTACTAAATGTTCTTAACATTTTTTAAAAAGAGGCTTCCATACACCTATGTTGCTGGTATCAAAATTTAATTATCTTTAAGTTTGTGCTTTTTCAGGCATTTTTGGTCCGAGGCGATTTCAAATTTTCCCAAAACCCCAGAGCTCTGCTATACATCTTGAAAAAAATTCATTATCTTCCAGTTTAGTGTAACTAATTATGCCGCTGTTTAATCATCGAAACAAGCCTGAATATTTGAAATACTTCTTTCGCATAAACAAACCAAATTATTGGGTCCATTATTACATGCCTTTGGATAAATTTTGGGATATGATATCCGATATGTCAGTATGTCACTTTCAACATTTTTTTGCAGAATGTCAATCATGGCAATGACAATGTGTGAACCAGATTTACGGAAGGACCAGTAGGTATAGATTTTTACTATCAACCTTATTTTTCAAGCAAGCAGTAGAAGCCATTAAATTACTAATGAAGTATAGAAGTTCTGCTATATAGGAACCCCTATCCTATCCTAGTGGTCAATATCAATAAAACATCAGGTAAAAATGAAGCTCCTGAGACACATTTTGAATATCACACTTTTCCAGAGCTGGAGCCATCGTTGTTTCATACCAGCTCCCCATTCCTGATTTCAAGTAATTCATGATCCTACATTTCTTTTTTCTAGTTGTATGAAACTTTGCTTGGTTCATGACATGGCAGAATGTATTGTTGGAGATTACACCCCGTGCGATGGGATTTCGAAAGAACAAAAATATACGGAAGAAACGGTATGTCGAGTAATATTTCAAATATACCAGCATGTGTGAAACATCTCATTGGTTTTGCCAGCAAACCTGCATCAATATGGCATTGCCCACTTCAGCTCCCAACTCTTGAGCCATTTAAACAAAACTCATGACCGAGAAACGTTTTGTTTCAGGCTCCTGACTCCAGAAAAAGGAACCTTTGACCCCAGCTCTCAACTCTGAGAGGACCAAATTTTGTCCCCCAAAACTTTGGCATGGGTCCATTGGGATTTAAAAAATTCCTAGTTTTCATCAGAGGTCTGAAATTATGACTTTAAAATGTAAACTTAGCTGAGGGAATGTCGTCGGTCGATCTCCGTGTTCTATTCAAACGGTACGGCTATGTTGCCGAATGTGATGTCGTGGAAGATAGAAAAATCGATTTTGTTCACATAGAATCTGGGGCTGCTGATGCAGCAATCCGAGGTATAAACGGTCGGGAATTTCGGGGAATGGCCCCAAAAGTCCAGAGATAAAAAAATCAAGGTGGTGGGGACTTTGTACCGTTTCGTGGTGGGGGTAGAGGGGGTTTTGGTGGTCGACATGGCAAACTCCATATTTCAATTCTACTGTGCTAGTGCCAATTCTCCAAGGACCGATGGTCTGCTACAGGGGTTCCCAAACTTTATTGGACGCGGGCCAAATTTAGAATCGGGAGAATGTTCGCGGGCCGGAAGAGTTTAGCGCCCGAAAGTTCGCGGCGGTTTAGCTGGGGTTCAGTGGATTCACTTTCATTTGACATTTTTTGCAATCTGTTTGTTTGACTCATAATGGCGCTTAAATGTCGTATTCCTTCAGAACTGGAATATTTCATTGGCAAGGAAGATAAATCGCTGAAGTTTGATTCTTTGCAATACAGAAATATGAAAGCTACCATTTATCCCGGAACATCTATTTGCAAAGTCTAGTTTTGTTTGATTTTTTGACATCTGTAAGCTTTCTTATAGGGCTGAAAACTTAATTACTGCTCTTTGTAATCCTACTGTGTTTCCTTGAAAATGAGACCAATCCCGTTAATAAGACCTAGCCTGAATTTTAAGAATGATTTTAATATAAGCCTCACCGTAAAATAAGACGTATAGTCAGTAGCACCTAGTCGATAGCAGGAAATCTCCCGTTTTACTCAAGTTCGGCGGGCCATTTTAAATTGTTACGCGGGCCGGAATTGGCCCGCGGTTTGGGAACCCCTGGTCTGCTGTATTACTATATTGACAAAACAACATATTAGTTGGGCGCCTTCTAACTTAGGGATTCCACATTGTCATTTTTGGACCTTATAAACAGTAACTATATTTATTCAGAATGCAATGAGACAACTTGGAGATTTGTTACCTCAACATAATGCCGAAGAGATTCAAAGTTTATTTCAAGTGAGGCTTGCACATGATATTTCAAGTTCAGACAATACTCTTAATTTAATAATACTAGAATTACCGTAATATTGTTCAGGTATCAGCGCACTTGATGATATAATATTAATATGTTCTACTTACTAACTAACCTCATTTGTGTTTTGATATAAACAGGAATTTGAAGAGCAGAAGACACCTGAATCAATATTCGTAAAAGATCTTGATAGGCTGGATATGATTTTACAGGCTTATGAATATGAAAATGACTCTGAAAGGCCTGGTTGGCTTCAAGAATTTTTCGACAGTACGGAAGGTGAATTATCTAGTTTGATATGTGTTAATGATTTTGGCATTCAAGCTAATAAAAAAATGAAATATTTTTTCAGGTTATTTTAAAACCCAAACTGTGAAAGATTTTGTTGCAACTTTAAAAGAGAAGAGGTCTGCAGAGGGAACGAAATGATGGCTCTTGGGAGGTCAGCACTGTTCGATGGATAGCATGACTTCTGGTGGCTGTGAATTCAACAGTTCTCCAATCAAAAGCACCTATGGCAATGAGATGGTATTCTCGATAGTACAGTTTTTTAATGAATAAAGTATTCGTTTTGATCTTTTGTTGGTGTATTTTAGATCAGTTAGCAGAAGCTTACCATCGGGTCATAGGTTGGCTTTGCATTAGCAGCACCTACCGTTTTAAAAGCTCAGCTGCCCCTTTAAGAAATAGGTCGCATCTCTGTTGTGGGGGTCTGATAGATGTGTAACGATTCATATGTTATGGGGCTTATTTAGAAGTGTTCGGTTGTACAGCAGCTTTGTAATTAGAGAATTTGGATGCTCTCCACGATATGACTCTGGCTAAGATGTATGAATCTACAGCAAAGCGTTGGCTGACGCACTATGACAAATCAGGGCAAAATTTGTTTCAAAAGGGAATCTTAACTAAAACTTGCCACCAGATGGCCTTTTTCTGGGTCATGTCAACCAGTTAACAAAAGCCGTATTAAACATAAATCAAATATTTTTGCTCCAGAAACAATATTTGAAAATTGTCAGTCAATAATGGTGTGATGACTTGCCATACTTTATTTTAAATAACTTCGAAGATGGATGAATTACAACACTAATATTTACAATCAAGTTTGTGACACCACCTCAAAACCTGTAACCAACAATAAAGCAACACATTTTTCCCAAAGAAATTTAATATTGACTCAAATTTGGCATTTGCATGTATCAGAGGAAGGAACTATGATAATCTACATTGAAAAGAAAGAAAAAAACAAGAAGATTTAATTTCAGTGCAGCAGAGGAATTTTAGCAGACACACTATTCATGATTGATCATAAAGCACTTTATATTCAAATGGTAAAACAGCAGTGACAAATACATAGAAAGAAAGTAAATTCAAAAACCCTTCACCATTCATTAAAATTATACTGACAAAGAAAAGAATCAGGCCCACTACTGAGTCAGACTTAAAAATTTGGAACTTCTTGATAATTGGCATTAGAAATACAGTGATTGCAGGAATGTGTGACTCAAGACTGACAACAGGGATAATTAATAAAGGGAAACCAACATTGTCGCACTCAGTATTTAATGCATTGTTTCAAGCAGGGATGGGGAAGCTACAACATACTCTAAGTGTCTTCAGCTCCTAACCATTTATTTTCTCACACTTATAATTTTTTAACACTGCAATCAACCCCTTCAAGTGTATACATATTTTCAAAATCTAACTTTCAAGAAGTTTCAAGTTGAATATGTATGATCAAAAGTTTACAATATAATTTGAAACTCCCATATCATAGTTTCGAGTCGCGATTTTGCAAAAATGCATTTGGGCTGATGTTCCATATCACTGGCCATACCAGGAAACTAACTTCAAGGAGCCCTCGTGAGAAAAGATGAAGCAAAGTTGGAATACACTGATTGTGATTTAAAACCAGCTCTGGTTTCAAGCAGCCCATTCTTCATCATCTGTTGTTTGCCAATCACTTGATGAATCAATGATATCGAAACTGATGTCATCTCCACTAGAATTATCATTGTCATCACGAAGCATATCGCTAAGCCGGTCTAGATCATGATCCTCACCTTGCGAGGACCCATCGTCACCATTAGAACTACCAGAAATGCTGCTGCCATCTCCGTCACTATCATTGTCCTCATCGTCAAAATGACTCTCAACGTCTTCATCATCCTCATCTCCTCTTGTCATACCAACTTCATAGAATCGACACACGCTCATGGCCGGTTCACGCCATTCCTCATCTTGAGCTAACGTTTCCACGATAGCAACACTGCAATCCTTGCTATCGACGGCAAGATCATAGATCTGATGTCTAACAGCATTGAATGCCAGTTGCTTGTATTCGAGTGCATCGAAAGTACGAAAAGCTGACATCAATGACTTATTTATATTCTGTTCTTCACTGGTATAAGTATCTTTGGTTCTGACTGCATAAATTATGGTTCCCCCGCTGTTAAATGTAAGGTTACATTGATCAAGGGCAGGTATTGTATGAAGAAGATGATAGTTTCTCAAGTCCCAGACTTCGCTATTAATAACAACTTGTAGACCATTTGGATGGAATACGCCACTAATTGTTGTATTAAATTGATCGAATTTGTGAATTGGCAACGTGTGAGGTTTACGAACATCCCATAAAAGTCCATCTGAAAGAATAAGTTTATCATCTGGAGAAAAAGTCGCACGATTTTCCTTGTAATAACAACACATATCTTCTCGCTCAAAAGTGTCTAAAGCACTTCCAGTATTTAAGTCATAAACAGTGGCCTTGTGTTCTTTTGTTCCAATGATCTTATCTTGGTGAAGTTTTGAAAATTCAGCATGGTCTATGTCTTCAAATGTAAACTTATGCTCAAGTTGTGTGCCTAATGAATGAAGACTACAGTTATTGGCCCAAATTGATTCTGCAGTGACTAGTATTGAATCTCCGTTACGAGAGGGCTGCAGAGCTGAAATTGGCATTCCTGCAACACCTTGTATTACTTGATCTTCAGCTGAATAAAGATTATGAATAACAACATCTCCTTGATAATCCCCAAGAACTATTTGTTCATCACCTGGCATGAAAGCAACGCTACAAAATGGTACTTTTCTGTCTTCTGATCCTTTAAAAACATATCCCGGTTTATAGCGACTGTAAACAAGTTGTCTGTCACACACTTCACCCCCAATTCCTCCCCAGCGAGGGCAGATTCCCTCACGAGAAACCAATCTTTTCATGACGTTTGTTGATGCTTCGACCCTATAACGTGGATCTGGACAACGATGTTGACTGAACAGTGAAAATTCTGGAACTGTGGCAACAGGATTTCGACATCGAGCATGTTGATGTTTAAAATTTTCTTCAATAATGGAATTCAGCGTTGGTGGACTTGGTGGTTCCTTACTTCGGCAGATCAAAGGCTTTGGCTTTACTGAAACAATCCCATTTTGTGATAACTTGAACCTTTGTTGGCCATTAGAGCCATTGTAAGCAGACAAAGGATCACTTTTACCTTTCAAATGTCTCCTACTGGTGCTTTGGTTTGGAATGTTGATAATATGAGATGAAGTTGGTGTGTCTCCTAATGCATGAGAACCTCTTGTGAAACTAATTCGCCTGTTCACACTAGAACTGGCATCACCACTGCCATTATTTCGGTGCTCAGATATTCCTGAGGAAGCTGCTCTTGGTCTGGATTTTGGCGTCGAAAGGATGCTTTTTTGATTGTCTGCGAATAAACAAGCATCTCTAGCAAGAATTTCTGCTGCATTAGGCAGCTTTGACCAAACTAGATGATTATGAATCATTTGAAGAACTTCTTTATTTTCATATTGCATGTGCGTTTCAGAAACAATGTGTGATATACGAATTGCATCTAAATCCAACTCCAAATTCATTGGCCTACCAGAAACTTTTTCTAAAAGGGCTCCCATACATTTGCAAAATTTTGTATGCAATCGTTTTTTGTAGTGAAGAACTGGTTCTCTAGCAACAGATTGTACCTGTCCACCAATAAAAAATGGCAATTTTGACATAATTTGAGCAATTGGTTTATAATTTGATAATCCCAATAGCGCTTTGCATGCAAAATATCTCACTTCATCTGCATGCAAAGCAGGTTGATTTATGACTAGTAATGAGAGAAGAACAGAAATACCATTATTATATTGAACATATTTCCACACCATTTCCCTCTTTTCTGTTTTAGATTGTGAAGGTTTGGAACGTGGTGTATCTTGTGGCCCAGGTGTTGATTTACGATGATCAGTTGCATAATCCCTCACACAGTTCACAATTACAGCAAGAGCTGACTTTTGTGTTTCACCTTCAACTGCAAATAGAGTTCCCCCTTTTGCTATATCCAACATTATACTAATACCGGTAAATTTTTTATTGAGAGTGTGATGTTTACACAAAGTCAATTGCGGTGATGGCAAGAGAGTTACCACGGCAAGTACATCCAAAGCTGAACGTATAACTTCTATTTGGCCTGTGTAAGTCACCCAATCACATGCAATATCAATCACTTTCACCATCAATGCAATTCCATCTAATCGATAAAAATTGAGAACAGGTAGCCAGTTACTCATAGATCGAAAGCTGGCATCAGTAACTGAGATTTCACCGAGAACTTCAAGATTTTCAAAGAATTGTTCGCGACTGGAAACCATTGGTTTATATTTTGATACAGATTCCACAATGGTGTGTCTTTCTTTAGATTTTGGAATCGATTTTTGAGCCGAGCAAACTTTAATCTGCAAATGGGCTTCAAAGTATTTTTTAAGTGCTGCACAAACTGTTCTTGTTGTTTGGCGCATGAAAAGTCTATTGGCGTCTTCATCAGGATCATAGTTATCATCTAGTACATTAATAATAATTTTTGACATACTTATCATATTCATAAGGCAACGTAATCCACTCATCTTATCAAAAAGCTGTAAAATCACTCGGAATGAGAAAGAAAATGAGAAGAACAATGCCGCATGAGATCGACCAGTTTCGTGAGAGCATTCCAGCAACCAAAGAGCATATTTCACTAAATCACTCAAAATACGAGCAGGCAGCTGACAAGCTCTTTCCATTGCATCTTTTTTGTATGCTAAGTAATAAATACATAGGGAAACACCTGTTGAACCCATTGATGGTCTTTGAACGGATAAAAGATTCTGTATTCCATTTAATTCAATGAATTCCGTGGCTACTTTATTGTGACACAGAAGAGATGCCAAAAACTCTAATGCTTTGAATATTAGTAGTCCATCAAATTTCTTTTCTTTTATGTAAATATTAATTAATTCTAGTGCTTTGAGTTCAAGGAAAATTGATAACAAATCCTGATACTCTCCCAAACATTTTAGAAAATCAAGAATAAATCTTTGGCAGACTTCTGAATGTAGAGGAGGTTCAAGGCTGTAACTGCATCCTATCATCGCAGGCATTTGCTCAGACCAGCTACTGTTACTCAGGTCATTATCATAGTAATCGCTCGTAAAATGCATTTCGCCATTCGGAGCTGGCGAATGTGTGCTCGTATGCGGTTTTTCACTGAATATTCTTTTTAGTTTTGGGGCATCTGAGCTGTTTGATAACTTGCGTTTTTGTGAGCGAGATTGTGAAGAAGTCATAACTCCGATAGAAGAATCAACTTTAAAAGTAGATCCATCACATTCTGACTCTGGAAATTTACCAGGTCTAACATGGTTCCATAATCTTTTGAGCAAAATTGATATCATTCTTATATATTCATCATTAGAAGTTTTCTGGGGTTCTATGGCACCAACAAGCAAACCTGTTGCATATGTCCTTAGTGGCTCATCAGCGTCTGTTACCCATTCAGAAAGGAGTTTGATTAACCATTCTTTTTCTTTGAATAACGTATGAGGCTCTAATCCAGGTAAAGCGGCTAAGAGAAATCGTGCAGCGGCTAACGTAATTTGAGATGGATTCTTTGGATTTGTTGTCACACGAAAGTAAGATGATGTAAGTTTATCCATGAAATCATGCGACTTTGAGAGAGAAACAAGTAACTTTCCAAAAACACATCCAGGTTGTGCATATTCAGGATGACGCTCATCAAAAGGATCAGGATCACCCTTATGAAATTCTATTGTCTCTTCTTCAAAAAGTTTTGCGCAGTCAGTCAAAAATGGCACTGGATCATAATCGCTTGATTCGTGATTTGACTTCCATGCTTCAACTAATTCAGAAAACTGCTTTTCAGCATCTCTAGCACTAGTAGTAGTATTTTCCATTACTTATAATCAGTATAATGCTGAAAATAAAATATATGTGTCTGTATGTGTGTATTTATAAATGAGCTATGGTCACATAATATTCAATGATAATACTGATTCTAAGTTCATACAGTTGCATTGGTCATTTACACTCTTTTCCTGCAGTATAAGTATTGCTACTTAATAAGAAAAGGCAGGATGTAACAGGAATACCACAAAAAGGTAGAAGTGATCAACTGACAGATTGGCCAGATGTAATCTATAAATATACGCAGGTTTATACAACTGACATAGGCAAACTACGGCCAGCAGGCCAAATCCCGCATGTTGGATAATTCAATCTGGCCCGCCTGGTGCTGCCACAGCCAAGCTAAAACCAAATTTTCATGTATCAGCTCAAAGAATTTGTTGAAATTGCAATTGCTGAATTGAATTTAGTATGACACGAGGCTTATTGTTTTCCACTTTCGCTTTTGTAACACTGTAAATATTGTTCATAAAATGTAACTTTTACGTCACACTTACATCAGTACATGGCTGCCGGTCTAGGCAGCTAGGTGCAGATTTTATTACCCAGAGCAAAAAACTTTGCTTACCCCTGCTATACAACAATGTTAAAATTATACCGGTATCATTTTTTACCAAATCATTTTTTTTTCAAATACAGAAATACATAGACTATGAATGATTTTAAGCAAAATTGCCTGTTTTTACAGTAAAACGCCAAGTTTATTGCCAATATACCGTATCCTGTGAATTTATTCAATGAAGTTCTTTTCAGAATAGCCTACTTGACACTTTTTTTTTCATAATTTTCAGAAGCCCTCACACTGTCACAGTATTGCAGTACATTATGATTAACCGTGTATCAGATCAGTCATGTGCTCATATAACAATAATTCATTTCCTTGCCTTGATTTAAAAAAATATAGGATTCCTATCAATTTACATTCGAAAATTGTACGCATACCGGCATACTACTTACTACAGTACTAGTATACATACGGCACCAATACGGTACCGGTACTCAAAACTCAGCTTACGCGGACAGGTGCAATACAGTGAGATGTGAGGGATGTGTGGCTCATCGTGCTAAGCGTCGGTCGGTTACCGGTACGGCTTTCTCCACCATCGAGTCCATGCTTCGGAAAAACAAATACCTGACTTATCCCATACCTGACATGGAATGGTAACCGGACGAGAGGACGTGGATCGCCATATGGTTGAGCCGTCAAATCGGCTTTCCTCTGTCCCGAGATAAATATGTAAATCTTATCCTCATCGTTGATTGTTCTGGTGTTCGACATCCGCGATTGGTGCGCCATTACTGTACTGTACCTAAAAGGTCTGAGGAAAGAGTGTTCCCAAAGATGAAAAGTTACAAAACACTGAAGGACTGAAGAAGTTGATAACATTTCTCCCGACAAAGATGGAGTGGTTTAAGACTAGGTCCCCAAAAGACTGTGGCCTAAAAGAAAGAAGTGAAATTTCTTCCGACCGATTGAAGTCACTAAAAAGTAAAAGTGGATGAAATTTCTTTTGACGCAAGATGAGGTGGTTGAAGTGGGCTAATTCGCCATGCAATGGCGGCGAAAGGACTAAAGCAGCGGTTCGCAAACTTTTTGTTCGTGCGGCGCCAAATTATCAGAAAAAAATTCTCGGCGCACCTACCGTGTTTCTCCGAAAATAAGACCTACCCTGAAAATAAGAAAGTCTTACCTACCCTGGAAAGTCAATAACGCGAATTAATATTTTTAAATAATTTTTTGATTATTATTTTGATTTTTATTTATAAGTGAATGGATATCGGTTTCCATATTATGTATATTTGAAAATCTCGTAATTCTTTATTTTGTAATTTTGTTTTTGATAAATGAAAATAAAAGACACTCCTCGAAAATAAGCCTGAGTGTTATTTTTGGAAGAAAATTGAAAAAGACCTAGTCTTATTTTTGGGGAAACACGGTACATGAAAAAAAATTGCTGCGTTTAAATAAAACTAATAGTTGTGATCGTTAATGTGCACTTTATATCTTTCCCCGAGCATCGACCTCCTTGTTTACTTCGTGACATTGGCAAATCAGCAAGATGCAAAAAGTGACGTAACAATTCTCCCTTTTCGCATCCGCTCAGACACTTTTCTCACTCAGACAGATTTTCAAGCGTGGTCGTAAACATTACCTCGTTTTCGCGTTTTTGAACGCTATTCATTAGTTTTCAGTGTGTTTCGAAAACTTAAAATATAAATCAGATAATTCAATGATTACCCTATCTTCCTAGAAGTTTTAAATTAATTGCAGTAATAAAAAATTAGTGTATAAATAGCTGTGATAAACTAGGATAAAATTCTTAATCGCTACTTTTAAAAAACAGATTGTTGTATGCGATGAATCATAATGATGGTTTGAAACACATACCCCATTTTGCAGGCGCCAACTCGCAAAAGCACTCTTGAAATAGCCCCGAAATCACTTTCCGGGGGTCAAATCCACAGAACCTGATTCCGTATAGAAGAGAGAGAGAGATATTCATTATTTTGTCAACCAAAATACGAACAGTCATCAATAAGAAAAAAATGTAACAGAAATAAAAATTGCTTTGGTATGTTTAACCGTAGTAGTATTAATTTACGCTTCAACCGGTTTATATATTTACGGTTTATATTTACGGTTTAACACAATTCTGTTAATTTTCGGGCGCACTTAGCAAATCGTCGCGGCGCACTCTTTGAAAACCGCTGGGTTAAGGGTTAAAACTGAGGGGTTTTTTTTGTTCTAAAATTATTTTAGTGGTGATTATTCTACTTAAAACTGCAATAGAGTGTTTTTGATACTGAACTTCAGTGGGCGCCGATTTGCAAATTTCACCTGAAGAAAAAACAATATAGGATTGACGATATTACATATTGTATTTATTATAGATATTTTATATTTTGTATTCGAATTTTTTTTGACATGAGTGATATTTTTAGTATTTCAAATGAAAATCGGGCAGACATGAGAAAGAGAGTTGACCTTTTGCCCTTATTCTTTGTTAGGCCCACATATTTACAAACTTTACACAAAAGTACTTTACACATTGACGATCACAAATTTGCTACAGGGGTGGTGACTCCTCTGAGGTCCATGGGCCGGGGCCACGGCCTATCTAATTGGGCCACATGGGCCGTGGCCCATCAAGCTATGGGCCGCGGCTCATCAGAAAAAATTCAATTGTCTTAGATTTTTTCAAAACGTGTCAAAGAACAAGGACACTAAGAACAACAATGAGAACCACAACAACACAATATTGAAACGATCGCTATGTCCACTACGTGTCCAAAAATAAAGCAAAATACTAAGCTACAGAAAAGGATACACCTGAAGTATGTGTACCAGGTTAGGGTTAGGAACTTAGGACAAAATTTTGTTCAAACTTTTCACATTATAATTCTATTATAAGTTCGGGAAGTGGGTAGGATTTACATATTTATTAGTCTTTATTATTTCATCCCATTACACAACTTGATGGGCCGCGGCCAATAGCCTGATGGGCCGAGGCCCATTTCGATGGACCGTGGCCCCGGCCCATGGGCCGTAGAAGAGTCACCACTCCCACTCCAAATTTGAGTTTTATTTGAAAGCAGCTTTTTATTTTCGTGTGAGTGCGTAGTAAGTTTTTTCGCTGATAATTTGGCGCCGCACGAACAAGAAGTTTGCGAGCTGCTGCTGTGCCTAATGTATAGAGAGAGAGAGCGAGAGAGATTTATTGCCACAAAAACAACACTAATAATTATAAACATAATACAATAACGAAAATATTCCACAGTAATTGATTATTGATTTGTGCGGGTCGGTGTGCAAGACCGATTAAAGTCATCTAGGCTCCCGACCCTTGTGTATGTGCTATATATAAGTTCATCATAGGTGGATACAAATGAGATCAAATATCAATATATAAAAAATAAATACGAGGAAAAAAGGAAACGAGTCGGCAATTTAATGGTATTATGGAATAAATATAAAGAAGAGGTGAAGAATTTGAAATACTGAGGAATTGTATTTGAACTATAAATCAAGTGTGTATAAATTAAGTATGTATAACAATGAACATGTCTAATATATTTAGTTTTTTACTTTTATTGTACATAATATAATTCAATATACTAAAAATTGATGAATTGTATGCCGATGCGATCAACACCTCGTCATTAAACACTGATGGAATGGACATATGAAAAATGAATATTGGATTATTTATCCTATGATTGCTCAAATGGTTATATACTTTTGGTTATATTTTATTATATTATCCCATTAAAAAAAAAAAAAATAAAGAAGAGGTGGCGTATTATATATACGCTTTGGAGGTGGCCGTTTTTTTTTGGGCGATACGTATCATAGGTTTCAAGTCATTCTAATGATGAAACGTTGACGAAGGAATAGCCTTTGGTGGAGGGAAGTCTGGGAATGGTTAATGTAGTGATGTGTGTAAAGTCTCAACTCGTAAAAAAGGATTGGATATGGCAGGTGAGATGAAAAATCTCCCATACCAGTACCATAAATACATGTGGATTTATATATTTATTAATGGATATTTTCCCCCACAGTAGTGACAGATACTGTAACTTGTAACTGGTACCATACTAAATCCACATTTAACTTTGTTACCGTATTACTTACCCGGCGGTGTGGCGCATCGTGCTAAGCGTTAGGAATACGCTCGCCACCGCATCTCTGATTACCCTTCGTGGGTTTACAGGTTCGAATCCCATGCAAGGTTGATTATGTGCGAGAGGATTGCTGGACTCCTCGCCGCTGTAGGGTGGTTCACGTAATCGCTGGTCGGTTACGGCTTCCTCCACCATCAAGTCCATGCTTCCGAAAACAAAATAACTGGCTAACAGTAATCCCATACCCGACGTGGACTGGTAACCGGACGAGAGGCCGTGGTTCACCATATGATCAAGCCGTATTATCGGCTCACCCATACCCGGGATAAATATATGTAAATCCTATCCTTTATATACAATTCTCTAGGTGACTGAAAATAAAATCATAACTCAAATTGTCATTGGGGTCTGTAAAGTCTGTGGACCAGAAAAAGTTGAGTTTAATCGATTTCTTCTTGAATCAAAACCTGAAGTGGTAAATTATTCAATTGTACTTGTAATTAAGTTTTATTTAGGTTACTAGTTATACGACTAGAGCCATGGATACAAAAAGGACTCAACTGGATGAAAACAATAATGAAACACCACCATTGAAAAGAAGACGAAATAACTTGTGTAACATTGTCTCACTGCCTGGGCCTGGAGAAACACAATTGCGTCACAAGCGTGCAAAACGAGTTCAAAGCCAGTGGGCATATTTGCCTGCAGAGGTTTTGGTGAACATATTTGGATATCTAGTAAACCAAGATACTGGAGCATTGCCTTGCCTTCTACGGTTATCCAAGGTTTGCAGACACTGGAGAATGACTGCAAATATACCATTTTTATGGTCAAATTTACATTTTGCTCCATATGTGTTGAAAAGTCAACGGGAATTTAAAAATAATGTGAAGTCGTTCAGATTAATGGCAGGAGCTCATTTTTGCTCTGTGGAGAATTTAGTATGCGATGAGTTGCCCATGGTTGCTCCAATTATTATAAAAACGATATCTAATTATGCAAGAAGGATTCGAGTACTTTCAATTCAAAGATGTGGCTCAATTTCTATGAAGAATTGCTTGCAAGCTATAGTAGATCGACATTTGTCATCACTCCAAGAATTTTGTATATGTCATACATCAATTCCTACCTTCGACATCAGAAAAATCTTGTCAGGTTAGTTTGGTAATATATTTTTGTGTTAATATGTGGATATTTTAAACTTTTTTAGAAAACCATCCTTGTATGTATCTCCATTCTTAGGAGCGGGTGAACAACTAACACGTCTTGTAATGATCAATCCTGAATTTCCGCGTAATTTACAAATCTCTCTCAACCATCTGAAGAATCTTACAGTTCTAAAAATTGAATGCGGCAGAACTTTTCGCATATCCAATATAAAAAAATTGAAACCTTTGAGGGTGCTGCACTTAATAAACATGCATTTGGATAGCAGTGATTGTCTGGAAGTTGATTTCCCAGAATTAGAAGATTTGAATTTGTCTGTTAATGATTATTTTTATGTTAAAGAAACAGATAATCGAATGCTCACCTCAATTTTTTCAAAAAGCCCTAACATAAGGAGCGTCAATTTGCATAATCGTAGAATGAATGTTTACCATTTAATCCCCTCTCTGGAAAACTGTCGTAAAATTGAATTTCTCGACATATCAGGATTTTATGGATCAAGCTTCTCTACTCTATTGCTTCATGTTAGTGGATCATTAAAAGAATTCCATCTGGATAATTATGGAGATTTAAATGCAGAACTATATTCCTGTGTAGATATAATGTATTGGCAGTCAATTTCCATTCTTTCCTTGCGCTACACCAACATTTCAGCTCGAGTTTTAGAACTGCTTCTCCATTACTGTCTTACAAATATGCAAGTATTGAATTTGGATGTCTGCCATTGTCTACCGAAATGTTTAAGAAAAAGATGGGAGAAAGATCAATTAGCACAAATAAAAGAAAGCTTGAGACAATTACATCAGCAGGGAAGACGACATACATAGTTGAAATATGGGTGAAATCTTCAAGTAAATCTGTATTTGAATAGCAATCTTCAAATATCTCCAGGTTAAGTTTTGGAAGCTACTGCATCTCAACACCTCCTTATTAATTACTCTATTAATCTAAGTATTTCAAATCAGGCAATTTTATGAGTGTCTAGTACAGGGTGGTCCAAGGTTGTCGGCTCCGCGGGCCACAATAGTGCCAAGAGTAGGTAAACAGTGCAATACAAAACAAACACTTTTATTGTGCAATCACATAGTCATCAGGCATAGCCATTCGATTTTTAGTTTACTATGATGCCAATATTGTTATCAATCATATATTCCCGACCAAAAAGTTAGAAAGCTAGATAACATAGACTGCCAAGCACATCATTCAACTTTGCTAATTTCCCCAGGTAGCCATAAAACTATTTAAGTGATGACAATATGTCAAAAGACTTTTCTGATTAATTTTATGACAAAATGTGACGCGGGCCACAGATAATGAAGCGGCGAGCCACATGTGGCCCGCGGGCCTGGGTTTGGATCACCCTGGTCCAGTATTTCTATCTCGTTATATTAATATTATTTTGTATCTATTAGAACTTAACCCCAACTGGGGCTTCTAGTGCAAAATGCTGCTTTGCCAATTTTCCTTAAAAATCATTCTTTATTTTTCTGTTTTCCACTGTGTGAAGCTAGTGACCACTGTGTGAAGTGTTTTCTCCACGACTACTATCTCAAGTTCTTCTTTTCACAGGTTTAGTCTTAATAATATAGTTTCTAATGTGTTGTTTAGAAATACTGGGAAGATAACAATTGCATTGCAGCATGTGGAGTTGATCATTATGAACCAGACCCTGGCTTCTCGATATTGCCGTACAGACGCGAGTAGATTCCCCACAAAAGAAAATGTCCCTTATCTTCGGAATCATACCCTGATGCTTTCAAGTCAAGATACAGTGAATGCTGCACCGCTAAGAATCCATTGGTTTCCAAAAGATTATAGCAAACGGCAAGCTTCTGTAATAAAACTCCTTTCCAATAAACTTTTATTTGCTAACATCAGAGTGCCTCGATTACCGGTCAAAATCTGGTAATATACTTCAAAAGGGGAGGTAATTCTGATAAACTAGGAATTATTTGATATTTGAGGGTTCAAACCTTAAGTAGAGTAACTAGTGGTAATTGTGTGCGTTAGTAATTAATCAATTAATGGATCAATCAATATAAATTTAAAGTCTTCAAAGACCGATAAAGTTATTTTTTAAAGTATTAGAGAAGTGTTTTACAATAAAGAAATTTATATGGGAATGTGGCTGCAATGTTAAAATTCAAAAATCTAGTGGTGTAAGCACAGTTTGTCTAATCTCTGCAGTGTTGGTCTTCAAATTTCAAAAGAATAACGTGCAGCAACCAAGAGTTGTTGCTGAAACCATGGGTGACATTGAACGCATCGTTCTCGTATCAAAGATGAACCAAGCGCATGGTCTATAGCAGCAACTCATTGATGAGAACCAGCAGACATAAAACAAATAGGTTTAACATAGAATTATATGGTCATACAGGTTTTATATATCTGTTTAAATTTACGTTGTACGCATCCACTCTCGTGGATTAAAATAAGGAAATACCTTTTAACGAATCAATCACGGCGGTCCAAAATAGTCGTTTACAAGCCCTCTTCTACCACCAACCACCCATGAAATCCCCTGCGTAAGCACCAACTGCAAGCGGTCACCACCTTGTGAGGGATCTGAGATGTCAACGATCCCAACATAGTCCCATTTTAACCAATACGTGATCCTACCCTGGAGTTAGATAATATTCAATAAGTTTGAACAAGCGAAATTTAATTTATTAAAAAATTTGCTACACATTAAACAAAGCACCCATCCACATCCGTATGGAAAACCAAAATTATACATTTAGCTTGATTAAAGTGCAGATGGGGATACATATATTATATAGATAAATAGATAGAAAACAGGTAATTTTGCACCTCTGAGAACCAGGATTAATATAGGCAAGCGTTTGGCATGTCTCGGAGTGTTCAGTAATCTGATTATATATGCATATTGGTTAGGAGTTTTGCAACACACTTTGTTCCCTTCACATGCAATTTATTTATATAAAGATTGTTTTTATAATAATTATTTACCAGTCAGGACAACGAAACAGCTAATTCTTCAATGCCCTGACGAAAGTACTCATGCATTGCAATAAATGACCTATTTGCGGAAGTTAAAGTAGGTATTTTCGATTTGTTTGAGGCTAGAAATGTCTGCTTTTTAGTTTTGCCTTTACCCCCATACTCAACTTTGAGGAGGGTATGTGGTTGCGACAAAAGAGGATAAAATATTGTTTTGGTTTTTGCACCGTCCAAAGAAGTGTTAACTATTTTTAGAGGCTTTTCATCAGTGTCAATTAAATTTTGCAAACTTTTTTCCGAACTTGATTTGGTGATCTTTTTTGTAGTCTTGACTCTCCCTTTTGATATATCTTCTGTGCTTGCAGCATTCCTTAGACCCCTTACTAAGGGAATTTGCTGGGAATCTACATTTAAAGATATTGAGAGAAATTTAAAACTAAAGAGAGCAGATAATTACCTTCTTATTGAATAACACTGTGAACAAGGGGAGGTTGAACCTTGAACGGTTCAAAAAGGGATGTCAAACAATTCAAATGTTCATATAATTAATCCATTTCGGAACAATGTGGAATATCTTCATTTGAAAAATAGTTAGAGGAAACAATTAGTCATTCAATATATATAATAAGATATTTCATTAGATTTATTTTTATGAATTTACAATGGTTTTGTGTGAATTCGTTTGTTGACTATGACCAATTTTACACATTTAAAAATATTATTCCAGAACGCCTTTAACATATATCCCTATCATACCAAGGTCATCATAAGTTGTAGCGTGTTTACAGAAGCATAGTAAGACGCCCAAAAAATACCATATATCACTATCAACAAAATGGCGTACCTGGGATAAGCAATGTTGGTTGGTATTTAGTTTGATTTGATTTTTCTTCTAATTCTTCCACCAGTATTTTCAAATATCTGGAAGAAATTAGAGAACTGAAGATTGAAGCAACTACCAAGTCATGATGAAAATGAGAACACCAGTTTTGCATAGTACAATAGCTGAAGTAGTAAGTAAATTCCTCTTCCTCGAAATTATAATGAAATATGTTCCTTATTTCCTACGATTCGACAGCAGTCTAGCTTAAGCTATGAAAGCAACAAGTACGCTAGTTCGCCAGGATGAGATTATTTTCATTGCGGTTCAACGACCTCTGACCCGCTGAGTTGTCTGACCAGTAAACTAGACTCCGGATACTACATTTAAACAGATTAAAAATACTGAGTTGTAATAAAAATCAGAACCAATGGAATCATTAATCTGATATAGTAGAAAGCTCAATCCTAACATTCTCACTTAAGACTCACCGGTAACAACCAAAATTTTTTAATGATGAGAGAATAAAATTAGGATTTAATTTATAGGAGTATTAATACCTAAAACTGCAGAGTGACAATGATTTTATCCAATCATTGCATGATTCTTCATCATCTGCTACAAGTTTATAAGTTCTCATGCCATTCCCAAGAAATATAATAGAAAATGTGTAAGAAGAATCTCCACCTTCTGCTAGTTGAACTGTACAATTTTCAAGAACTATAACACCAATTGGATCCTTGTCATATCTGAGATAAAGAATAAAATATATCAAAATATTGCTGTTAATAAAACCATTGTTGATGTGAAACCCAACAGAAATTACTAGAGTGGAATCCACTAGGACTGAAATAATCAATATTTAATTGTACTTATAACCAGGGCTGGGGACCAAGATTACCATATTAGATGGAGCTACCAGAGATTTTAGTAGCTCCAGCTCCTAACCATCTGATTATGTATTCACATTTACAATTTTCTAATAATTAAGTTTAATTCATATATATTTAACACCTAAACATGGTATGGAGCCCAGCTTATAAGTTATATAAAAAATGACTATGATGAAAACAACTCAGCTTAAACAACTTTTTTATTGATGACTCACTTTCTGGAAGAGATGGGAGTAATTACTATAGGTTTGAGCAACATTAAACTCAAGTCAAAATCAATAAAAAGGCGAGTTTATAATTTATGATAATAAAATTTCTATGATTTATAGCTTGATACTAATTAGAAAAAGATATTTAAATACATATTGGCTAATGCCAGCAAGGATTTTCAATAGTCCCACATGGCTAAAAAATACTAGCCACAACTATTCACTCGAAGGGAAACATAGTAAAAATATATATAATTAGTCTTATTTCAATTTATTTTGCTCATAGCGAGTCAGGTACTAAAAATATCATGCACACCGTGAGACATTTCAACCTAATTTGGTATTGTTATTACAATTCATCACAATGGCATGATCAAATCGGTAATAATTAAAGGAAAGTTTTATTTGGAAAAATGAGACTTTATCTTCTCTCAGCTCTTGTTATTAAATTGAATAATTCTACTTTGCATGGGCATGAAATATATTCGAAATAACGTCTTTGACCTCATCACCTAAATCGGGACAATTGGATACATTCAGATGTTACCTTTTATCAAAGTAGAAAAGTAAGTTGCCACGTAGTACACACCATCTTTTTTGATAGCTTGTATTCAGTTCACCCTTTTTCCATAACCATCCTTCTTTATCTGAACATATATTGCAGTTTGCAAACGACGATAAAGCCTTCTCATTAATTTTCATGCTCGTTTGCGCTCAATATCCACTCATTACAGTACCTACAGGTTACCACCAATATCTGATTAAGTTCGTTTATTACAAATCTGAATTCATTAAATTTACAGATTAATATTTTAGCTAAAATTGAAAAACTTTCTACTCCAAAAAATTTTTCATCATGCATGAAACATTGTTTAAACAAACACAAATAAATTGAACAATTACAGAAATAGGCATAGAATATTTTAACTGCATTTGACAAGGACTCGCGAATGACTAAAAAGTCATCAGCGTCACTGTTTTTGCTGAGTTCATCAGCAAATGACGTCAGATAATACAGTAATATGGAAGTGTATTAATATAAATGTATACAACACAATTCTGCAATTTGGAAACCAAAATTAACAAAAAATGAGCCATTCAATGAAAAAGTATTGTTCAAATATGTCAATTCCGCACTGGTAATACATGTAGTACTCTGATTTTACAGTCTCTGGACCTCCTGCATTTATAGAACAAGAATACGGTGCACTTACTGATATAGAGCAAGCATAAGAGCGCTCTAATACCGGTACCAAACTAAACGTTTAAGACTTGGACATTGGTATTATCCTTTGATTGAGATTTGCTATGTAAAATTAATAATGACATGATCAATGTATTAGAGCAGTGGTTCTCAAACTTTTTAAGCCGCGCCCACCCATGAGCTACAAATAACAGATAGTAAGGCAAAGGTACCGGTATGTTTTAATCAAAAAACACAATAAAAATACATGGATTGAATGTAAATACCGTAGTGAAATAAATGAAAAGTTTTGAAATGTGAATATCCAAAACAAGGCGGGCAAGATCAAATATTTTTTATTTAGCTTTACGCCCATCCCGACCCCCCCCCCTAAAAATTGTCTACGTCTGCCCCCTTGTGAGACACGCCCCACCGTTTGAGAACCACTGTATTACAGAGCCAAAAAGGTATCACATTATATTAAAAACATCTTCACTGTATTAAAAGTCTGAAAGGACATATCTCAAAATTTCAATGACAAATAGACCCATACGGTACTGCAGTTATGATTGAAGACACCCAACAGACCTATTTTCTATTTCAGCATTTATGAAAACATTATGATTCATTACAATAAACCTGGATATATATTATACGGTACCTGCCGATCAAAGATATCTTTATCTCATTCATCTACTGTATCTACATACATGCCTGAACTTCCAATATGTACTTTATTCCATACTTTATTCTTTTAGTAAATATGCTGAAACCCAGTGACTGCCAAGCCAATCCCTATCCCCGCCTGTATGCTGATAAAACTCGGCTGCGTACGGCAAACTGACCATAATAGTCTAGTGTTGATACATAGTCACTTTGCATTACGGTAGCGGTACTGTATTATGATTACTGTATAGCGGTATCGCGCACATAGTCAATGAGTAGAATATATTACAAATTTCTTCGGGTTTTCAGATGTTTTTGTTGTTCATATATTAGGATAGGATAGGATAGGATTTACATATTTATCCCGGGGGAGAGGAAAGCCGATAAGACGGCTTATCCATATGGCGAACCACGGCCTCTCGTCCGGTTACCATTCCAAGTCGGGTATGGGATTAGATTTTACTGTATTGTTTGTTTTCGGAAGCATGGACTTGGTGGTGGAGGAAGCCATAACCGACCAGCGGTTACGTGAACCACCCAACGACGGCGAGGAGTCCAGCAATCCTCTCGCACATAACCATCCCTGCATGGGATTCGAACCTGCGAACCCACGCAGAGTAGTTAGAGGTGCGGTGGCGAGCGTATTCCTAACGCTTAGCCCGTTGAGCCACACCGCCACGACGCTCAGTGTTCTCCGGCTGTTAATCTTATATAGTTTGGACACGAAATGGAACTGTAGATAATTCTTGTTGTTGTTTAAGGTAAGCAATGAGTATATATGCTCATTGAGGTAAGGTACCGGTAAGGTAAAAGGGTTGATGGCGTCTTTGACAACTGGGTTATTTGCGACAAATATCAAAAAGAGTAGTCAGTATGATACAATAAAATAGGTTCACAACTCTCGTTTGGTGGATATAGCAAAGCTAATAATAAATGGAATCAAATCAGGAACATTGTTGTTTAAGCTTCGAGTGGACGTTGTTGTTGAGGAAAATCGATTTTCGAGGCGACTGATAGGTCAACCGATTCAGTTCAAATTTCCATTACTTAAGGATATAAGAAGTTTCTAGATGGTTATTACTTTGTGCTAATTGTTAGGAATATGCTCGCCACCGCACCCCTGATTACCCTGCGTTGGTTCGCATCCCATGGGAGATAATCATGTGTAACGTAGCGAGGGTTAAAGGCGACGGCGATTGACAGTGTAGAAAACGACCGTCTTCCTCGCTAACGACTATTGAACTGTCTTTGGAATACAGGCGAAATACTCGGCTATTCTGTTGTCTCAATATACTTTTAAATCAGTCAGAAATATCAACACCGCTACAACGGTGCACTAGTGTATTACAAGTGTTCATAAGAATGTAAGATACATGTGCAGTGCAAGTGAAGCAATATATACGGAATGAATATAATGAATAAAGTAACGAAACGCGGGATTGCTTGACTCCCCTTCCCCAGTAAAAATGTGTTTTCAGTTTTGTAATTTGATAATCTCGTATGTTATATTTTACTGAATGGGAAAAAATAAACTTGACTATGACTATCGCCGTCGTAGGGTGGTTCACTTAACCGCTGGACGTCAAGTCTATGCATCTAAAACTAATAACTGGCTAACTAATCCCATACCCTACCTACATGGACTGATAACCGGACGACAGGCCGTGGTTCGCCATATGATTAAGTCGTCCCAGCGGCTTTTCGCTTCCCCCGTGATAAATATGTAAATCCCATCCTATTTTTCAGTTCTTTCTGGCTGTTGGGTCGGAGAGAAATTGAAGATGCATCAACCTCATCTAAAATATTTGTCCTGGTGCCGTGGAAGCAAACCATTGTGATTGTAATCGACTTGAAAGTGACAACAAATGCTATTGCTATCACATCACTTCAAACCTTCGGTGACTGGGCGCTCAAATATGTCGTTTCAGATGTAAATGACGCTTTTCAAAGGCTCACTCATTCTCCGCACATGATAATCTGTGATATTCTGACATGATATTGATAAGACGATTCAGAATACAATTCTGAAAGAGCCAATAACATCACCCGATAGGATATCATGGTATTAGCTCATGAGACAAAGTAATGCGGGCATATACAATCATTCTTTGATTCCCTTTGTAAAAAAAAATATTACGAAAAAGATGACAGGAACAGCAAGGCATGTTGTATTAGGTTGCGAAATTTTACCCAGAGAATCGTCCTATATATATTATAAATACTGCAAAATAAATAAAGATATGTTGATAGATAGAACGTGACTTGACAATATATTGATCAATATAAATTACTCATACTTAAAAAAATAAGCTGATAACACTTTTCACAAAAATCTTTGCCAGAAAAACATAAGGGCAGGGAGCATCACTGTCATTTAAATAAGTATTCACATAGTTTGCAATATCTATCAATGTTACATAATAAGCAGAGGCATTAGCAACGACCATTTAAAGCTATTTACAAAGCTATTAGTTGCCGTTTGTTTTTTCATTAGCAGACTAAACTGTGAAGCAGTACAGCTTCATTTATTTTGTCATATATTAATATTACTCAATACTTTTATTCCTCATTACTAAAAGTTTACAGCTAATGAATCTCAAAATAAACTATATATTAGAATAAATATTTGAGATATGCGGCTAAGAAAAAAATCTCAGGCTGCAAGACATATACTTAAATTTTGCAAGTAATAAGAAAAATATTTAATGAAAAATTTTACAGAAAATACATAAATCTTAAATATGTTGATAAAACACACAAGAGAGTAAATGGTTATAAATCTGTTCATCTCAGTAAAAAAGTAATATTAAACTTATATAATCTTTATTAACGAGAGCATATTATTATAAATGTAATAAGTACAAATAGCTAAAGCCAAACCTTGTTGGACAGAAGCATGATTGCGACGAGTCAATTACAAATGAACTACTCAAAAAATCCTCTAGTAACTGCAGAATAGGTAAAAAAATTAGAAAGCAAAATACGAAAGGGAACATTGTAAAGTGTAATCAGTAATAGAAACAAGTCAAAATGCATGCTCCTATCATTATCAGTGATAGTGGATTTATATGTGCATATCATTGTTAGTAATGGTGATGATGAATTTTAGAAATAAGTATGAAACTATATATTGTTGAATTATTCAATATAATCTATTATGATCAAATAATGAGCATGGGTTAATAAGAAGATGCTACTGATGGTATTTTGCATTGCCACATGCAAAATGGGCTAATAGAATTAGGATTTACGTTGGCCACTCTACCACCAAGTACTAACATAACGATATCTTGCTCTGACGATGCTGAAAATTGGGTTTGAAAACGTTTCGCAATATTGCTTGAGAGTTCGAAATTCGATTTTTCATCTATATGATTGCTTTCAATAGTGCCATCAATGATCAGTGCTGCCTCAGCTTGAGCACCCATCTCATTTTCAATTGGCTGCATTTCCATATTCCACACTTTAGGGGACTCATTTTGATCTATTCTGAAAGGCTTTACAGTAGTAATATCTGGGAATTCATGAGATATAACGGGCACTGGGTTGCCATCATCAAACGGGGTATGAACAACATTTTCTGCCATTTTTAAATCTTTTGGTAAATATACGAAGCTAGTCTCTGTAGAGTTAGTTGATGTCTTATCCAAAGAATCTTGGATTAGATTATAAGAAAAATTTGACAATCCATTTCCGGGAGCTTGTAAACTGCCATGCTTCATCCTCGATGAAACATAACCATAACGCATATTACTGTTATGTAATTTAGTCCGCATTGACGGTTTCGGAACTTGAAAGAATTTTGAACCATCAAGAAAAGTGTTTGAAGGCAATTTATCACCAGCAGCGTTAACACTTTCACTTTCTTCTGTAGATAAGCTTGCAACCTTATCAGATGGAATTGTATCAATACGAGGTAAAGTATCTTTATCAGATAATTCACTCGCAGGGTTATCATATGCATATTCGCTTGGGCAGTTTTTCGTTACCAGCACTGTTTTATCTAAAAAGTTTATTTCGTTTTCTGCGTCAAAGCTCTCAGATTTTTGCAAAAATTGTGAATTGTTTGGTAATTTTCCACAAGATACGCTTCGTTGTTTTGTTGGCGGAGTGCTCTTTAAACTAGCTTTCTTCTTCTTTACATTGGGTAAGGATCTGCAATAATAATGTTTTTTTGCATGTTAGCTTTTGCAGAGATTTCTATGTTTAAATAAAATGAGTAAATGATAAGATGAAAAAAATTGGGCTGGCAGTTTAAGATGTGATACAATTCGCGACCAATTTTGTTAATACTGTAATTGTATTTCTTTTAGTAAAGCAATTTAAAGATGCATAACACTTAGAGATACCACATTACTGAGTGGAGACATCAAACATTATAACAAAAGTTATGAATATACAATCTAGTGAATTGGTGGTAAACATGATATAAAAGACTTTCATTTTTACCATGTTAGCGAGTCAACTGGAAAGAAGCTAGCTTCAAACTTCACACAGTTGCAAGAAACACACCTTGCATCACGCCGAATAACGGAATCTCTTAATCTCTCATGTGAACACTCGCGCAGGTGCAAATGGGACAAGGATAGCAAAAGAAATTTTTCATTTCATACATTGAACTGGGTTAAATAATCCCAAATAAGACTTCGATGGAGTGACGGAGGGGAAAATACGATTACACTAAGCCGGAATCATAAGATGAAATAAAATAAAAGTTTCTGTCCAAATTAAACTCATTGTTGTCTATGGCGCAAGAATAAACCTGTATAGCTGTCAGAACGTCAGTGGTGATTGGGGGCTCCCGAAGTATGCGAACCAAGATGGCGGACATCGGAATGTAATATGTTTACTAGGTTAGGGTTAGGCCATAATTTTAGGTATAAATACTACGGGAGGCTCTTGGCTAGTCTTCGAACTGATAATAGGACTAAAATAAGGAAAATTGGAAAAAAATTATCGCCTAACCCTAACCTGTTACCCATGTTACGTTCCGATGTCCGCCCTCTTGGACGCATACTTCGGGAGCACCGGTGATTGTTATTCTTCTGTCAGTGTTTTTCCACACTTTGCGCAAATTTGTATAAAAAAATAACTAAAAATTCTTGTACCTTGTGCGAGGTTCATTTTTCTTTTGCAATACAGGAGTAAAATGACTAATCAGGCAATGTCCAGATATAGCAGGAGGTTTCACAGTGTCATTAAAATTACATTTTTTCCAACATTTGTCTTTCATATGCAAACACCACATATCATTTGACGAATCTCCTAATACATTTCGTCCTCCGAAAACATACATGGAATTGCCAACCTGAAAGTTAATACACGGATTAATACAATGACTAGAAAATCACGATATCAATTACGCTTCTTATATTTTCTAATTGAGGCATTTTAAGGAAAGGGGTATTAGAAAAACCAACGGAAACAGAATTAAAAAACCAACAATATTCAACGAAGCATGTATATTATTTTCTAATTGAGGCATTTTAAGAAAAGAGGTATTAGAAAAACCAACAGAAGCAAAATTCAAAAATCAACAATCTTCAATGAAGCATGAAATGGAAACTTGTTCTGTTTAATGACAATTTGTTTTAATACTGTGCTTATTCACACCTTTGTCTTTGAACAAGGCCCTGCACAAGTCATTGATATCTAAAAAGCTACTATTTTTGGGTGTACCAGAATCTTTTTGGGTTAACATTACCTACCAAATTTATTACACCCTGGTTGAGATGGTGAACATGGGATTGAACTTGAGATGTGTAACCTGTGATGCTAACACAATTAAAAGTCTAAGACTTCACAGACAGAAAGTTGTTCTTAAGAGGTAATTTTGTTAGATAAGGCAGATGAAACTTTTATTGATTCCTATTATTTTAAAATATTTCCATCGTCTGGCCACAAATAATGGCATTTGCTAAATATATTGAAGATATGATAAGGAACAAAAATCTGTTTTTGGTTATTATTAACCTGTGGAGTCTTTAGAATTTTTCTCACTTCAGAAAGTTTCATTACTAATATGAATATAATACAAAATATTTACCGTGTGCATTGAATGATAGGATAATACCGGAGGTCCACCTTTTGTTTTGACAGGAATCCATACCATCAATTCTGAAATTATTAAATATGATATTGCTAATTAATTTTTTTAATGAGAGTATAGAAAATAGGTGTTTAGATATCATCAGAGTGGCTTAAAAAATATAAAAATCCAATTCCAATTTTTTTCTAATACAGCACTTCACAGCTCTATCAAAAAAAATTATATATTCAACATTACTTGTTAAAATATTTGCGTAACTTTCCATATATAAAATGGTATCGGAGTAATTTATTGAACACATATTTTGTTATTCAGAACTCCAGGCTTAAAATTCCTGCCCGAAGGGTATTCATAAAGTCCTGTTCTGATTTTAAATTTGTTATGAAGTCAGTTCTCAACATAATTTTAACAATGTATTTTATTATTTGAACTCTAGTCTAGACATAAAAATTCCTGCCTGAAGGGTATTCATAAAGTCATGTTCTAATTTCAATTTTGTTATGAAGTCAGTTCACAACATATCCTAACAATATTGGTTTTACTATAACTAATGTTTATTTAGGTTTTATTACTTTATCGTATGGGCCAATAAACTACATAAGTATTAATAAATTCCCTTTGTAATTCAGAAAATTTGAAGACTTAGTGAATGTACTGAATATCTATTAGTAATAGTTAGTTATAAATCACCATGACTAGACATTAAATTGAGTTTACAAAAGCACTAACACTAAAGCAATATTTCAGTGCGCTACTTGACTCACCAAAATTCCAAATGAATACATCAGCATTTGGTTTCAGTCCCGTCAGACCTCCACAAACCCACATTGATTGGTTGTTTACAGTTGCACAATGACCATATCTCGCATCTGGAGCAGATTCACAAGATGCTGCAACATCAAAATGCCATGACTTTGTCTCTGAAAAAGAATGTTTACAGTTCTGATCATGAATCTTATGTGAAATATACAGGGTGGGTGTTCATAAAGTTTTTAAAAATTTTATAATTTGCAAAGGGAATTTATCGATGTCATATATAGTTCGGTAATCCCCTACAGATGTATTATGAAGTAAAAAAACTAAAATAAACATATATTACTATATAACAGACCTGGTTAAGATATATTTGAAACTGACAAAATTGAAATTGTAATGTGACTTTGTGAACATTGGAAGCAGAATTATATTCCAAATATTATATTGTCATGGCTTGACTGGATGAATAATTTAAAGAGTATCAATTTGAATATATGGTTTAACTTTTGGTTGAAGATGTTCTATAACAGGGGTCGGCAACCTTTTGTCGCTCACGGGCCAAAATTAATAAGGTTTAAAGTCATTGCCGGGACGCACATATTTTTAGAAAGTTGAAAACCGAACGAATGATACTTGGTGGTCATGGTCATCATAATGAAAATCAAGCAGTGATACATCTCTCGAACAGAATATTAATTTATTTCCTCATTGCATTGCATCTCTAAAATTTCATTTGAATATTTTCGGCGCCATTGAACACTTTGCACTTAGCATCAACTATTCTGCGTTTTATTGCCATTAGTTTGATTATAATTAAATTATATGCTCATTAAACGAGTAATTTATATATAATGTGTATTTTATACTTGTTAGATTTTATTTTAATTTAGTCTACACGTGTCTCACAATCAATTCTGTTTCGTAAAGAATATAATCGTCAAAATAGCTGTTTTGGTACTATAATATAGGGAAGCATCGCTGAGCGGATTATATTATTCTGCGGGTCGTAGGTTGCTGACCCCTGTTCTATGATGTCACCATATTAATATTTTTTAAAATTTCATGTTTTGATGATTATGTAAGACAAGGGTCAACAACCTTTTGAAGGCATTGTGATGGAACAGTTTATGAATTCTGCTCTAGAGTTAAGAATTTAGCTTGTCAAGTGTTTGGTGTATCTGACTTAATATTTTCTGTATTTATTCTTACCTCAAGAAATTACTAGAAATATTTATATTTGGGCTATTACTCTAAGCCACAGGATTTACATATTTATCCTGAAGAGAAGAAAGCTGATGAGATGACTTGAACCACGATCTCTCATATGGGATTAATCAACCAGTTGTTTGTTTTAGATGCATGGAATTGATTTGGCAATTAACGATACTTCCATCTGTATGCTGAAGGTAAAATTGTCAATATCAACCTTGAGTCTGACATGTGTTCGTTCATATCATACTCGTGAATACATCAAGTTGAACAAGAAACAAATATTTATTCTACCCAATGTAATTGTTTTTGTCTTGTGAGAATGATAAGACAGACACAAATGTAGAGGTCATTTGACAGACAACTAATAATCATATGAATGTTCTCCCCCAATTACAATGTACAAAACTAAATAATACGCCTTGTGCTTCAAAAAAAGTGAGCCTTGTGACTTCATTTCCCAAAAGCATATTTGCTTTGGTGATTTTCGATTTGCGATGCTATTTGTTCAAGTAAAGTAATTCCTATAAAGTTCACAAATCAAAGTCTGAGTGTACAAGTCGAAGTAACACATAAAAAATATAATTTAAGATTGTAAATTGTAAGATTGCTCAAAAATTACAATTTCTCATTACAATGTATAATTGAGGTTATCAGGTTATGTAGAATTTAATAAGGCATTACTTGAGGTACTCGTTCAAAGAACTTGAGTTTAATAACAAAACCATATTCCTTAAACTATATTTCTAACCAATAAGTTATTGGATGAACCTAAAAAAACACTAAAAAGTAAAATTCATATTTAGAAATTCTGAAAAGTGAAAAAATATACAAATAAAAAGTTATGATGTTTCATTATTGAAAAAGTGAAATAAAATTGGAAAAACAGTATAGCGAATAAAATACAACAATTATCTATCAAATAGCCTATAACATATTTCAAATAATTTTGAAGGATTATAAATAAAAGGTAAAATGAATAGCATCCAGACATTTAGTGGACAAAGACTATTATTGAAGTACAGAAGGATTATGACGAAGTATTCGTGAGGTGCTTATAACACTGAAGGGAAGTGCTAACGAAACAGGCTATTGTTCTTCCGTCAAACCTATTGTTATTGGATAAATAGAATATGGAAAATTTCTACATTAGTTGACGCACCCAGTTTGATTAAATATGATTATGTTGAAAAATATAACATAAAACAAAATTGTATAAGGCAAAACCAATATTGTAGAAATAGCCTATATTCTTTCAGCTTACAAGTAACAAAAAATTAATGTTGTCTACCTCTGCCTGTAATGTAACATTTTAGCTCATTTATTATATAGGAATAGATGAAGTAATATCTACTCTAACCTAACAATTTTAATTTAATTATCATAACTTTGACATATTTTTCAAAGTATAACTCAAAATATAGAACACAAATATTCTTACCAAAATCAAAAAGCCACATTTCTCTAGTAGGTCCGATCAGATCTTGATATCCTCCGTAAACACACATCGCATCCATATATAAAACTGCTGTATGATGCCTTCTCCCACAAGGGGCCTGCAAAAATTATGACAAATTAAAATCAGACTTATGGAGTGGGCTGGCTAGCATGTACTGATGTACTTTTGTGTTTACTGTAGTATAACATTTTCTATGGTTGTTCACAAATTGTTTGAACTCAAGTAAACAACAAATTGGTTACTTCTTAGTATGAGTTCTAATATTGATGAAATTGTATATGTATAAGAACTGTGAAGGCATAATATCATGGTATCTGGTTTTTGAACCTTCAAAACTTAGCAAATTATACTGTTCAATGAACTGGTTAATAATTACAGCGATCATGTGCTTGGATATTTTGTCAAAAACAAGACTAAACAGATAATTATCTCATTCCATCACAATTTGAATCAAATATATACTTGTGTTTTCTTAACTGATGAGTTAAATTGCCTCAAGCATTTGGGTATTAAACCTTTTGTGGTAAATGACAGCAAAACAGCGCTGACATTCAGACCAAAGTATAATAAAGATTGAACTTAGAAAATGGATTATTGAAATATTTTACAGTGGATTATGGCAGGTTGTTGATTATTATTGATACTCAAATTGTTTGATATTTCAGTATCCATTCTTTTATAAACTCACTCAACTTGGTCACTAGTCAATACACATTAATCAAAATTTCATTGCACAAATGCTAAATTTAATAAAAACAAATCATTGAAAAGGACTTTCCATAAATTGAATTCATCAAAAAACATCTTTTTCTTAAACATTACTCATTTTAAGGAATTACATTTAATCAAAAGTGTTTGTAAATTCCGAGTGTAGAGAGTTGTGGTAATAGAAAAATGTTTAAAAACATTTTTGTATGTTAACTATCTTCTTAGAATCATCAAGCATGCCTACTTTGTTACACTTTGATGCGTTCAAAAATATAAGTATGACGAAGTCTGTTCTCACTGGTATAACTCATCATAGTTTCAGTAGTTCATGGCACATCAATGGTTGTCAATAACTTTTCTCATTTTCTTATGAATGAGTAAACATGACCCTTCTTTGGGCAAATTTTCTTGTATGAAAAATAAAACACTAAAACTAATAAAAAGCATAGACGGTTACTTGGATTGGAATGAATAATTAAGTGTGATGCAGCCTACATGATCTGATATATATTGAGCGAAGTTTGAAAAATTTGAATGGACATCTTCAAACTGGCTGATAACTAAGCATACCTAACCCACTTTCATACGCCGTGGGTGAGTAAGGTGGGAAGTCTTGGGGTGGACGACGGTAATATATATTTTTTTGATTGAAAATCATTGATCGAATATTTAAACGAATGGTATTGTAAAAATAAATATCAAGTATGTCTCAATGGTAGTGTAGTGGCCGGTGGGTGTTCCTTCTTGTTGATAATGATTAATATTTCTTTATTAAATTATCTGATCAATGAAATTCAATAAACATATTATTCATGTCTCGAAGCCACATGGATTGTCTGATCAAGTGTCTTACCATCACTTTTCCTTCTGTGCCAATCTTTGTCCACTTCATTTGTGTAATGTTGTAACACCATAATGGAGATTCATCTGCCGTAGCAAAACTTGTTTCCCCTCCAAAAATGTATATGTTTTCATCATATACGACCATAGTGTGCCCTTCTAAAGGAGGAGGTGCATCCCCAACTGGAAAAATTTCTTCCCATTTCGAATCGTCTAAAAATTAAAATCATTAAAATCAAAATAAATAAGTTGTGAAGGCAAACTGCTCACCACTCGAAAACACTTTAATATTGATCACAATCTTATACCAGAAAAAGTCAATTAATAATTGATGATCTTCGTTAATTAAGAGTAATTTATTTACCAAATGAATACACCCAGAATTGATTTGTAGTTCCTTTCACTCCACGCCCTCCATACATGAATATTTGATTATCGCATACACATACTGCATGATGACTTCTTTGTGAAGGCTGAGGTTTTTGCCCGAACACAGGTGTCCAAATACACGATTGATTCTGTGAACAAAATCATGTCAATGTTTTTAAGAATATTTCCCCATTCTTACTTAAAACAAGTATTTTAAAGATACTGAAGTCTTTACTGTCTGGCATACCCTATCTAATTTGTTACATCACAGATGAAGTGGTGGGCTTCTGATGCATTTAGATATGTAAAAAAGGATTGATAAAACATTATGCGATTGGACAAATATTTTATAATATTGGAATTATATTAATACTTAATAAATGCTTCTTATTTCCCTCAATCTGTCATTGAATTCCATTGTATTGATTCATGCTTAATGGTTAAATGAGTAAATAAACCAAGTATGTTGGCATTGCAAGTTAAAGATCTTGGGTTCAAACCCAATCAGTTGCCTCTTATACAAAGCCTTGTTCGGAGCGAAGTTATGAAACTTCCTCTTAAAAACACCAACTGACTTTAAAGACTAGTTAACACAATTTCTACAATATTCAAATATCCATTTTATAAATCGTCATATTTAAATAAATAAATCAGGTGTCAAAATGTTATCTATTTCAAATCAAAAAGTATGCTTTGATTAAAATGATAGTTGTTTGGATATCTACCTTAGATTCAGGAAATGTATGTGGTGCTGGTTTAAAACAATTGTACTCGAAAAATTTCATCTGTAATTGATAGAAAATTCAAGCTTATTTAATCAAATCTACAAAAAATGTGGAAATGATAAAGGCGACAATCATCCATAGATCAGTAGATAGAATCTCGTTCTCTGGTCTTGCTGTCTTGGGTTAATTATAATAATATTTGGCAAATGACTCAGCTGTTTGTACTAACACTTGCCAATGCAGAAAATGACTCAGATAATTCAGTAATTAAAACAACTATGCTCTGTACCACTTCAATGTTTTGTTTTCAGTCGCTTTTCCTGTCAAGAATTTACATATTATCATAAATGTTTATTCAATCTAATTCCGAACCAAATAAAGACTAAATAATTAGTTCTTGTTGCTCATCTTATGTCTTGTTAAGCTATGTTCTGATTAGACCTATCTATTTTTATATGATATTTTGATTTCCATTGAATACAATATCTAACCCGCCAGACGCTAACTACAGATCTACCAATGCAATATGACAGTATGATGATAAAAGTAAAATGCTTCGGAAAAAAGAAAAACATCCGGCCTATGAATAATACCAAATTTGTCATTAACTATAACTCTTTCTATTTTTTTTTTTTTTTTTTAAAGGTCTTTCTATTTCAAATTAGAGTAGAAAGTTTTGCTCCTAACACTTCGCACTTCACTGGAAAAGTAAACACAGAACATTCCTCGACACCCATTACATTGTAAATGGGGTTACGTAAACCGATCATATGATTTACGCAACGACGTACTCGTGCGTGAAATGTTTCTCTCGTTGTCATGTACGCACTGTTGAGAAATACGTAAAAGCTACTATAATATGAGTCATATACATTTTTTAAACAGAATTGGCAGGTTCCCAAATATAATTTTAGTGTTATTGCTGAAGAAATAAAGCTAACCACAAACCAATACTATCTAAATAGTCGGTTACTACTACTCGAATTACTACTACTTTATCATCAATTTAACAATGCGTTTTGATGAATATTGTTCTCTCGGGTTCCATCGAAATATCTAAATAATAAATACCACGCGAGAATTTGTCATCCGTTTCAATAAACATTGACAAAGACAACCTTTTCAGAGAGGTATGACGTCTTCTCCTTCGATAATATCGTGGATAAATCAGTTCAACCATTACGTAAGACTAGAAGTCTTTGCTTTGTGCGGGACTGGGTCCTGAGCCCTCCAACGGGTCATGGAGTGGTTCTCTGGCTGCCCCGATGAGTAGCCTACTACTGAATGTAAAGTAATTTGACTATAATTTTTTGACTGTAATGCAATTTTTCGTTTAATTTCGTTTGGTGTTTTTCATTGTGCATGGCGAATACAATAACTGACCGCAACCTGTTGAAACAAAGCTATTTTATTATCAAGACCGATTTTTAAGAGTCCTCGCATGGGAGGATATGCGAATCATGAAGCACTCAGAGCCATCCATGAAATCAGGGACTACGAGACAACTGAAATAATATTCTCTAAAAATAAACTACAGGTACAATAAAATTTAAACAATATTTATATAAGTGTAGATTACCACCCGTCACATGATTTTACGCTCAGTGGCATGAGCCGTACGTAATTAGGCGTGAAATAAGGTACAAAATTTGATGCCAAGTGTTGGCTGACCAGTTCCAAATGTTTTAAAGCAGGGCAGAATCTCTCCCCCCCCCCCGGACCCACTTGGGGAGGACATTATTCAGTTGGACTCTGCTGGGGGGGGGTCAGTTGGTCTTAGTTGGGGTGAAGATTCTTCAGTTGATCCCTTTTCCCAACTGAAGAATATTTCCCTCCCCCAACCCACCTAAGCCGATAATACCAGTTGATCCTTCATTTGACCTGGACTAATTATTTGGTAGAGTTGGATGGTCTTAGTTGGGGTGGAGATTCTACCGTTGGTCTAACTTGGGGTGGAGATTCTTCAGTTGGTTACCGAGGGGGCGAGTGGGGGAGATTCTTCAGTTGATCCTTTATTAATATTTAGAATTGTGTATCCGAACTCCAGAATTTCAAGAGCCCTAATGGAGATAACCGAAGGCTGTATTCCCTACGGAAACTCAATAAGCATTGAATAAAGTGTGAACCATGTGACGGGAGTAGTTTTTTAAATGGCTGGAATCTAAATTTTCCCTGCACCATTCAAATTATATTATCTGTACGTTTCTAGTTCCAATTCAAACAAACTCTCCGTGTATGTGAAATAATCGTGGTTCGTCCTATGATTACATAATCTTATCAGCTTCCCTCTCCCCTGGGATAAATATGAAAGACATTGATCTACACCTAGATCTAGCTAAACAAAAACACATAAAAAATCACATTTTTTCATGTCAAATCGTAATTTATAATCGATTAAAAGAAGCAGTATCCACACAAGCACACTTTGATGATAGAGAACACTTACAAATATGAGACAAAATTAATTACATAAAGCTAATCTACAGTGGGAACAACCAAACAAACAAGATTGTTGCGTCTAAAAAATTACATATTGCAGCAAATACAAACAACTTTGGAGTCCATATTAACAATATATGCTTTGGGGTATTTTGAAAAAAAATAATGGTTATTTATTCTAAGAATACATAATAGAAAAGCCCAATTTCTTCCATAATCAAAAAGTGTGCTAAATGAGTTGTCGACAAATACAAGTTTTTCACACATATATTCCAAATATTGTGTACCACCAATCTAGCTACCTATTCACCAATGTTGAAATAAATAATGATAATTTAAGCGAATGAAAAATGATGCCAAATTAGAAGAATAGAAGTAAAAGTAATTAAAGCATTCAATTCCAAACTTCAATTTCGGGATAGCATCCACCATTTACCATTAATTAAGACTATGTGACATGCATTTTATATTGTCAAGTTCATTTTTATCAAGGGAGAAATTACATTTTAAAGGACCAATATATCTTAAAATGAATAGGAGACTAACATGAATTGACAGATTGATAAGATATCACAATACAACTTATACATTTTAGTTGTTGTGGTTGGAGTTGTGATTTATTAAACAAGAACATACAAAAAACAATCGAAACTTGCGTCTTAATGTGTACAGTAAAATTATGGTTACGTATAACAACTCTTCCCATTCCATTCATGATCAGATGAAACATGCCATAAATGCATGATTAACCTTTGACCGATGCATGAATTGGGTGTAAACTGTAAACTACTAAACAAGATTTGAATACATTACATTGAAAAAACATTTTAATTCAACATTTACCAGTGCATATTTTTATTTAGTGTAATAATAGCATACTAACATTCCTTTTTTAATGGTTCTGTTTCAACGTCTAATAATATGGAAATCTCAATTCATAGGCACCATGTATAACTGTACTAGATTAATCGTTTTGTATTGTGTTGTAGCATTTAAACAAGCACCTTAATGTGATAGTACCAATATTAAAAACTGTTTGAAAACTGAATACCTAAAATTGAATAAAAAAGTAAATATAAGAGCACAATAAGGGTTTAATGATGAAAAAGGATGGACTAATTCACGATGAAAAAATAAATGAACAACTATCACTTGTGAAACAGGTTGGAACATGATCATTGAAACTAGAGTCCCCAATATGCAGAATAATAGAGCTGATTACAGAACTGTAAGATTTAAAGACTGATGCTATTTTGATTGTATAAAACTCATAGTAGTACTCCGGTACTAAAGATAAGAATTTTTATTATTAGGGATACAAAATTTTAGACTACTTAAGTTTAGTCAGAGAATTTGATTAAGGGATTTTATGTTGATTTTCGAGGGTTTTTTTTGGGCCCCATAGTGTTTGTGATTTTAGTTCGGTAAGCGTCGGAGCAGTTTGATTCATATTCCACTCATTGTATTAGAATAGGTTGTCTAACACAAGTTTATGGATACTGTTAGATCAAACATATACTTGTGCTATAAAAATAGACTAAAATATTAGAATACTTGATTCAAACTAACCAGACAAAATGATAAGCAAAGCACAGTTATATGAATAAGCATGATGAAATATACCAGGGCTACTCAACTGGCGGACCGCGGTCCGAATTCAGACCTTTCCGGTATTCGATTCGGACCGCGCATAATTATTCATTTTGAATCATTAACCCCACTTTGAAATTTTCTTTATAAACCACTTTCATAGATTCAAAAATATATATGAAAAGAACTATAATGCCATAACGAACAATCTTTATTAGCTAATAATCATTAGTCGGCAGAGGAATTGCATGTTTAAAGATGCCGAGATATAATTTCTGGAAAGTCCGGACCCAAATATTTTTGAAGTTTTGTATGCGGACCTTAGGTAAAAATAGTTGAGTAGCCCTGAATTATACAATTGCCATGGATGAGCATATATTACCAACTTGTACCATTATTGTAACACCTATTCAAGATTTTGCAAAAAAAAATAATTTTAATAGTACGAAGAAAAAAGAAAGTTGCTCAAACTACAGTGATCTACACATAAACCTAAAGCATTAAATTTTAAATGAGATTGCATGCTAATAGAAAATCAATATTAAGTACGATAGGAAAAGTGTTAGGAATTAATAGTAAAAAAGAATTAGGAATAATAACAATAATGATCCATCAAAATAAAAAGAGAAAGTATAGTACAATGACATTTGATACATCGCTGCAATTAGTCACTAGAGAGTATACAGCAAACTATCAATAATTTAAAATAAGGTATTATGTAATGAAATCATGACATTTTTGAAGATATTCTAATGGAAAATTGATGAAAAACCACACCCATAAAGTATTTCAAATTTTTCCCTTGAAAATCGTTTTGATTTCAATAAAAGTATAGAAAATTGACTTTTTTTGTTCCAAAATTTTTTTGACAAGCCCAGTTTAAATGATAGAATAATCCCAAATTCCCTCTGCGAGTTTTCTTGAAGAGCTGAACTTGTTAATAAAGTGCTAGTCATAAGCAGTATTTTATACACTTTTCATTCTGGAATGGTTTCTAAGGCTCCAATGCTTGTTCATTTAGTTTTTTCCTCATATTAAGAATGGCAGCAAGTTCGTCATCACCTTTCTGTTGGTCTTTTACTATAGATTTTTGAACTTGTAATTGACTGTAGACTCTGGCTCCATCATCTTCACAAACCTGAAAAGCACATAAGTATATGAATTACAAATATATTTTGAAATAGTAGTTCAAAACAGAATGTATTATAAATTGGATCATGTTTAAGAAAATAACAAAGAACATACAGAAATCAGTGAATACTAGTTCAAATTTAGAACTGCAGGAACGTTAATATGTACCGTTATGTGATTTCTTATTACAGTTTTCACAATCAATTAAATATACTATATTATCAAACTGTGAGACCTCAATCGGTCAAATTGATTTGAATATTCGATTCTTTTCAAGACATCCCTTCGTACACCCACACATACGAGCACATAAGATAACAAAACACCTTAATAAGTCAAAATAGATTCCATATTCTAGAATTTTTTGTATTTTTGTAAAAAGCAAGTTTCCTATCGTCTCAAAAGATGAAAATTACACAAAATTGGAAGTACAATCTCACCATTTTGATTTCCTCTTTGGTGAGAGTGAAGATTTGAGCACCAGTCAATACACCAAGACTGTTGATTGTTAACTGGCTAAATCCACGAGATTCCAGCCATCGCATAACTTCTGTTTGGGTCGATTTTTCAGTCAATTTCAACGATGCAGAAGAAGCTGAAAAAGAAAACATGAATTACGATTGTTGCACTCTTATTTAAAGTTTCAACACATGGGTGTCCCTATCATTATTAGAAATGATCTATTGTTATGCTGACTTCTATTGTTAAAATATTTTGCCAACAACTTCTTCAGAGTTTGACAGAACAATGAAAAATGAAGTATTTAAAGAATGATAAAAAAGGGTTTAAATGAATAGGAAATCTAAAGACAGTTGATTTTCGAATGCCAACAGTTCAGTTTTCTCTCAACTGTCATTAAATATAGAAAATATGAAAAGAAAACATATTTTTGATGTGTAGTTTAATTAAACTTTGCTGTATAATAGATCAAATAAATATTTAAAATTGAACAGCGCAAGAATAGAATATGATCAAATTATGAACTCACTTATTCTATCAAATATTTTATTATGCTTACCGCTTTTCTTAGGTATACTGAAGTTCCGAGACTGCGCTTGCTGCGTATTGACACGACCTTTCAACTCTTCACGAAGTTTATCCATGCTTATACTTTTAGGTACCGGCTTCTTTGTTTGTGAGTAAATTGGATCATTTTTCAGTCCACCATTGTTATTATTTCCATTAACATTGATCACTGGAGGTCTGTTTTCTCTCCTTATTGGGGTAACTGCAACTTAACAATAATTTATTTAAGATTCAGAGTCGTGTTACTGCATATTGTCAACTGTTGGCTTCTTAGGTCCAAAGGTTGGACAAGGATAGAATAGGAATTCCATATTTGTCCCAGGTGAGAAAAAAAATATGAGATGGCTTAATCATATGGCGAACCACGGTCCTTCATCTGGTTACCAGTCTATATCAAGTATGGAAATAGTTAACTCGTTATTTGTTTCAGATGCATGGACTTGGAGATGGGGGAAGCTGTATCCAACTAGCAGTAGAGTGAACCACCCTAAGACCGCTAGAGGTCCAGCAATCCCTCGCACACGATTAGACCCGACAAGATTTGAACGTGTTAAACTGCAAAGGGTAATCAGGGGTACAATGGCATGCGCATTCCTGGCACATAGCACAATGCGCCAACCGCTGTCAGACAATATTCGGGCCCCACACAACAGTCCCCATAGCTAATGTTGAAGGTTCATTCAAGGGCCGCAAAACTGCAATAAAACCACAAAGTTGATTACCGGTAATATGTCTGAATTAAGAAGGTCACATGCACTCACACAAAAGCGAAAAAGGGTCATTTCTGATAACGTACAAGCAGGAGCAGCCCTACAATATCAATGACTATTGGAACTATATAGATATATGCTGGTGTATCATGAGCCAGCAAATGTTGAATAACAAAATACTTAATCAGTCCAAGTCAATATAATCCCAAAAACATTATTAGAATACAACATCTACATAGATTCGTATTCAATATAATTTTAATTCAATTGAGTTTACCTGGAACAATTTTTGGTGGTGGAGGAGCAACTGGTATAAATGGTGGTGGTGGTGGTGGAGGAGGAGGAAGAGGTGGTAATGGCTGAAAATAAATGATATTTAATTCACAAGAATAAATTAAAAAAAAGGTTTTCCCAGTTGTATATTTCAGTCATCAAAAATATAGTTATATTCGGCATTTTGAGAAAAGTAACTGTTTTTTCAAATATTAATTTTTTAATTTAGGCTACAAACAGCAAAATACTTTAAATTTCATACATATCATTGTTTTTCGCAGAAGTGGGTGGGTACTGCAACTACCATTCTGTTATACGTATGGCTTTGAATTGGCTAATCGAAACGTATATGTACAAAGATACCAAAGAAAAGAGACAATTGTTCGATTATTGACTAGTGGTTTATAACAGGGCTTTCCTAACTGGGAGACGCGACCCCACAGGAAGACATACAATGAATTTTAGGGGCAGCAAAGAGTACACATTTCACACAAAATACAATAAATAATGTATTTTTTCTGACTTTTGATTTGAAACATGATTATTAAAACTAGTGCAAAACATAAATCTCATGATTTGGAGAAAATACATAGGATCAGAGAAGCGACGTGCTTGCATAACAATGCCGGATTAACAAGGGGTTGGGGAAAATTTTAATATATTGGAAATGGGACAAGGTTGAATGTTTGCCTTGGTTTATAATGTGCTTTAGGTATAACTAGGATTAAATTTAAAAGTTAGATAAAATATCAATTCATTTAGATAAAAATATCTTGATGTAAAATAGCAAAAAACTCACAGTGGGAGACATGGGTGGGGATGATTTGGTATATGCTGGCCCTCCATTCATCGGTGGATCAGAACTTGAAGATGACGTGGCCTTATGGGAGATCACAACCACTTGATTTCCAGGTACATATCCAATATTACCTGAACAAAAATTTGTGAAATTTTTTATCAGATTTGAAAATTATGATATTGAAAGATGTATGTTTTCAAGGACTCAGTATAAAATAAATTTCTATTTATCGTGATATGTATTTTGAAAGAAAAAAGAAAAGAAAACTGGCCTACAATAATAATATTTCAACCACAAGATTATTGAATAGTCTCGCAAAGGTTTAGAAGTCAAAATTTTTAAAATATTGGAATGGTTAAGAGGAGAGGACTAAGGTTTCTTCACATAAACGTTAGTAAATTGGGGATCAGTGAATGTGAACTAACACCAATAATCTAAAAATTTAATCCTGTGCCAAACATGAACTGATACCCAAACTTTAAATTCATGGTTAGTTATATGAGAAATCCATCCCAGAATCTGAAAAATTTACAACAATAACAATAAAAATTTGTTGCATTATCGACAACCTCTGATAGTCAAATGATTAACTTTAGTAAAATGATTTATGTTAAGTAACAAAGTACGAGATATATATAAACCAGATCGTTCTGAAAGTTATAGACCATGAACCTATTTACATTATGTTAATGAATAACTAGTTGAGCACACATTGAGATGAATGCAGAGTTATAGTTTGATATTGATGGAACAATTTTTCAAAAACATCTTTTCAATGTATGATATGTGAAACAGCTTATAAATTTTTGACACAGCCACGAATGTCCAGGAATGGCATATGATTAGAACACATTTTTTGTTGTATTACGTGGATTATGTTTTTTTTTGGAAGGGTCACCCCATACAACTAAAAATCATTATAAATAATTATTTAGTTGCATGATGTTGCGTGTTGTTTAGAATTGATATGAAAATCAAAATTCAAACCGCTTAGAAAATTATTTTTTTCATTTCATTGATCATCCTGAAAATTTTCTACCAGCATTACAAAACAAAATGTTGTCATTTGTGAAAGAAATTGTTCTCACGGGATAAAACAAAAAAAAATTGTAGGTGATATACCATTCCCAGAAGACAATTTGAAAAAAGCAAATTACCTTTCATTCGCATCTTCCATTTTTTATGTATTGAAGGTAAAAAGATTGTTTGTGTGGAAAAAATAAAACAGCAATATTTTTGGGTGAATGAGAAGAGAGGATGAGAAACATAATTGTCAATTAACCTAGCCGGCCAATGAACTCATTCAGTAATAGTTCTCTTCAAATGTATGCAAATATTTCACTCAGGACAAAGTTTAAATTAAATTTTGATCAAAATTTAATATTATCTAGAAGTCGGTAGCCGATTCCTTATCAAATCATGCCTGTCACACCATAACTTAGTTGCAGCGCGGTGTGCTGTTGGAAATTTTCATTAAAATTGTCACGGATTTTCAAGCATACGATCCATTTAAATTCATGCATAATAGAAACTTGGGTCATTCAGTGGAAAACTAAACTTGCAGTCTGGGGGGAAATTACGCCACACATCATCTCAAGTGATGCGTAAGAGAGTGTGTTGTGCTGAACTTGAAACTAATGACGGTAGATCAGTAAAAAAGTCAATCACGAAACATTCATTTTCATTTCCGTCCCGTCATTTGGTGGTATTTGGAGTGTCGCATAAACGCATTCAGCAGATTTAATGCCGTCGATAACAATGATTAACAATCGTTCAATTTTTTTCTCAGTAAATCACTCTCTTTTTCCGAATCGCATAAATCTGATTCGAATCGATCCGATTTGTAAAGCCAAAAGTGTCATCCATTCCGGAGATTAGATACCATACGATTCGTAATCGATTGATCTGTGAGTTGTAGCAAAACTACCCATGGGTAAACTTTAAAATAAAGCGTCTAAAATGGCCTATAATATTATTTGTCTCTTACTTATATCTAATATGGTGACCGTACATTTGAACCCATGTGTATATTCGCGGGTTCAATCTATATGCGGGTGCTAAATCCATGCGTTAGGGTTAGTATGGGTTCAAATATACGTAAAACAACAAAAATTTCCATAGGTGCAATAGTATGCCGGTGCAATCGTCGTGGGTTCAAATGTAATGGAACCATTTAATATATAGTTCCACAAACCTTGTTTATTTCTAACTTTCCACCAACTTTTATCATCTTGAAGAATTTCTAATAATTCATCTTGAGCGACACTCAATTCATTTTTGTTTCGTCCAGTGAAATCAAACATAGATCTGCACATTTTTGTTTTCTGTGGAGACATGACAGCACTCATAGGTAATGCGTTGTTAAGAGCCTGGTTTCTGAAAGCAGAAAATTTTTTTTTTTTCAAAAATCACACGAGAATTAGATCATGTATCAGCAGGCAAGGATGACAAAATTGATTGAACATCGTTTTTAGCGTAGTTCCCAGTTTTCATTCACATGCGCAGTATTCTCAATGCCTTATTCATAGACGTTTTTGATGAATTTGAATACCGATATTTATTATTACATCGAAATAGAGGATATTCAAGTGCGATTGCGACAAGGAATCTAGAAAGAAAAGGAGCGCATTGCATGTGTAAGTTTTGTTGCTTCTTGTCAATTTCAACCGTAAGAAAGCATAACACAAAATTCTATAATTTAATCAAACCAATAATTCCAGTTACAATTTTTGATCGTAAATATTGAAATTCAATATTCGGAATATTATGCCTAGCGAATAGTACTGGTACATATTTAACTTTATATTTATTGGCAAAAGCAAGGAAATAAGTTTTACCTCACTACATGCTGTTCAACATGCTGTCTGAAGGCGTCTGCACTTGCATTGTTCACATCTGATGCCTACAAGATATAAATAAAAGCATTTAAGTAGAAACATATACCGGTAAGTAGAAAAAATCATTTTTTCAAACATTACAATGAAGGCAATGTTGCCAAATCCATATGCATTGAAAACCTGCCTAGTTGTCAAAGATTTTCTTTTCATTAAATGGCTAATAATTCAATAAAACTTCAAAATTTAATAATGGACATAATAAATAGTCATATCATTATAAGAAAAGACCGGAACAAAGCATATTTATTGACCAAAACAATATGACCCAGCGGTGGGTCAATATGAATGAATTCATGGAATTTATTGGTATAATAAAAATTAAATTTTACAATGGATATGAAAGCTAGAGGCTATTGTAGTGTTGATACTCCGCGTTTGATCTTAACATTCCAAATTTAATCATATGAAAAAGTTTCAAAAGACATTCATAAACAAATTTAAATATTCATTTCACCAAAAAAAATTCCCTTATATCCTGTTTGTAACTTTGTCTGAATTAAATATACCAATTGGAATATTCTTGAATGTTATATTCCCCTATAAATCAAAAAATATGGACAAAAGTAATTTTTAATCTCTGTAATTAATTTAATTAATTAAACTCTGGGGGCATGCTACCCACTAAGACTAAGTCATCATATCCCCGCGAATTTGAATGTAACACAGAGTATATCAAGTACATAAAAAATTTTCATTTGTAATCAATGTTCAAACAAAAATGAGTAAAGATAGTACATAATATGAAAGGTTTGAATTATATCGTCAATAAATTTACGTCATCGTCATTTCTCCAGTACAAATAATCAATAAATCTTGGTTATCATATAAGTGTTTATTTAGAAGCATAAAACAAGTTGCGTCAATGCGGCACCGAAGAATTGATAACTAGTTTGAATAGTGATGATATTGTGATTTATGATGGGATACGGAAATAACTAAATCAAAATTCGGTGATACAGGTAAGTTGAAAAAGCGAGAATACAATCACGTATTCCCTTTTTATTCAAGTAAATTTATTCCTTGGACAAAAACTAATCAATGCCTATCAAGGATTCCAAAGACGAATAGAAGATTTGAATAAAATGAAATTTTTTTAATATAATAAATATTTTAAATTCTTGATTTTTAAAAATAATTACGACGCTAAAATAGATATGTTAGAAAATAGTCACTTTATTATTATTGTCAAAAATTATTATTTTGAGAAAATGAAAAGTCAAAAAATGATCATTAGAGTTCTGGTCCCTGCATTTCCAATTTTCCATATACAAACTTTGTTAATTATGATCAAATTTGAAATATTTTTGAAATTCCAGATTCTAAAATATTAATATAGATTATTTCAACTATCTCAAGTCGAAAACATAAAAAAGAAAAGCCTACCCTTCTTGCCTCTTCTGCTCTATTAACTCTGCTTGCCTGTTCTGCAATGGTGGCTGCTAATTCAGTATGATCTTTGCCAGGATCATTTGAAAGTAGCGGTGGAACCCAACCAGAACTGAAAGTCGGTACATATGGAGGGAAGTAGTGTTCTTTTGGAAACTCAAGCCTGGAGTGAAAGAATGTAAATTACTTGACTAGGTAGGTTAGGTTATTTATAAATAATAACCCAAAACCATGACTATGACTATACTATACCATCGTACACGATGTTGACATATTTTAAGTTAACCTACATTATGTATAAAAAAAGAAGATGCAATTTGGTTGTATTAAAATAAGATTATGTAATTCTTTGTGTAATTCATATTTAAACCTATTCATGTAAGCACTATGAAAATAAATATTTTAACACGTAAGTCACCAGGCAAATAATCTATTGTCATGAGTCGTGACATTGCATCCTAAATACGAATTTCTAGTTCCTGCTAGTAGTGTCAATAGTCGTAGGTCATGTCAAATAATGACATAGTCTATAAAGAGGACTCCTACATTAAGGGTAAATATGTGGTTATGTCACTTTGATGATCGAACAGTCGTTTCTTGGGAATTCATTTTGGACTATTTTAAAAAGTGTATTTGTGCATCAGATACAAAGTGATAACATATGATCGGACAACTTGTACGATTACTGCACTTGCACATTACAATGAATTTTAAAGATGTTGAAACATTATTAATATGGCGAACTTGTTAGTTTTGTAATATAATTATGAATTACTGGACCCTGTAAGTCCATGCATCTAGAACTGACATGAGCAAACTACAGCCGTGGGCCAATCCGGCCTGCTGGATAATTCAATCTGGCCCGCCTGATACTGCCACAAGCAAATTGAAACCAAATTTTGACATTTCAGCTAATAAATAGCTCAAGGAATTTGTTGAGATTGCGATTAAATTTAGTTTTGACGCGAGACTTTTTGTTTTCCACTTTTGTAACACTGTAAATATTTTTCACTTGTTACGTCACACTTATATGGCCTGCCAGTCTTGGTGGGCAAAATTTTTGGCCATTAGTTCAAAAACCTTGCTTCCCCCCCGATTTAGAACAAATAACCGGCTAACCAATCTATATCAAACATGGAATGTTAATCGGGCGAAAGAATGTCGTATGCTATTTGATTAAGTCATCTTATCATCTTTCGGTAAGATTTCCTCTACTCTACCCTGAAATAAATATGAAAATCCTAATATTACAAAGCAAATGCATAACGAAAACCAACCAGAAATGCCAAGCTGGGATTCGAGTATTCTGTATCGAGTATTCTAAAATTGTCTGCAACTTCTATCAATTCAAAATATAAAACAAACTATTTATACGCAAAGGCGATTATGATATTTTTTCAAGAGGATTTCACTGCAAAAAAGCAAATTTGATTGCAATTTTGAAATAGGAAATCCAAATTATCTGATTCTATATCAAATTATCTGATTCTATACCTTAACTCCATATGAAAACTATACCAATTTCTCAAAAAACTCAAAACTCTGAACATAAAAGTACGAAATAACACAATTTCTGTCTAATTATATATATCAATAAATCAATATTGCTTGATATGACCCAGGCAAGCAGCATCTGGATAACATAAAAATTAACCTAATTTTACTTAATATGTTCAGAAGCTAAAAAATATTGCTTTGAGAAATAGAACTTTTATTTAGGTGTATACATACATTCATTTGCAATAGCTATTTAGCCACCTGTATTTACATTCTAAAAATTATAAATATGTTGACAACTCAATAAGCTACAATACTAGTATATAATTTCAAAGATTTACCTTCAAGATAATTGCATCATGTATTTGTTTATAGGGTCACACGATATAGGGGATTTTCACAAATGTTTAAATAGACCGGTATAAGGTTGAAATGTTGATTTATATAGACTTAACCAAATATAATAGAGTAGATAACAAGGGTGACTAGGCATGACGAAATGACAAAAATTCAGAATATGTTGAATTACACAATGACATTTTAACATTATTAAAAAATAAAAAAAAATAAAATAGCTTCTTGAATATCAGCGGGTCAGTTGTGCAGAGCAGCAACTGTAGATAGAAGCTTTAAAGCAACTGCACATCATACAAAAAAATTGATTTAAAAGAAGACTCTGCAAAAATTCACCAGCGATTAAACCAGTTTCCTTGTTCACAAAAAACATCATAAATTATTAATGAATTACTTAATCTCAAAACATAGGTCAGGAAGGATAATGGAATTTTACATTGTGAAACATGAAACTACACTACATAATGTCATTCCTTCCATTTCACCAGTTACAATATCAAATTAAAACTTCTTCAGGAACATAAGTTAATACCTAAATATAGAATCCAATATATTTTTCACAATGGACAATATAAATGTTATTCCCATAGATGAACCAAACTAAACGAATTCTGAATACGATCATTCAGTCATATTTGAGTCACTATATATGATGAGAAAATTTCGTTGAAAAATCAAAGATTAAAAAAAAAAGCATTTTGATTGTTTTTTAAATTCCATGAGCAGGAGAGTGAATACTGCTCTATTTTTGATATTCATCATGTTTTTTTTTTTGAAGAATCAGAAATTTAAAAAAATGTATTTTGATTGGTTTTTAAAATCCATGAGCAGGGGAGTGAGAATTGCTCTATTTTCAATATTCATCATGTTTTTTTTTGAAGCTGTGCGATAAAACAATATTATTGGACAAGAAATGGCACATATTTGTGATAAAAAAAATCACACTACTGGATAATCAATTTCAAATTTTTAGCCCATGAAAATAGATGGAACCGCTAGTAGGCTACTTTTATTTTTTTTGAATCCCCATGAGGCCAAAAATTTTCCCAAAAATATTGCTGTTTTACTCTATTAATTTATAGCAACACTTCACTTATGAGAACCTTTTATATGAATTTTAACTCTAATGTATATATAAGTGTTACTATTTTGTTTCTACAATCAATCCAAAAAAATACCTTGATTTTGTCCAAAAATCTCCGAGATTTCTCCAGACTTCGGCTTCCTGTGTTGTAAGACAATTATGAAGAAGATCGATGCCGTCCTTTGTTAGGAGCGGACTTTCAACAGATCTGGGGATGTCATATCCGCCACAGGCTTGAATACACATTTGAAGAGGAGAGAATAGAAAATGGATTATTTCGATAGCATTTGGATTTTGAATGTGAGCTTTGAGCTTTGCCTGAAATATAAATATGTTTAAGATTATTAGAAATTCAGTGCTATAATTTGGAAAGTGAAATAAGGATTTATATGTATTCTAATATTCGCAAATTATAGAAGATTTTATTTTGTATAAAAAAAAATCACTTCTTGCTTTTTTGTTGAAATGAGCACAATTCACATTGGACAAGGATGTCCAAATACAATGGAAATTGAGAAAATTTGCATTAAGTATTTATTTAAAATTGAATTATTATAATATTATAAATTGAAATTGTAAATTTAGAAATTCAGAATACTTCAAATACACATGCAGTATTAAAAAAAACCATTTCCATTTGACATATTTGATTCATATATAATCAGTTTGGGTGAATTCTCCTCCCTAACAAATACTGATACTGATAATAAATCAGGCATTTTCAACAACTGAATTCTAAGAGAGAACTAATTTAATTCAAAATTAGACAATTTTTATTCCATCAGGAATATCTTCAAATTGTAGCAACGCTTGAACAATTATCGAAACCAGTTTCTAACGTTATATGTTTATTTAGCGATACCGTTATTTAGGCATAGCCAGTGTGACTGCATTATTTATTCATGTCCCATACATGATTATGGTATAAGTTTCAAAGGTGAAGTATACTTACGAGCAAATTAAAAGCCAGCTTATATTTGCGGAAACAGTCGATGAACTTTTGATGGGGAGGGAGTTTGGAACGTAGTGTCAACATTCCCTCTCCTGCCATTTTCTTTTTCGATTTGTTTGATCTGCAAACAAGAATGTGAAACAATTTGTCCGAACAAAGAGAAAATATCAATTTTACTCAAACTAAAACTGACATGAAAATACTTTTCTACAATAAGAAACATACAATGCTTACACTATTGGAGTTAGGCTCGGTATGTACGTAAGGTACACAACTATGATACATATAAAACATGGACTGATAATGGACATGTTTTATCGTCATCATAAAATGTAAACCATGCTGTCGGGCAGTGTGGGCACAATACTTTATAAGCATTCACTTGCAAGGTGAGTTCTGTTACATTAATAATGGATTATTTTTAGAGATTCATTTTTATCATGTGTCTCCAGAATACTTTATCGCACATAGACTCGTTTTGAAAGGGTCCTACTGAATTTGAAAAAAATTCACTGGTCAGAAATGATCAGTTTCATACAATTTAGTAAACATTAAATGAACGCTTCAGAAGGGTGGGTATCATTATGGAGGTAACTAATTTTGTTCGCCTACTTTACTTTATCAAGTTGTGTAAAGTGACTGAAACCTATGGGCAGGGAGTATATTCACTTGGCTAACACAGACAGTCCCCGAACTCGTAGTAGAACTAAAATAAGGAAAATTGAAATAAAGTTATGCCCTAACCTGCTACACACACTATGCAAGTACAGATAAATGTGGGACCTAATATAGAGTTCGTTCTATTCTCGTTCAAATCTCAAACCTGAGAGCTTATATTGGAGACCACAATCTAGACAGGATCAATGAGGTAACTGCCAGTAAATCTTATCCACTCAATGAAGAATAATATATTTTATGACAATTTTATACTAAATGGTATTATTTATATTCAAATAATTTACAAAAATCTTTTTAAATAATAAATCCTGAAATTTTTTAAATTACATTAAAAATAGCGACATACTTTTTGTTTCCCTTTCTGTAATGAAGCTCTTTTAAAGCTTGTGCAGACTTCTGTAATTTTGCGACAAACAGTTCGACATCGTCAAGTGTGTGATTTAGGATTTGCTAGAAAAATTGGAAAAAAGTTTTCAGTAATGAAAGCTGAACATATTTGGAGAGATTGCAATTCTATCTAAATTCTATACTATTCTATTCAGTTATAGTCAATAGTCATATTTCGTAAATATGGTAAAGATAATGTATTAAGTGTATATTATAATTTATAATGTATTGAATCTTGTGAAAGAGTAGAAAATTTAATTAAAAAGAGGACTTTTAATAACTCAACTTTTTAATGAACTACTTCACCAATGTTAATTAAATTAATTTTTTGAAGCCCACTATTTTCAATTATATATACCTATTTAATAAATCCATGAAGCGATATATTATATAAAAAATAGAAGTAATCATACAATTTATTACTAAAATTATTGTTGTGTTGAGATTAGACCTGATTCTGCTTTGTATTGTCAACAAAGCTAGTTATAATTCGTCAAAATGTTGGAATATTTTCAAACTCGAAATTTATCTGGATAATTTCAAAACCGACACAGTAATCTTATCACATCATCATAATAACAAGAAATGATATTAAGCAGGTTGTCTGTCCTATCAAAAATTTTTAAAATTCGAAAATAGATTTTTGACACATAACACACTCCACTGTTGAACAGTTAGTTATTCATCTATAATTATGTCTGAGGATCTTATAAAAATTTTAATTACCGGTAGGTAATGAGATGGGGATGGAGTGAATTAAATAATTTACTATTATGGGACGCTTTTGAAAAAAATATCTGAATACGGAATTCAGTATATACACCTTACTATTTTGCATTTAACTGATATTGAAGTATAAATTTGAATTGAAGTTCAATTTTCAAAAACACTTATTCCTACAATTTTTTATTTTAGCTTTATTGGGAACATTATAATTTTTATTTATGCTGCAATGAACACCTCCGTTGTTACCGCTCGATAACCAGATTTAGTTCTCCGTACCTCCCTTGCCCAGCGAAATGGATTCTGACAAATTTGCATGTGATTTTTTTTACTGAACTTACCTTTCAATTTATTCATTCATATTTAATAAGAATTAAGAACAGATTGATATAGATGATATAACTATAATTATAAGAAATCACGAATACTATGGATAATTTTTAGGTTCTTTCAACCTTAGTCCTGTAGATCTCACTGCCATAATAACAGACAAATTCTTACGATTTTAATTTATCCCATTTCAGACAGTAAGTAGATTTTCTTGTACAAAAACATGTTTTTTAAAAATTCATGGATATATAAGACCAATTAATTACTCACAACGTCTCGATTGACTCTCTGCAAGATAGTTTCAGATGATTCCTCTGCATTGTAATCTGGTCCTGGAGTTGTGATGTCATTAACTGTAAAAAACAGATTTTCATTTCAGCTTGGCAATGAATAATTCATCTGCAATGGGGATTTCGTCTGAGGGAACAATATAGCTATTTTGATTCTTTCTATAGTGCAGTCTTGCAGTCGGTGCATATGAATCCACTATAACACATCATAGGCAGAGATAAAAAGGCAGTAGTTAGGGACATGCTACTCAACTATTTATGTGAATTAATTCCGTAATACCCCATTAATTATTTGTTGTAAAAATTATTTATGACATAAATAACATAGTTGCCAGTTGTTTAAAACAATGCACCCCAAATTGTGTCGCATAACTAGTACGTCGCAAAATAATTTAGGATGTGTCGCTTATAATAATCAATTTGTACATAATTTTTATCTGCCTGTGTATTGATTTTGACGAGTAAAAAAAACGATCAAATCTGTCAGAATTTATATATAGACAGGAGCTGGTGCTGGACTGGTGATGATACTAGACATTCAGTCTCGTTATGATCAGTCATGTACAAAACAAGCTAATGTAGCACATTGAAGAAAGTGGATATAATGTATTGTATGTTAATAAAGTCAATTTTGCTTTCGATGTGTCGTGATGACCTGTATTACAGAAAGAATATGCACTGAGTGTGGTCCTGGGTCCTGGACATTCATGCTACATAACATTATATATACAAAGTACAATGAAATGATAATTCTACTATAGGATCAGTCAACTCATAACATAGAACAACATACTGTGGCCGATATTATCCCATGACTGTATTCTTTCTCTGACATTTCCTTCTTTCATGGGAGGAGCGGGAGGTGGATTTAAAGGTGGTGGCGGAATGACTGAAGCTTCGACTCTTTCGCGTGCTCGTTTTAAAGTCTCGGGTCGAATTTTTCTTCCCTTTTTGTCCTTACAATCAGCGAGAGCACTTTCAATATCAGATACGACAATGTCAGGCTAGAAAAGAAATAGTAGAAAAAATTATAGTTTGACTTTGGTTAGAGAATCAAAGATTCTGAAATGAAACCGGTTGTATCACAAACTAAATTCAAGTTTTTTTTTATTAAATTAAACCAATAGATAACTAGCTGCTTGTGTGCAGACTACTCGAAAAACTAATTAGGCATTTTTTAAGCATTATTTCAAAGTTTTTTTTAACAATTTTTCTTGAGAGCCTTCAAGTAATGAGGAAAAAATATTGACAAGAGAATTGAAAAACTTCGCACAGAGATGTCAGAAGATAGCAGGTGATACTACTTATTATTAAAGCTTTATTATGGTTTATTATTATGGTATTATGAAGTTTTATATCTGATATTCCCAATTAGACATCATTTTAGTAGGACTTGAAACTACATATTTTCATTATAATCGAGTGACATTCCTAAGTTCAATTGAGAGAAGAACCCAAAGCACTCCAGCGTGAAGACCACAAATTTTCAATATCAAGTAAGACATAAAATAAGACAATTCTTACTGGAACATTAGGGCAGTGAAAAAGATGCATGTCTGGAATTTTCTGGTCTATATCTTTCACAATCAATGCTAAGACAGCATAGGGTTCTGCTCCATAGGTGATAGCTTGAACGTGTTGTATCGAATTGAGAGGAAAATGTTCTAGTTCATCCTGAAAAACAGAAAAAAAAGTGTCACTGGATTAGAATTAAAAGATAATTGTAATAAGAGTATTTTGCAGCAAAGAATTCAGTTAGTGACATGTGCGTGTGTCGAGAACAATTCACTACACCCTCAGACTCAATCTCCAGGCCATTCGAAAAACAACTCCGGTACAAGCCCCAGATTTCACATTGAGTGTAATTTTGACTCCAGTTATAAACTCAGTTATAAAAAAAAACATCTGAAAGTCTGATAGGAAGAACTTTGAGCTTTGAAAACCTTCTTTTATTGTCTGCTAAAAAGTCGTTAGTCAACTAGAGGCTTTAGGGTTAGGATCTGGGAAATCGAAATCTTTACATCCAACTCCCCACTCTGAGAGTTTTTCATATTTGATTTCAACAAATTATATTACCTACGGTAAGTAATTGCAAGACACATTTACTAACCCACGACACCATACTATGTATTTGTTCATTTACAGCTCCACTCTCAAACATATTTACGAAACTAGAAGAATGAAATAAGCAAACAGAAATACACACAAAAGACTTGAATTAGGGCTTTGTTTTGAAAAATTAGTTTACCACCTTGGCAGTATAATAGAACAAATTATTAGTTTCGCTCACTTTATCCTTGATTAATGGGTTTTGCGGAAGCAGACATGAAACTTTATGGGTTTGCAGATTTATGGTTTCTTAGATTAATAATAAAATTATCACATGGTAAATATAATTAAACAATAAATTTTGATGTTTCTTGCTCTTGATCTTATAACTGTTATTGACTGTAATAGGCTATTACAAAAAGAAATCGCTAATATAAAGTGAAACCAGTTGTCATAAAGAATCAAGTTGTCATTTACATCTGAGTAAGTTTCAGCCATTTCAAAAAAATTGTCAACAAATATCTTTTCTTTTTATTGAACTTTGCTATTTCTGTAGCAAATCCATCATTTTGGTTTATTACTAACGTTAATATTATTTGACGTTATATTAACGAATCAATCCAAAATGAAAATAATCAAAAAAATAATAGCATTGAACATCTACAGATAATGCTGAGCTATATTAGATTTGTCAAATAAATCAAATCACCAGTCTACCTTATATTTTTCGTTTGATGTGAATGGTGTGGTTTTAAAATGAAAGTATTTTTTGTTTGATCAGTATTTAGATATCCTGTTTCTGGATCCCATAACTATTCATCAAAAAGGTTTGCTTGCCCTAATGATTAGGTTATTTCATTAATGATGAAGACTGTTGCACTGTAGTAAATGTTACAATGTCTTAGCTAAATTCTTCTTACTTCGATATCAAATTTAAAAATGTAAAAAAGATAAATTGGTTACTGGGCAACCACCTCAAATTCTGCTTCATAATGTACATAATACATTATTGGTAATATAAGTGTTAACAATAAAAACAATGGTACAGAATTGTTATTATTCACCTAGGGGGCGAATGTAAACATAACTTTAAAACATACTTGAGACTGTTGATCGAATAGTTTGACAGCCTTCCCGTCAACTTGCATCAAAGCCTCCTGAGCCCATATTTTGCCTCGAGCATCAAGCAACTTAAGTTTTCTTATTCCATCATCAGCTGTCAATAATCCATCTTTTCTCTCCACAGCAAATGTTGTCAAATGCTAAAAATGAAAAAATAAAAACCCTTAAAATTACTGAATTATCCCATTTGCAAGACTAACAATTCAAAAAATAAATAATCACTAGACTCTCTATTGCAGCGCTTCTCAACCGGGGGGCCCTCGGCTCCCTAAGGGGGCCACAGAGGAGTTGGAGGGGGTCCACAAGGATGGGGTGAAATCTGAATTTACTTTTCACTTTAAAAGAAATCTCACAGTTTTTCCTAGTTTGCTGCTCAACAAGGTTATTTCGCAGGGTGTTTTCGCTCTCATTTGTGCAAATTGTTTTAACATAATGGGATTTGGAATCTATCAATGAAAATAACCCTATAAATACCTCTGGAATATTAAAGTGGGGGCCATGAGTGCTAAAAGCCTCCGAAAGGGGGCCACGAGTCATAAAAGGTTGAGAAGCACTGCTCCATTAGAATCAGAATTTCCATTGCTGCACTGGGCAGAGCCATATGAGCAGAATGAAGGTTCAAATAGTGGGATCTAATTGTGTGTGAAATGATTGCTAGGTTGTTCTGGGGTGGTTTACTTATCAGACACATCCATGTAACTGATTTGATACTCCCCCAGAATCCTTAAGGTAGCCTTGTTCACTACATGATTATTTTGCATTAGTATCAGTTTCAGTCGATGGCGTGAAAACCCAACAAACAGTCAACATTTTAAGATTCTCAACAAATAAAGTTTTAGACAAAACAAAGGTTTTTTTAGGACTGGAGGAAATGCTGTTCATTACAACCAATAATACTAGAACACAACACTAATTGAAATATTTTCTGTTTAGCATGTAGTAACATGTTTCTTGATTAATTTTATATTGATCTTTATTGAATGGGACAAGAACGTAGAAAATCAAAATCAAACCTAGCACAATTGTAGTATAGGTATTATGGGGTATATGGAAATGGTATCGGATTTAAAATAAACATTTTCAACATGTATATTCAATCCATTAGGATAAAATCATGATATATGTCAATTTTTATATTTTAACATCATATTAATTGTGATTCGAACAATAGGAATTGACTGTCATTTTGTAAATGAAATTTCAATCCGAGTATAAAATTTGATCACTTCTTCCAAAATTCATAGAAAAAATGCCAACTATGTGAGGAATAATGATATAGTCAAGGACTAAATATTTTTAAACAATAATAGTGTCTGGAAGTGGATCACAGGAAAAGTGCTTCAAATCCATTGTTGAAAATTTATTGAAAATACTGCTAAATGTGATTTGTGAGTATTGCCAGTAATTCTCAAAAGGAAAGGATTACGGTAGAAGGATAGAAAACCACTTCAAGAGATAAAATACATTTTAGTCTAGCAAAGACATAATCCAGACCAAGTTGGCCTCTATTGAAGGTTATGAGGGCAAACAAAAAATGACGAAAGATCATTGTACTGTTTACTCACTTAACATTATATAACAGCTGAAAATGACTCAGTTTTTTATGTTGAAAAATTGAAAAAATTGTGGTCCTCGATAAATTTCTAATCATTTGGGATAGAAAACAAAAAATTTTCATAGGTTAATCACATGTCTAAGGGCACGTACAGCTAATAAAATACCACCATAAATCATGTTCAGATATAATACTCAATATCACAAACACACAGTACAGATAAGTCCAAAGACCAAAATGGTGGGACATAAAACACACAATCTATATCACTATCAGTAGTTGACACTTTTTAAAATCGATACTTCAGTTTCGTATAATTCATGATACAAATTCGTGATAAGTTAAAACATATTTGTTGACTTTATTAACCTAAGTAGATCATTAATCGAGAGATATTTATTACACAACATCCCCATGTTGACAGAATCGCCCTACTGTACATTGCTTTTAGGAAACCTATATATTAAATCAAGTATGAAATGATCATAGATTGAACCTAAAATACTTAATTCATACATGTTTCAAGCTTGGTTGAGATAAATTTTAATTTTCCACAAATGATATTCCAAAGAGATTTTATTTTCTGTGTAAATACTTTTTCGTTTACGGCACACCAAGGGCATTCAACTCAAAAGTCAATAAACGTAATTAAAAGCACTGATATGATCTAGTGATTAAGCCAAATAGAAATATTGTTAAATAAGATGAAATGAAGTGCCCCGAAGCACAATTTATTAATAGCAGTACCACATAACGACCTAATTTATGATTTCAATAATCTTCAAAGAAAGCATGTTTCCTGAATTTTTCAAAAAGGCATGCTTCCAGTAGAAAATTGTTAAACGAGCAAAGAAAACTTATTCTCAAAAATGTCATGCACCGAAATTTTCATATATTAAATTTGCCAAACACAAATAAGATTCCTTAATCTGAAAATTAGCATGACTTTAAAACTCTAAAATATTTACTTTAATAAATGGTGTGTGATATGATTAAATGGAACTATTCAAAGCATCAGATTTCATTACCTTAATATTATTACCTAGAACTTTTTTGGGTTTATTATCAATTTGGCAGTAAAATTACGAAAATCTTGAGTTCACCTATTGATGACTTGTGCAAGAAAGCCATCTACGGGAACCAGCAATGTTATCATTCTTCGATTAATATAAGTTTTATTCCATATCTGATTCTACAGTCAATATGTCATTGAATCTTGTTTCTTTATGGGCACTGTGTTTGACTCATTATTCAAGTTGCACTTCAAGTTCCATGCAATTGGGATGAAAAACATGACTGCTGCATTATTAAGAGTTAATGCTCTACTGATATTTGTTACTCTTTTTGACACAAACATTCAATATAAGCCATTTATTCTATACAAAAAGTAGCAAATATTTCAGGTGAAACTACTCATTTTATTTAGGAAAACCTATCAGCAATGTCATAAAATGACTGAAAAATCTTATGATATTTACAAAATATTATAGTACCGTAAATAGTAATTGAACATTTTGTTAAACTTTGATCCGGTGCCAATTTCTAATTAAACCAAATCAGAAGAGCTGCAAGACGTTGCCGCAAAATTACATCTCAAAGCGATAATTGGCATTCTTCAACTGTCTCTAAATGAGATAGATCATGGATGAATTGTTTTTGAAGTATGATATATATCTTCGGACCATGATTAATTGAAAATTTTTTTTAGCTATTGTTTTTATTTGCCAATATCAAGTACTCGTTGCCTTGCGGGAGACACACAATGAAGCAGTAGTTAATAATGACGACGCTCGACTCGTTCAAGAGCACTGAAGTGGACAAAAGCCTCACTCAACACAACGGAAAGTTTACTTTGTTACAATAATCAGTCATTTGCCATCCCTGAGAAAACGTATTGTTATTTAACAATAAGACTCACAATGTGAACTAATTAAAGTTGGTAACAATTTAGTACAGTACTTTAAGGCCAAAAGTGCAGCTTTAAATAGCAAGATTTCTTTTAATTTGGTCTTGATAAAAAAAGATAAAGGGATAAAAAGATAAAAGCCAATCGTTAACTATGATATCAATCAAAAAATTTGAGAACGAATTTAAACCCCCTGAGCCTTCGACTAATTTGGTTTGCCCTGTTTAAGTAGGCACAATGCCTAGCAGCTAACATTTATTTAACGAAAATTTTATTTAACGATAATTTTTTTAAAGAAACTGATGATTGGGCAGAAGAGACACAGTAAAAAATGAAAAATCAATCCAAACAATGTTTATTTCAATGAATATACAATGGTGTCTGTCTCTGTATATTTCTCTGTTGAATATGATCTAATCTAGAATATATTCTGTACTAAAATCTAATCATTTCAGAATGTATTCAGAATAGTAAAATAATTTTATTTTGGCCATCCCTGCCCACACATAATACATATGCATTGCTTTGGACTAACTAAACATTAGGTAATAAATTTTTGGCATGCCATTAATAAAATAATAAATAATATTCAGCTTGCGATGTACCTGTAGTAAAAATGCAATTACGCACACATAACACAGCATGAGCATTTATCAAGTGACATGCTTGTGACTTTTTATTAGTGGACAAATACCTGAGTAAATATTCTTTCATGTTTGTTCAAATTGAGATTATGTCAATAATTTAAATCATGATAAATTCCTCATAATATAGGAATTTCAATAACTATTATCGAGAACATTTTTTAGCATTTGAATTTGGATAAATGAAATAAAGTGAAATACAAAGGTATATGTATGAACTAGTTGTGAGGAAGAGGAAATAAATATGTTGGATTCACTGATTAAAAAATATTTGTCCAGCAGTTAGTACAATGTTTCCAGTTTATAAGTAAGGCATGTTATGCTGAACTAAAAATATTTCGGCCCATTGCATTCTAATAGCTTTTTCTTATGTCCGAGCACCTGCGCGTTCAGAGTAAAGGTCATAAACACATTATTCACAAGCCAATAAAACAAGGCAATTTCATTCCAACACACATTTTTAACACAATGGAACACTGTATACTTATGTTTCCAAAAATCTTTGTTCAAGTCTTTTTGATGAAACCTTTTGTATTGTCTTTTATTCTAGGAGTTTCAACTGTTTTGAAATATGAAACACACAACACATGACAAGCCGGTATATTGTCAATAGGTTATAAGATACTTTCAAATTTTTTTTATCTCGAATCTATCATGAATCATACATGCGGCCATGTTTGATTCGGTGTGATTTTTTCTTATCTTGATCAAAACAAAGTGTTATATGATAGGGGAGAAAGAGTACTATGATACAAATAGCATGTGAGGGCTTGGTACTATTGAATTAAATTAAATAACAACAGTACTACTTAAAGTTGCTCGAGGGAAACTTTCACTGCATACTACTTTCCAGTTAATCATTCATTTCAATCATGTTATACAATTACCTTCAGTTCTCAAAAGTAATGAAATACCTAAAATTATTATGCATTTTGAATAATGTACAAGGACTATAAACTGATTAAACTCATTTTCACCTAAAATTCGGTCTCAATGCCAATGACATTTTTGTTCGTAAAATTGTATTACACACCAAAAGCGAATGAGCATTTGCCTCAGTTATCAATATCGCAAGGCCCACCATACTATTCCTATTTTAAATTTGAAGCAATATTCAGCCATCATGATAAGTGACTGTAACGTCACAGGTTTTGATAGGGGTGAGGTCTGAATCTGTCAATGTTGACACAATAGTGCTACAGTCATCCGGTGAATAGTAACGACAGCTATAAATACGACAGAATTATAATAGACGGCTCAGTCATTCATATATTCAAGCACTGATCACATAATACACAAAGCATCATAAGCTATCAGTGACATATTTCCCATATTGATCAGGGTCAAACATGTATTATATACAAAGGATGGATAAGAATTCATACACAAAAAATGATTTTTTTGAATTTATAGTCTTGGACTTAGTATGAATTTCCCAAAATTTAGACAATCAATAATGCCATTTGAGAATGATGTATCATTGAAATATCGAATTAACATTTATAACACACAAGATATCGCCATATTTCTGAATTTAAGTTTGAATTTGAATTTAAAATGATATGGAATTCTCCTAATGCAGAATTCTAAAATACTCGGTTATTAAAATCATAATATTTATCCTAGGATCAGTAACATAGATAGATATATCGATAAATACTTATTGAATGTGTTGTTAGTGTCGCAAGAAATTATCATCAAAATCTGTCATAAATTAACTGGTAAGCAGTTCTGTTCAATGTGAAAAAAGAAATAAAAAATTTCAAATTTCACCAGGTCAGAGGTTTCAAAAATTTATGCCATGATAGAATATTTAGCTAACAAATCGAATTCTAATATCTTATTAATAATCATGTGTTAGTGTTTTATAGGGTGAAGTCATTGGATCAAACATCTTCAAGGTGCCATGAGGCATAGTACTATCGAATCAAAAACAAAACTAACTCTTAAATATTTGAGGCTATTTAGCTAACTATTATCCTTCGTGTTTGCAAATGCTCAAGCATAACCGAACCCATGTGTAATGAGCATAAAGAAATAGTTGAATCAAAATCAATGTGAGCAGACATTCTTGTATGAAATATTAATGAGAAAAATTGTGAAATATGCTATTTTAAAAAGTTTGGCCAAAACAGTAAAAACGAGAATATCGGTTGGAAACCGAAGACTTATCGATCGATAGTTAGGGGATCCCCCAAAACAGAAACTGCAGTTTCGATTCATCCGCTCTTGTAACTTGCGCACTGCGCATCGCACACACACACTCGGCGGGTTTCAAAATTCTCTCGCTTTACAAAAATCTAGATCACTATATCAATAATTGATTGATAACTCGCTAATTATACGACATAATTCGCCCAAAATCAATAGGCTTCTGGTCCGAGATAAGATGAATACACATGCAAAATCTGGAGCAGATTCAATCTCGCTTTCGTGAGATATCGCGTGCATCTAACAGACACACAGACAGACAGACATACATACAGACAAATACCTATCAATATATTTACCGATCTTAAGATCGATAATATAATAAAGGCACTGGAGGAGTATAAATATATGCTTAATAATAAATGAAAATTAAAAATAGCCATTTAGTGCTGAATAATACATTTTGAAAAATGCCAATGTTTTTTCAATATTAAAATAAAAAGAGACTGGAAGAACTGGGATTCAAACATTTTAAAGAGGCAATATGATTAATTTTTTGGACCTCCTGAAGTATGCGCACCAAGATGGAGCACAACCGTACTCAGGTTGTGTACCAGATTAGGGTTCAGGTTATGCGACATCTTGGTGCGCAAACTCAAGAGTACCAATTTTTTATATGGCAAATTTCATGCCTTTTGCTCTGAACAAGGCTATGTACAAGAAGTCACTGCCAGGTGAGGGGCTACAATTAAGCCTACCCAATTTATTACATCCTGAGTGAGGTGGTGTGCATGAGATTTGAACCAGAGATTTGAACCTGGAACTACATCACAGTTAGGTCTAAGGATTTAACCACTAGGCCACTTCATGCCTACATATTTTACCACATGGTGGGATTTTGATAGAACCATATCTGTGAAAGGCATTCTTATTTCAGTATTTGTTGTCAAGGATTAACTGCCGAATATTCAATTGAAACAACAAGTTATAGTTTGAAAAATCAAAGCACACAGATACGAACCTCAACGTTGTATTGTGATATTTCTTCAACGTTTGCAGACTGTTTCCCATATAATTTTCTTTGTTCATATATAGCACGACCAGACGGCTGAATTGCCCCAGGATGGATACCATTCTGCATAGTCTGCTCTGGATTATCACTGGCGTAATTCATATTTAGATTGCCTTTATCACACAAACAACATGACGAGAGTATAATAATTTTAATAACTGAATATTTGAAAAAATATGAACAAATAGCAGATGTTATCACACTAAAAATATTCATTCAACACAGCAAAATTGTTCAGGTTAGGAATGGCCATGATGGATTAAATAATTCAAATATTTAATTTAATTTTCATTTACTTTTTAATGTAGGTAAAAATTTCAATTGAAACAAATTTTAATTGTCTGTACTGTAACATTCAAAGAACAAAGTTAATTTATTATAAAATATTCTGTTAGTGTTAAATACAGACTCAATTTAGAGAATATACAGATATATGTACCTGATAGTTTATATTCAGAAATATTATACCAAAGGGTACGGTACGGTAATTCTGTTATTACTGTATTAGAATAGTGTATTACCGGTAATCTAATCACAAACACTTGCAGTTTATTTTACCTAAATATTCTTCATATGACAATATATTATTACAATATTTTCACTACCAGGCTACCTCGAACAGGTTTTAGAGAAAGCCTCATTACTATTGTTCTAGACTTCCCTAACTTGGTTTAATAAAACGCAAATACACATACAGACATATAATATATAGCCTATATGCATAGCCTACTACCTTCAGATAATTGACCTTCACTTTGCCAAATTCTAATCTATGCAGTATATGCCTTGCTTAAAAAATGCTAACACATGTATCTACCTGCACAGGCCTGCAATGCCGTCGTGCTGAGCTGAGCAACCGGATGCAAGGCTAGCTGTGAGCGCCGGCTCATTGATCGCGCAATCACACTACTAAAAACCGGGCGAGCGCGGTTCAACCACAGAGAACTCTCTCTTCAACCTTATGGTTCAACAGCGCGTGTGGATGGCATCCTGTTAACAGATTTTATAAGATATTTGGAAATATTATCACTCTAAGGAGAAACAAGAGCTCATATCATAGTTTATGCTAATCATAAAATTTAAGCTCGAGTATGCGTAGCTAATTGTGTGTGGTAATTCAGGTTGTACCAAACCAACAAAATCAGTATCGATTTTGGTCTCTAGAGATGGATGGTACTTCTGATGTCACTACGATTTTCCCACAGATCTTCCAAGCAGTTATCTATTCTATACCACAGTACCAAAACAATGCATATTATGTTATTCTCACACAGAACTCAGTAAAGCACTGGTGTATATGTCGAAGAAAATATTTGGTCCATTTTGGGTACTCTAATGACAAGGCATTGTTATCTACACCACATATCCATCATCAAGAGAAAAGCACAATCCAACCTGACCATTCTGGCGAGTTTGACTATCGAGACGGTTTTCCACCATCCATTGACAAGTATTGAAGATTTTTGCACTCCCAATAACAACAAAAATGGAGGCTGTGAGAGAATCGTCTTGAAGAGTTAGGACTCATTGTTTTTTATTCAAAGAGCAGCAGAAAATGAATATCAATTGCACACTAATGAAAAATCATTTAATGAAATATTGGCACATATGGAAAAAAACCACATCATTATCAGACTTTTTTTTTAAGTCAAAATGAAAGGAAAAATTGGAATGCAGGATATCGAAATGTTTGTTCAACATTAGGCCAAAAAGCTACTGTATATTTGATGATTAATTTTTTTGAGCAGAAATGATCAGATACATATGGTTTCAATTGTTGCTCGATCATAGTATACAAGTTGAATACCGCTAGGCATATAATGATATGAACCATAGATACCGAATGCTGAGAAAAAAAAATCGAGGATTTATACAGTATGAATGATTTCATATGTATTCCAAGATATAAATATAATTTGAACATCGCTGCCTCAGCCCTTCCAACAGTTGACAAAGTCAGCACCATTGTAAAACACCTCAAGAAATACAGAAATGATAAAATCCTGCGAAAGTGAAGAATTGATGAAATGCATATCAATTTTAAACGTTCGTACTAGTGAAAATTTTATTATTGTTCAAATAATTAACACCATTTTCCCCTTAGAACCAGTGTTGTGAATAATGTCCTCGTGAGCTTGTTGAACATCGTTGAGTGAGTATTTAGGGCCTATGACTGGATTGAGCCATCCCTGTTTCAAACCAACCTCAACAGCAAGACTCGCTTCTCGCAGATCCTCCTGAAAATGAAATGAAATTCGATGAAGAAATTTTTACTATTCCATGAAATCATTAACTCTGATCCTCAAGTATTTCCTTTAGTGTTAAGTTTGATTCTGTCAGAATGATAAGTCATAGGCAAAATCAAATTTTTGGAAATGATTAGACATGTAATTGCATTTGTAAATCCTTGAAAAGCATTTATCTTTTAAGATTGTACACACTACATCTACAACCAAATAAAACCGCCATAATTGTGAGACATATCTTCCACAGCCAACAATGCAATTGCAAAGAGCAGATGTGTGAAGGACAAACATTCTAAGAAAAAATATTAACTCATATTCATTTTTTCCGTAAAAATAAAGTAATTATTAAGTTAAATTAATTATTTGAAAGATATATACAGAATTATCCTCCAGTCAATTCTGACATACATACATCTGGTGATGATCCTAAGGCAACACCTTGTATATTTGTCTCTCTTCCCATCATAGCTCTAGGATTTATTTCAATAGAGCCTCTACTTCCAACAACCTGAAAATAGTAGTTACATACCGGTAAGTTCGTTACGTGAGACAATTGATTCAACAGATATTTATGCTTAAGCGTTGGGAACACAATTATTGCCATCCACATTTGATTACCCATCGAAGGTTTAAATCCTGTGGAAAATAAAGTTGCCTCATCGTTAACTATTTCTTTTTACCAGACAAGAACTGGTAATTTGAATGAGAGGCTGTCGGCGTCAAAATATTGAAATGTTCTCTGGGCAAATATGAAGATCCTATTTTTTGGTTCATTCATTAAAATAACATACTGTCAAGAGTAACCGCACTGGAAGAATTGTAATGTAATACTATTATATAAAATCTTGAAGTACACTCACTAAAACCATTCCCTTTGGTGCAAGCATATCTAAATCCCTTACAAGATTAACATTTGAAAGCATTTCAATAAATAAATTATTAAAATGTTCTCTGGACAAATATGGAGATCCTATTTTTGGTTCATTCATTAAAATAACATACTGTCAAGAGTAACCGCACCGGAAGAATTGTGATGTACAACTATTATATATACACTAATCATAAAATCTTGAAGTACACTCACTAAAACCATTCCCTTTGGTGCAAGCATATCTAAATCCCTTGCAAGATTAACATTTGAAAGCATTTCAATAATTAAATTATTGAAATGTTCTCTGTGCAAATATGGAGATCCTATTTTTTGTTCATTCATTAAAATAACATACTGTCAAGAGTAACCGCAGTGGAAGAATTGTAATGTAAAACTATTATAAATCCACTAATCATAAAATCTTGAAGTACACTCACTAAAACCATTCCCTTTGGTGCAAGCATATCCAAATCCCTTGCAAGATTAACATTTGAAAGCATTTCAATAACTCCATCAACACCTTGTCCCCCTGTAGCACTCATAACACTTGACGCATATCCCTCTTCTCGATGATTAAAAACATATTTAACACCATTTTCTCGTACCATTTTCATACCTAAATGATTGAAAAATTCGAAAATGACATGAATAGATATGGTATTTCAAAGCTTTCTGCTGTTGCTTCGTAAGACTTGGTACAATTTTAATATTTATCCTGTTGCAGCATAAAGGGTTATATCATATTGATAACAAAATCAACAATATCCTCATACTGAGTTATCAGTACACACTGAATGAGTAGCAAAAAAGTAAACACTCTTAGAATCATATCTGAGTTCTTAATTAAAGTAGGTCTTGGTGTACTTAGGGGAAAGGAGTTGTTCCTCGGAGTCCACAAGTGAAGGCCCTCACTGGGTACCATTCGCGATGACTATATTAATTCGAAGGGAATTGACTGAAATATGTTTAATTCTTTGATTGTAAACCTGTAATGAATTTTGTTTGGCTTTTATTGATAAATGTGGCACATAGAATACCTGATGGAAACACGTTAGTTAAAAACAAAACTGGGTATTTTACAGAGAATCAGGAGGTCACAAGTGTTGAGAGTATTTGGAAGGGTGCCATGTACCATGGAATTTGAGAAGCACTTCTCTACGTGCACAGTATATAAATAACATAAAGCACTCTAGAATTTCAAATAGAGACATCTAACAACAATACACTGCAGCATTTATCAAATTTTTGTACTTTGAAATAACGCATAATTCAGTAGGCAGGTTGTTGATTTTGCACCCTGATCTTTTTATAAAATTGTATCATTCGATTTACAAGTGTACAAATTAACAGAATACAAGATAAAGACAAAATGAAGATTTCCAGGCTTAGCTTACCTTCCTCTGTACCTGCTGTACCTATGACATTCATTCCTTTAGAAATGGCTAGTTGTGTTGCAGCCATTCCAACCCCTCCACTTGCACCATGAATAAGTATAGTTTGCCCAGGTTTGAAATTTGCTCTGTTGCAATATAGACATGGCAATATAATATGAGAGCAGTAAAAGAAAAATGCCAGATAGTTCGATAATTTATTCAATTCATGGAAAAAAGAACATTCTCTACTATGAAGAAAATAAAATTAGGAAAAAATTTTCAAGTTTTAAACAGAAATGAAAAACGGAATCGATGAGCTCTTTATTAAAAATTTTATAGTTCAATATATTGTAACAAAACAATAGCAATACCAGGTTTTAACAATTTTTAAAAATAGGTACACTCACATACTTTTGAATCAACGCTCTATAAGCTGTCAAGTACGGAGTACCAACTGCAGCTCCTTTGACAAAATCATAATCTTCAGGTAATTTTATTAAATATTTACTACAGATTGATGTGTATTCTCCATAAGCACCACTGGATGTACGAAAAGAACAAACCCTATCTCCTTCCTGTTATAAAAAATCAATGTGTGATTGGGTCATCTTATCGCTTTTTCTCTCCCTAGTTTGAATATAAAAATTGTAACATATCATATCCACATAGCAATATGTTTAATTTTACCTATTCTAAATTGATGTAATCTGCAACAAACTCGGAATAAAGGCCAAATTTTATTTTATAAAATTTGCTGGAAACCATATTCTGTCTGTCAGAATGGTAAATTGAAGACAAATATTCTCATATCCAGATGGACAAAAACATGATGAACTTTATGTATTAACTTGAATCTATGAATTGAAACCAATCAAGTACTGATTATTGGAGAGAAATAAAATATTTCCCCGAATGATACTAAAAATAAGATATACCTGATAATTCTTAACATCGCCACCAACATGAACAACAGTTCCGCAGACATCATTCCCAGGAATATATGGAAGCGTTGGTAATTTTGAATAATTTCCTGATCTGATGTATACGTCGACTGGATTCACACCCACGGCAGCAACCTTGATATTCATGATATTCATTTACTTGATGACACAGGATTACAAAGAAATATATATTGGACACAAGTCATTTATCTTAAGTTTCTCAAGATTTTTGATTGTTATCATATACCTATCTGTGGTTGTACATGTGTAGGTGTGTGAATGAATTTAATACTTTTAGTTGAGTGGACACATACCTCTTCCCTTGACGGCACCTTAAAATTTGAACTTGGCACGTTTCAAACCTTGGTTAAGGTTTTGCTTGCTTTCTCAATTCTGTAATCTGTTTTTTAATTTAATTTGAATTAATTTTAAGTGTAGTGAAGGTAATTGTTTTGTGTTTTTTTATGGCGAAGAATCGTTGAATTTTATTGGACTGCATTTATTTCACCGAGAAAGTTAAAATTTCACCCAGTTTTTGGATAATTTACCAAAATGGGTACAAAATGTAAAAATTTTGATACAATCGATACCGGTATGTTTTGTAGTAACGAGTAACACGTACCTAACACTCATAAAGAATTTCTAGAATTGTCCCCAAGAGTCACTTGGAGTAGCTCATCAGGTATTTTGATACTATCGGTATGAATTTATATGGTACAAGAACCAGGTCTGCCGAGTTGCAGGCTGGAGTTCAGGAGTTGCTGCAGGCTGGATTTCTAAGCAGCTCCATCGGGATATCGAATTAAAATTTCAAACCCACTGTGGTTGGTAATTTCAGGTTTATAAAACCAAGTCGAAGTCAAATTCAAATCCAGTATTCACAGTACAGCTGTATTGTGATACTCGATAAACCAATAGATACCGTACCTTTACTAAGACTTCATTCTCTTTTGGCTTTGGTATGGGAACATTTCTCTTGATTTCCAAGACTTCACTTCCTCCAAACTTGTTCACAACAACTGCACGCATCACGGTTGTAGAAAACCATGATGCTTTATTGGACAACATGATCTTGCAATATCAGAATATCAGCAATAGCAGAACTTGAATATATTCAGGCAAAATTATTGGAAACCTTGCAAGCGGATGCAGATTGCAGGGGAGAAGTGCAGCGCTCTTCAGCGGATGTAAATCATGCAGGCACCTAGCAGCCTCGGTAGTGGGACGCATCGTGCTAGGAGTCAGGGATACGCTTGCACCTCTGATTACCTTGCACGGCTTCGATTCCCTCGGGGCTAATGATGTGCAAAGGATTGCTGGACCCCCTTCTGCCATGGGGCGGTTTCCTCCACCACCAAATCTGTGCAAGTGAAAAAAACGAATATTTGGCTAACTAATGTCATACCCACCGAGAGGCCGTGATTCGCTATTTGATAAGCCGTCTTGTCGGATTAAATATGTAAATGCTATCCAAAATTACTTGTGATATAGAATAAACTAGACACGAATGTATATTTTGTGAGATGCATATCAAAAGCGTGTTACATTCATTTTATTTTCATCTCTGTGAATTCGTGAAATATTTTTGGGAAATTATGCGCATGATCATATTATTTATTTACGTATTTACCTATGAAGAAACTTCAATAGAAGCTTTTTTTTTCGACTTTCAGTTTTTATACATGATAAAAAATGTTATCCATGGTGAATCTTTGTTGTTATCTATGGTGTCTTCGAAATGTGATGTTTTAATTTATTGAAAAATCAAAACAAATTACATCAAAAAATCTTTTGCGACGAGAACAGCATGTATCAAGATGGCGCTGAAATGCAATTACTGTACTGTTCTATGCTATTTTGCTCCAGGTAGAAAATTGAACGTTATTTTATGACGTTCGGACTTTGTGTACTAATCATGGATTATTTTAATAAATCAAATCGTAAAGTAATAGACAGGTACCGATGCTGGTAAATAATGCAAAAAATATTACCGACAAATCATACATGTAAAAATCACCTCAATAGTAAAAACAAACATTTTGAATTTAAATAATATTCTAAAGCATTATGTCGTAAACCAATCAAGTGAATTACACACAGAAGTCGAACTTTTATCAAAATTCCAACAGTTTGTCACACATTTTGGCGAGCTCGTGTCTTGGGTGGTAACGCTATTTAAAATAGGTTGTAGGCTATTGCTTGTTCTTCGATCTTTTCAGCATACTTGGTTTTTTTCAAGGCGGTACGGATGCGCGATATCCATGTTGTCAAACTTTTATGTTTCAAGTTTGAAACATCAATGACTATGAATATGAAATTACCTCCATTGTATGTGTCAGACGAATAGATTTGTGTGGTGAAGAAATCCATACATAGCCTGATTTTACGTGAACCACCTAGCGACTATGGAGAGGCTGGCGATTTTCTCCTCGCATCTCTTACTGGCGACCAACCTGCGATGCAACGAAGAGCACTCAACATTGTGAGAAAAAAGGGTCCCTAGAGCTTAGCGCGACGCATCGATCTTCGCGGCCTAATCTATTTCATTCTTGGGAAAAGGTGGTTCGTTGCCTTCGGGGTGAATTCATTTCAGATTGGAGACAACTGCCTAAGCATGCACGATAGTGAAGTCCAGTTCGAGTTTACGCATTCTGACTTAAATTCATTCGGACTTCTTATTCTTCTTTTTATCAGAAAGACTTGAATGATCAATAAAACACACGTGTATTATTCAATTTCTGTTTCATCTTTTAGTGTATTACTGAAGTGAAAATAACATTCAATGCAATTACATTCAACTTGATATAATAAAAATGTTGAATTGTTATAACTCATCAAATTTCCTAGTCTTTTTAACTTCTTTATGCTCATAATATAGAGTTTCTTTAATTTCCATGTCATCCAGCATATCACTATCTTCTGGTATATTTTCAAGTTCTTCTGTTGAAAGGAATCCTGCAAATATATTAGGTAAGTAGTACGTTCAATTTTGGGTACTCCCGAAGTATGTGAACCAAGATGGCGGACACCGGAACGTATCATGTGTACCAGGTTAGTGTTAGACCATAATTTTATTCCAGTTTATTTTAGTACCATTACGAGTTCGAGGACTAGCCAAGTGACTCCCGCCGTATTTGTACCTGAAATTATAGTCTAACTATAACCTGGTACACATACTACGTTCCGGTGTCTGCCATCTTGGTTCACATACTTCGGGAGTACCTAATTTTGTGAGGAGACGCACGGCTGGTCACCGAGGGACTTAAATCTAACGCATAAGTAATAATACTCGTATCATTTTTCACAATGCACTTATTGCACTGTGTTAGGAATTTACATTAGAGAAGGTTGACGTGAAGAAAAACTCTCACCATCTTTGTTTAAGTCGAGAACATCAAATGATGCCATTAGCATCTTTTTCTCCGTCTCGTTACGTCTTTCTACTTCATCCAACTTATCCATTGTTATTTGCATAAATCTATCCTTACTGCATTTATCACTACCTTCCGCAAAATATCCATACAAGTGATTTCTGTAATGAAAAGATGATTAACGGTTAACATGACTTTAATATTGCATAGTTAATCGAAGCTTTTTTCAAAAACCGACCTCTCCGCATTTATCCGGATGGCTAATTGATGTGGCATACTGTTTATTTACAAAAATATTCATTGTTATCCTTTACAATGGTCATTTGATTTTAATAACGAAAGCAAAAGGTTTATCTCACCGAAGTTTTGCAAGCTTTTGTACTTGTCGACGACCCAGTGGCACAGACGACGGTAAATCTTCCATATTATCCGGACAGTCGGTTGTACGCGGTCTTTCTACTGGCCCAAACCAAATAGCTACAGCCATGTTTCTTTTATTCCCGTATGACTTTACGTGGTGCGGCCAACTGGTAAAGGCAGAGTATAAATTGTAATATATGGATTTTTTTTAATTTTTATTGTTATATATCATAAGCACTTCGAAATGATGCATTTCGTGCAGAGCAAATAATATTCAGACTTTACATAAATATAAGTTATTACATTTATCAGTTATACGAAAGAACATATAATAAACTGAGTGAAAGAATCCTTTCATTGTTTTTCTTGGTTTATTTATATATATTGGAACTTGATCTTACCCCCATGGAACGAACAGACAATCTCCAGGTTCCAAAAATGCATGATGCCAAGGTAATTCTTGTATAATAGGATACTTCAGCATATCTACTTTTCTACAATCCATGGCTCCGTATTGCGTAAAGTTTTCCATGCGTGGGATTTTATCGCGGATTTTCTGAAATAAAATATCATACCACAAAGTTTATATATTTGTATAATCTTTTTATCCATCATACAATCCGGCACAGTTTAGGCTTTATTGTTTTGGTATCATTTTCAAACACATAATCACAGAGATAATTCTATATATGCATTGTTGTTAGTAAGATACACTCAATGATGCATGCTATCCATCTCACCCTGTCAAAGAGAATCCATTCTTTTTGTCCGTCGAAGAGGCAATGCATGTTTTCAAAGTCGTCCATATGTAAAGCAGATTGTGTGCTCGCAGAAGAATAAAACAACATGACACTATCCACGAGTTCAGCATATCCTCCACAAGCCATCGATTTCAGTAGTGAGACTTCATCTGGATTAAAATCAAATGCAATTTACTTCAACTATACTCATATATGATAGATACTTCGACGTTATTTATGCAGTTGGAGCAAAACTCGACGACACGTTGATGCAAGTAAATGTTAGAATTTTAAAAATAAAACACAATGATTGAAAAATATAGAAAGAGGGAATGAGGTTAATAATAAAATTATTTGTAACAGATTAAATTCAATTACTCTGCCTGCTAAGACTGCTATCGTATGGCCAAATGTCAATAAGAAAGCCGGCCTGTGGAATCGGAATTGGGCATTTTTTATAACTTGAGTCGTATTTTTGAAGACATCAGTGCTGAAATTTCAAACTTTATCGGATTGGAATTCCAGACTTCCAAAATGAAGTAGGAATTTTCAAGTAGCCAACTTTTAAACGCAATAAGTTGAATCATAGATTTGATTACCTCTCATGGGATTATCTTTCACAATATCTGTAATTAAATAGATATTTTTTTCTTTGTAATTATCAATAAATATTCTGAATGGAATTTCAATATTCTTTCCAAATACACTTCCTTCGTATTTTCCAACTTCTACAGGTGTAAACCAATCTCCGTACTTTTCTCTAAATAAAATAAAATACTATTGATTGAGGGGTAATTAATAGACATGAACCATTAGACTGGTTCGTTCGTTATTATTTCGTACACTCGTATGAAATGCAACTACTTTATTGCCAGGAATTTAGAATTTATTGGGATAATATTTTGTTAAAAATATAAACTGCTATAGATGCAATCTTTATCGAAATTATTGAATGCGTGTATATTTTGCTTAATAAATTGTACATTGGTTTTGTCACATACCTTAAGTAAGTGTCGTTCTTCCATGTTTTATAGTTTCCGAACACTTTTGCCGCTTCTTTCATAACAACCGGCTTGCCAGGTTTGATATATTTTTGATAAAATTCAACTGGATTTGGTACTGACTCTCTGATTTCTATCTCAATGGGAGGCATGTGAGATCCAAGAGGTTCCATATGGCCAGGTGGGTAACCATCTCCCTCGGGTTTCCCGCATGTTATTAGAAATGAAATGCATAACAAAACATACATTCCCTGCCTACACATTTTAGATATCTCTGAATAAATGAGTAAAGTCGTTTTGTCTTTCCTGTTTGTTTGAAATATTGGTAATTTTCCAGAGTTTAGAGGGCTATTTATTCAAGTATTTGCTGATATTGAAGCGATATTATATATAATGGTATTGAAGCCTAGGATGTTGGTCAGGGCTAAATAGGGGGAAATGGCATAAGGGAAAATATAAACATTAGACTTAATGTGACCGAACAAGATTTTTGCGTTAATTTTCGTTGAATTTCTTCAAGAATGTTAATCCATCACAAGCAGGCTTGAAAAATTTGGTTTGAGAATAAACAAAATTCGCATAAAAACTCTTTTCAATCCAACCAACTCTTTTCATAGTTGAGAAATGATTTCCACTCTCGAAGCATTGTTCTGCAGTCAAATTACCAAACTATTGAACCAAGCTGGCAAGTGCATTTGTGACGACAATCACATCGCCAAAATTTTCAGCGAATAACATCGACATTGCATCTACCGTTTGCCTGGATTTCATGTAAATAACATTCTAAAACTTTTAATTATACTTGCACTACAAGCTTGAAACCCGCCATTGTTAATTCTGTATCGTTCGTTGACATGGAATTTTCAAATAACATTAAAGGATATATATT